TAGGCAGTTGTTTGTAACTGAGCAAAAGTCTTTTCACTAGTTGGCGGAAACTTAGTATAGATTACATTGAATTCCATCGTGGCGCTAGCTGTGTGACACTTTGAGCATAATTTCGGTATGAAATAAAGATGACACTATAAAGTTTGTAAATATTACCAAAAAATACTTTTCCTTGGGCGACTTTTTTTCTGAAAGAACAATCTCTCATTTTTTTTCCTGAATATATAATTGGTGGCAGCCTTAGTTTATTTTGTATTCCGTCATCATTGTGCACTATCAAATCATAACAACGTGTATTGTAGCGTTAGGAAATCTATAATTGGCAAATCCACCAAAACGGAGTTGCATATTCAGAGTGACTCAATAAAAAATGAAAGTCAAACATTATTACGTTTTCATCTCTATTTTTTTTAACTGTGGGAACACCTTAGTTAGAATATGTATAATTGTGTATTTTCTCTAAATAGATGCATCTTCATTGTTCGGTGTTAAAAAGCCGGTTTATAGATTTCCGTAAAATGATAAATTTTTGAATGCAGGCAAATTCTCTTGTTCAATTTTTTGATTTGATCTCAACAAAATAATTTATTCATTTCAATTGATTTTCCAATGATTATCATCGTTATCTCTCTGCCCAGCAAATATGACGACATATATCGTATCGATCTCGTTTCATTTTCTCACATACAAAAAAAAAATGTCATCCGCATAGGTATAGCCAAATGACATTTAGCGTTGGAATTGTGGACCAATTTAATGCCAATGCAAATTAATATTTTAATGAAATGAGCAGCGTAAAGAGCGACGACGTATAAAAAAACCAAACGTTCAGAAAATTCTGCAGATGGCTCTGTAGATTACATGAATAAATACGAGTTTTGTCACAATTTTTGTGTTGACCTTTCAAGTACATGTGACTATAAAATGAAGTTTCAAACCGAGATGAATAATGGTCCGCACTTTTATTCATAGTAAATTGGACTTCGAAAAGAAATTTCTGAGAAAATAACATTTCAAGAACTGCTTAGATTGCGCAAGAGTACCATTTCAAGTATGTAACATTAAAAAAGAAGAAGAAGAAGAAACGAACAAATTGCATATTCACAATAATAAGCGTAATACATTTTTAAGATAAATGAAAAGAATGATGCCGCTTATTTTTCGAGAAACCGACGAAAACAAAAATGTTGATGTTTGGAAATATTTGTCCAGTTATTTATGATATATTTTAACATGTATGTGTCTATTGTTAGCGTGTAAGAATGAACTTGGTGCAGGTTTTTTTTGCGACGAAAATTTCCACTGTTTTTATTTTTCTGTCTCTTTCGTTGCTATAACATTTCTTTAGACAGGAGAGTGGATACTTTGCCATTATATAGCTGTATAATATTGCCGGCATTACCAAACCGGTTAAATGTCACCTACTTAAGTCTCGTCGCGCTCAGCAACAAGAGAGACGATTAAACCTCTTAATGTGATTGTTTTGTTCCTCTGAGTGCTTTACTTCGTGCTTCCCCCTGTGGCTTTCTTATTTTTGTATTTGAATCTCACAACAACAAAAAAAGCTACACCAACAATTCAATTGTCTTTGTAGTGGTTTTCGATCATCGGCATTAAACGGAGTAAGGCTATCCAAATAAATACACGCAAAACAAGAGAAAGATAGAGAGCAAATAAATAAAAAAAAAAAAACCAAAGAGTTGAAATCACAAATTTTATCGCTTCTTTCTTTAATTTATGCCAAAGTTACTGCCAATTGACTTGTATAAAAACAAAACGAGTGTTTCGGTGAATTCAGCATTTACAGATACCTTAAATTGATGATCGATAAATGCTTATTTTATACCGTTGACTAATTATGAACGATTCGATTAACTTTTTTTTTGTGTACGAGGATTCTTTTTTTTTCAGCTAATTTTAAATGTGTTCAATATCTATATGTTAATTCTTGAATGCATTCCAATAAAATCAGTTAATACTTATAAACTTGTGTAAGCTTGATATGGCTTTTACTTTTACCCTTTCTACACAATTCATATTATCTTTCAACACGTTGATTTGCGGCCTGACTTTCATATCGATTTCTTGGGTGCATTTTTAAGGTGAACAACTAGAAATACATTTCAATATGGTGATTTGGAAGCCGGCAATGCATTAATAAATTCAAATTTATTATCAAAACGCGTGTGGTGTGCTTGACATTTTAGTGAAATGTGTATCTGTTTTTTTGTTTGGTGCGATAAAATCGATGATAGCATCCAATCGTTACACACGAAATAGATTCATTCGTATGACTATATAAAATGGAAATGAAAAAGAGTTGATTAAACACACGAAAGGGGATCGCACATTTTACAGAATATTCGATTGAAAACACAATCGAATAGAAAGAATACCGTTCACAATTGATTCCATTGCAAACGTCTATGTTAGTGTTCATGACAGTTTTCTTGCGAAAATGATGAAAAAGAATCGACAATTCTGCCATTTTCGATAAAAATAGACGCATTATTACGTGCGCTGTGTCTATGTCATAACAATGGCAAAAAAAAGAAGAAATACACTCGCGTTATTAATATTGATTGACCTTAAGTTGTATGGAAAATTCTATTGACAGATTGTAAGATTTCATTTTCCACTTGAAAAAATAGTTGCTATTTTTTTTATAAACGCTTGCAACTAATTCAATTACAATTGATGCCTCTTGTGGCGCTTCACGCCTCTGCGTTGTCAACATGCATTTGTGTTAAATTTAGTCAAATGTTCAAACACAACAGCACATCCACACATAATATTTAATGCGATATATTAAATGTGAGCGTAACCGAGTCAGTATCTCAGTTTGTATTTTAGTTATTTTGTCATGGTCGATCTAAGTTGTTGACACACTTATCATATTGGAACATAATACGGATGAACGGAACAAGAATCCTTTATGCTTGTTCCGCAGCTTTGAATTTCAAACATATGTTCAATGGGCCACGGAAACGGAAACGATATTATCGTCCAAATAATACGATAAAAATGAATAAATTTCAAACGCAATGATAAATCTGTTCGAACAATTTAAAAATCATTGAGTCGAATGTGCGATAGCTCTTGAAGTGTTTGATAATTGAATATAAAAGCACTTCAATGTATTCTTTTGAAATGAAACCAGTTTACAATGCAATTCACTTATTTATGTTATATTGAATGGCAAAAATAAAATTTCACAATCACAATTCACAGTGCATTGTCTATCTTCAGCGTTCGTTTTTTTTTCTACGTAAATTTGGTAATATATATATATTTTTACTTTCGCTGATACAAATATAATTTACTGTGCTCATCAGTCAGTGACTAAGTGCTTGAGGCATTTCTTAGAAATCGACATTGCTCTGATATGGTGGTCGAAGAAAATATTGAGTTATTTTTCTTCCGTTTTCGTCAAAGTTCAGAATCAACGAAACGGTTTTCCTTTGTCACAAACACATGCACAAGCCAATACAATCAAATTTACTAGAAAGAATATGAACACAGAATAATGGCAGAAAAAAACACTATATTGTTGCGATAAAGAGGAAATAATACATAAAATAAGAAGATAAAGGCTTTTTTTTAGCTCACATATGTATTGATAAGATAGTCACACACAGCATGTAACATATTAATTTTTTGGATGTTGATAATTAGGCGTTTGTGACTATTTATGTCCAAAGAGATTTAAATAGATGAACGTTTTTTTTTTCGTTCGTTATTGTTTCGATCTCTTTGAATGCACATTCGAGACACAGACTCTTCCTCTATGAATGGGAGTGCATTCTATCACCAAATACTATCATCAGATGCATTGGTGTACTTATTTCAACAGCAACTGGAACGTAAATGTTTGTGTTTTTAAGTGGGTTGGAATTTTTGAATTACATAGGAAACGAGATGGACGCAAAGAGTTGAATTGAAATAGAATCTTCCATTAGCCACCAGTAAAATACTAAAATTAAATTAATTACTAATACTTAATTTAGAGAAAGTAATGGCATCGATTTTCAATTGCAACGAAAATTTTCACACACTTTCGCATTTATAATCAATGTATGTCACAAAAATTGTCAAACGAACAAAATCAGTAAATTTCCCTTACTTATAATCATTTACAGCAATATTAACCGTACAATGTGTTATATTTCATTCGAATCATACTTGTAGTATGTGTATTAAAATGAGGCGAGACATGACATTCGATAAGACCGAACTTTAAAAAAAAAAATCCGAACATTTTTATGATTTGAAACAACCAAAAACGACATTATCTCAATGAAAGCGTGCAACAAATGCCTTAATATATGTAAACGTACATGTACGTACGTATATACAAGAAACCGTTTGGAATGGAAAATGCGGGTCAATGTGAAGCAGACCGACTCATTAGAAGTGAGAAGAAGAAGAAGAAAAAAAAAAAACGAGAAGAAATATGTAAAACAATAATAATACATGTATGTTGGTTATGAAACCGCACGACTTCACCGACTAAAAAGGTACAATTGCACCAATAATGCTAAACGTCCAGTGAAAATATTGAATGAAAACTTTGAAATGCGCATGTAAGCAAATGCAACTAAATATGAAAAATGCTTTAGTGCACAAAAATTTGTACCCATCAATTTGATGTTTTTAATTCAATATTTTGGGCGTGCTCACAACTAATATCGACAGTATACCCATGAACAAACGAATTGAATTTGCAAATTTGAAATGGAAAATATGATATATTTTTTTGGTCGCACAACTTCCGCATCAATCGACAATCCAATAGCAACCGAATGTATCTCAACCAATTTTTCCATAAGGTCAATGTTGCAATGATCATTGACAGATTATAAGCATCCAAATTAGTTCAAAACTTCCGTTTAGATTGTTTTTTTTTTCTTCGAGAAATTTAATCTATCATTTAAAATGATTCAAATAAAAGCGTATTTTGTCAGTATCAATGATTTAAAGAAATCTGTTATTTTGGTTCGATCTATATTTTATTAATTGTTTTTTTTGATAAAATTAGTTCACCAAATAGAAAACAAATAATACAATTTAATATTTTATGATTCCGCCCAAATGCTATGTAGAGCTGCAACGCTTAATTTTTCTACGGTTATTGGTTTTTCGTTGTCTTCAATTGCACATAGCAATTGAATATTTTCAAATAGTTCGGATGGAAAGAATATTGCGCTGAATGTATTCAAACCATCATCGGCAAATATTTCAATCGATGCTGTGTCCAAAATAACTTGTCCCGAAAGTGAATTGGTCGAACGAATGCGTTTTGCATCGGCCATTCTATTAGCAAATCTTGGACTGAATGAAACATCACCAGAATTACTGCGGTCTAAATAATAAATTCCTTCGCTTAAATCAAAAAAGAATGTAATGAATTCGCCAAAAAAATTGCTGAATCTTAATCCGACTTTGCCATTTACGACATTTTCAATATTAAATACATATTCTAGCGTAAACATTGAGCCAGTTTTGAATGGTATTTGTGGCGTTAAATCAACAATTTGATTGCCACTTAGTGTCAATGGTGTTGATAGTGACCATTTTCTTGTGGCATCAACTAAATTCATGAGTTCATCAATTGGTCGCTGAACAAGATGAATATTTCCGTCAATCGTTTGAAGTGCCAATTCACGTGGAATTGTCATTTGACCGCGCCATGTTGTTGTTGGCGTATATTGTGCATAAAGCCAATTTGACATCCAACCGATTATTAAAACTCTTCCACTTGGATCGTTTTGATAAGGTATGGCCGCATAGTTGTCAAAACCATTGTCAACCCACAAAATTTTTGATTGATCGTAACTATTAAAATGTGTACCATTAAATGTACCAACAAAATACTGTGTTAGGCTGCCTCGTGTATCACCATTTTCAGAAACAATTAATATATCATGTTCATTGTTCTGTTCATCTTTTAAACGAACTACCGACGGACATTCCCACACACCAGATTTATCGCCTTCATTGGGTTCGAGTCCAAAGTCACCGAGCCGAGTCCATTCCAACAAATTGCTACTGGTATAAAATGAAATTCGATCAAGAACGGCTAATGCCATATAAAACCTTCCATCACGTTCGAATATATTTGGATCACGAAAATCTGGTATACCCGGATTTGGAAGAACCGGATTTGCATCGTATTGAGTCCATGTTATACCATCATCAAATGAATATGCTAATGCTTGACTCTGTTCTATATCTTTATGAAGTGTATAAACTGCAACAATCGTATTGTTTGATTGGTCTTGATTTTCTGCCGAAATCAAACCGGTAACATTGTCTTTGTCAATAACACAACATCCACTAAATATATCACCTTTTTCATATGGATATAGTGCAACCGGTAAATTTTCCCAATGGATTAAGTCTCGGGATCTTGCATGACCCCAATGCAACAATTTATTCAAAGCACCCGATGGATCATGTTGATAAAACAGATGATAGTATTCATCTGAATAGATCAAACCATTTGGGTCATTTGCCCAACCTGATGGCATCGAAAAATGCAATTGAAGACGATACTTTTCATGATAACTTTGACCATTGATCGACGTCGCCAAAATAAAAACACAACACAATAACAATCGAACGATTAATTTTGACATGTTTTCAAATGAAAATTCTCACTTTTCTCGGTCGATCTTAGAGAAAAACACGGCTGAACGGATTGCATGGATCGCATTAAATACGTGGACAAATTGAAATATGGCTCACTATATATAGGCATTCTGATTTAGTGCAAATTGTGAGAAAAAAAACACACAATTCTTTTATCAAACAATATCTTGAAAAAAAAAACTGATGTTTTGATCGTTGATAATAACGAATGTTGATGTTAATCAATTGTAATTAAACAGAAATTATCAATTGCACTTAATATTCCATTAAATAAACAGAATAAAAGGGTGTTCATTGGTATACTGCACATAAAACTGGCACTACATGCTTAAATCGATCGTTTATCTAAATAAATGAATGAAGTGCTGTTGGCGGTCAGTCAAAAGTAATGACATCATTTTAATTATTTACGTCAGATCATTTGAAGAGCAAAGGGATAAAAAAAAAACAATTCGGTACTCTCTTCAAAACGACCATTCCAATTCGTGATGAATTCCATTCAAAAACACCAAAACATAAGAGACCAAATAATCTTCGAATCTTCAAGTTTATACTTTCAATCAACGGCGAAGCGGACTTTCATCAATGTTTTCGGGGAGCTACGGAATACAATTTAGATATCTAATCGTTTGCGATATCTTGTACTGACCTAGTTGATGATTAATTCGGTTCTAGGTAATTGAGTGAGCGGCACAAAGAGTGCCACAATGAATAACGTAAAGCCGTGTCTTTGTTCAATCGTTTTTTATGTGCATAAACAAAGTGAAATATATCCATGGAGAGTGCGCGCGCACATTATTCAATGGTTGCTGAATTGAACATTAGTGTTTGGCATATTAGAAGTGTGTGATCTAAAAGTGAAATTCACGAAATTATACGAGGTAAGAATCGGGTTTTTATTTTGTACAATACATAGCTCTCTTGAATTAAACAAATGCTTATTTCAGTGGAATTCAAAGTGGCACTCAATATATTATGGACTTTACAATGTTCGGTACTTCTCAGTCTGAAAAGAACCGATGGGGAATTTGGATAGATCATTAGAATTGCGATTTCGTTATTGTCGATCATATATATTTCTTTTTTATTTCTTTCTCTTTTTCGTTCTTATTGCGCGCGACTTAGGTGAATCAACACACCACTGTGGCTTGGATGGAATTCGTTGGTTTAAATGAATGCGAATACAGATAAAAAAAAGTGTTCATACATGAACTTGACGTAAAGTACCGGTATTTCAATTTACAAACAATTAAACCATCACGTAAACGACTAGTTTCAATGGTTGTTCTTTTGATGTTAAAAAGCTTAACATTATTTCAAATTATGTGCGTGTGTGTGAGTAAAAATGAACGGAATGAAATGAATTGTGGCCATAAATTCTATGCACAATTTGAAATTTCAAATTCCAGAACTTGCAGCGTGTCACAGATTTTAATTTCATTTTATGTGCATATGTACGCACACATCAAATAACAGAACAAAACAAATTGATTTGAATATGATGTGCTTGAGTGAGACAGAGCACATCAAATGAAATGTGCACGATGTATTCGGTTACAGCAAAACGATCGAAAACCACAACAAGAATCAAAATCGAATTCATGACACGTCTTTTGCTATCCAAAAAAGAGGTTATTGAACCAACCATACTAGAACACACAGAATGTGTAGAACAACACAAACACATTTGAAACTGAAACAGCCACATTTATTAGCATTGTTAAATATGATGAGTGTTGTCGATGCTGGCTCACGTTCATTTTGTGCAAATTTTCGTGCTCGCATATATAGCTCGCTGTGTGTGTTGAAATAATGACAATCGAAATATTTTATGTGTCATACAAAATCCATGTTCATCATCGTACGCACACTCAATAGCGTTGCTTTTATCAACTCTGCGCAAACGGTCATCGAATACACACAACAATTACGTCATTCGGTTAAATAAAGTTGGTAAAAAGAAGAGAGAAAAGCATCAATGACAACAGTAAAAGAACAAAACAATCAGCATTCCAGCGTGTATTACTGTTGCTGCTGTTGCTTCTGTTGCTTCTGTTGCTGCTACAAGCCACAAAACATCATTGGTCTTCGCTTCATTTTTATTTTATTTTTAGTTTGCCAAATAACAAAGTCGTGTGTTTGTAATATCTAACCGGTATTTGCAAAAGATCAAGCATATCTGTGTGCTTTCTTTGCATCCATTTGTTTGTCGTAAATTTAATTATAGCCTAATTAGATCTGTGTGTTGTGATAATGTTTCACATGTCAAATATCATTCAAAACTCCCGAGATTATGTATTACGGAAATTTTCCCGGTATTTCTAGTAAATAACAATAAAAATAAATTATTTGTCAAGCTCGTTATCAGTTAAAACAAACGAAGAAAAAAAAAATGATGATGAAAAAAAGCGGCAATGAAAAACGCGTGTAAGTACCAAGCGTATGAACAAAACACATTGCGTTAGGTCGGTTATTCCCAGTATCACCCACCGTCGTTGCATCGCTATTTTCAATGAAATAAGCAATTAATATAAATCGATGATGATATTGTTCAACGTAATTCAAAACGACGAAAATTCCCCAAAAATAAGATTGACATCTCCGTGTGTTAATAGGATTTGGAGGTTTTTTTGTTGTTGCAAAAGTTCAGAATTGACGTATTTTTACCGCTGCCATTAATTCTTGTTATTTTTCTTCACAGATTTTTACATTCCATTCCAAACGTGATCGAAGCAACAAAAAAAGATCTTAACATTTCTCTGTGTTGAATATCCATTCCGTTCTTTCTCTTCATTCTTCGTCGTCTTCTTTTGTTGCTTTTCTGTTTCTTTCATTTTGAATTCATTGTCTTTTCTGCTTTCTTTCTCTTTTTTTTTTGTCTTTGTTGGCTTCGTTTTGTTCTATTTAAAAATTTATTCTTAAATTTGTCGCAATCATCTCACCGATTGATTACATTTGCATTCAATGTAAGGGAGAGAAGAAAAAAAAAACAGTAACCGCCATAATTAAATATTAACATTTCTTAAATGGAAAAGTAAACAGATTCTTGTTGTAAATCTGAACCTACAATCGACCCACTTCAAACACTTGTTTGTTCAATGAGTTGAAATAATCACGAAACGACATTTGAATATGTACGATTTGATTAATCAAATGAAATTGATTCGAAACAATTCGAATAGTATTGAAAATTTGAAATATTTGAAGAGCTGTGGCCACATGTGAGAAAAGTTCCAAATCCGTTATTTAAACACATTTTCAATCATTGGTAAAACAGTTGAGCCCAATGAAGAGCAATGAGCCCGTTAGCCAAACGTTTCAGTCGAAACTGATTTTTATCGCATACAAAAAGTTGCACAGATTTTCTTATCCATCTTGTAGAGCTTTATGCTAACGTCGTTATGCACAGTCTTCTTATATTTTTTTTTTGCTCGAATGGAGCTTGATTGCCGCTCTGCTTGTTGAATTTATATAAAAAGACTCTTTTTCTTCTTACGCCACTTCAGTGTGCGTGCGTGTGTGTGTGTTGTAGTGAATTTCAATTCGTTTTCGAAAGTTGCTCAAATCATACGCCAGATCGATTCGTTTCATTGTTTCGGCTGTTTAAACTAAAACACTTGTCTTGGGCATTTTGGACTTATTTTTGGTTTTATTTGACTGTTTTTTTATTCGCTTTCTGTTTTCTTATCTTCCAATTTGTTTTCAATCCAATCAATTGGAATATTAGAGCAAGTTTGATAATTAAATAATTATGTGCACAATTAAAATCGCTTCGTACGCACATCGGCATCATCCATAGAAATGATATGAAGAAAAATAATATACTAAGAAGTGGGCAAAAATGATCTTGCTTGATGCAACGTAATAGGTAGACAATAGACGAACAATATTAATAAAATATATAAATTATTTATATCTATTGGTACAATTTCATATTGAGTAAATACAAAATTTAACTGTTTAATCGTTAATCGAACAGAAAATGAATAAGAATAAAAACCTACAAAAATATGTCTGAACAAAATAAATAAATACGAATGACGATATGTAAAGCCTGGAATCGATTGTTATCATTTCAATGTGATTAATATCCATTAGTTTTGTCTTATCATCATTGAAAGTCTCTACACAAATTCATTCGATTTTTATTAATATTCTAAAATGTGTGAACCATCAACTCACTCATATATAAATAAAATGCAAGACAAACATTCTAGAGACATTCAACATTAAAAAAAAAAAACAATTCAAATCTGTGTTTTCTTTTTCATTTTACTTTCATATGCTGTTTCTCAATAATAGATACACCGAATGTATTGTGCAACTCTTAATTACACACAATTTTATTTTATAGAAATGGAAATCCAGTAAAATAAGGTCCATTTTTCGGTTAAACACAAGAGAATGGAGAATTAAAAAAAAAAAGAAACAATTAATTTAAATGCCGACCCAAAGTGTCGATTATTCTTTTTTGTTACAGTTAATGGCATGATTTTGAACAATTATGATATTATTTTACGTAGAATCAACTAATTGTGTCGGAACAATAGTTTCAATGACGGCATATTGATTTTATTTCGGACGTCATTTTACAATTACATAATCAACATTCGGGTTCCATTTGTTAAAATGCCGAAAAAATGTGACTTACATCATACAGGGCAAATACCATGATCTGAACAGAACCCATTTGCGTGTGACAGAATTAATTTGCCTTACACACTAATTGAAATTGAAATTTAGCGCCACTGTCTGTTATATCATGGCACAGAAAGTGCTTCATTTTCATGTTTTATTTGTTTAAATGAGGGTTTGAGCCTAGAATATGCAGATGAAATTTGAATGTGGTGCATCTATAATGATGTACCTAATACACAGACAGACAGACTTGTCTTTTAAACCATAATGGTCATTATGTACTAAGATAATGAAATACAATGCACTATGTGTTGCATGTGAGAATTTTGGTCGATTCACCATTCTGTTCAATATTTGTTTGTTTTTTTTTTAGTACAGATGAAATAGAATAATCAACTTACCGGATCAAACTCTGATTCCCAAAAATTGGTTTCCATGTCTTCATATAGGCGATCCATATTGATGTTATAGTCCAGTTTGAAGTCTTTTCGTTAGCGTTCTGGTTGGATAGATGTTTCGAAGTTTATGTTGCGTTGCGATGGTGTGTTTTTTTTATCTTCAAAATTTGTTATCGTCTTTTTGCGTTTATTCCTTGGAAAATGCCAGAATCACTTATAAAACTTTATCAAATTCTGTTTTTGTCTTTCTAATGACTTGTTGGCTTCTCTCATCAGCGTATTCTCTTTCAAATATTTGTTTTTTTTTTTAACTTTTTGGATAATAACCGGATAGTTTTGTAATAAATGTTTAACTTAGTTTTAAAAATACATCACATACGCTATTATCAATTAAAATGTCTCTCTGATTTTGCGTATTTTCAAATTGCGCACACAAACACAATAAAAAATTACCGAAATAAAAAAAATGTACTTCTCAAATATGATTTATATAGAAATATAATGCGGCCATATAATAATTATATTGCTTAATCTTTTATTCTTTTGCTGTCGTTTTTTTTTTAATCGAGCAGATGCTGAAAATGGTTCAACCAAATGATTTCAATCTTTTGAGAACACGCACAATATATTTTGCGAAACGCCCACGAATATAGATAATGTTTTTTAATATGTTTATTGTTTATCAGCACATGTCGTTGATCTTGTCAGTTGCTAGTTGTTTTGTGTTTGTCTGTATTTTTTTTTCTCTTACTCTTTTTTTTTTGGTTTTATCTATTTGTCACCAACGCGCGTGCAGTAATTTTCATTACCTGTAGCACCGTTTGTTACACTATATATTATATACTCTCTATCTATGTAAACAAAAATTAACAATTGCTCAAGTGTATTGAGAGAGGTTGCTTGCACATTTACTATTTTCTTTTGAACGGGCACAGCTGCAACAGGATGTGCGATTTAACTTGATACACTTTTGTACTGTAACATATAAGTTCTGCAATTAATCGACAAAAAAGCGAAATTGTTTGAACAATAGAATGCGATACTGAAATCGGTTCGATCAGTTTCTTTATTGTTTTTTTTTTCTTCTTTTGCTGATAATTTCGATTAAATTTTCACGATCGCATTAAATTGAAACGATGACAGCAATGATTTACACTTAAGATTTCAAGTTTTTAATGCCAACTATACTCCATATAAAATAGATACTTTCTCTCATTATACTATATCTCGTGCGTTTTTCTTTTGTCTCTTTCGTTCTGGTTTTGTGTCTCTCTGTGTATTCACCTTTTGTTGGATTGTTTGCAAATAACGATTGCAAATTCAGCAATACTTTTGTTGAAATACCAAAGTCCCTCAGTGTGGGCTATCCGTAAAAATTTGTATGAATTTTACTCGTCAGTCTCTTTATTTGCTGTGCATCACCAACAGTTTTGATATTGTTTTCATTTGTTTCATTTTCTTTTCGCGCTGTTTGTTTCTTTGTCTGAATCTGTTTTGATTTTTTTTCTTTCGGTTTTTTTTTTCGTTGCTGTTATTGTAGCCAAATAAGTCTATAATTTTTATTTTAACTGGTGTCCGTTGACCACGACGGTGGAAATACAAAAGATGATGAAAACGAATATTGATGCGCTGCTAAAGTCGAGAAACAAAAAATATGCTATTACTGCTTTCGCAAATGATTCCTGTGTAAACGAAATAAAATTGAAAACAAGGGAGACTTTTGAATTATAAATATGTACTCTCGTTCTCTCTCTCTCTCTCTCTCTCTCTCTCTCTCTCTCTCTTTGCATAAATTAGAACATATTCGGTCGTGCTTACAAACTATCGCATTTTTATTTGAAGGTAATACACGGAAATTTATTGGAATGCTGCAATAACAGCTCAATTTTCATTTGAATTTTATTTATAAAAATGTGCGCTCGTTTGCTTTTTACCATACAAAAAAGGCGACAATTCGATACACACATATTATTATTTTTTGCGCCAAGGCACAGAAGAAGAAGAAGAAGAAGAAGAAGAAGAAGGTGGAAAAATACTTAAAGAAACCAATAATTTTTGCAAACGTATGGAAATGTGTTCGATTCGTTCGATACAATGCAAACGTCTTTCTAAACGAAACGTAAATACACAAAAATTCCTTCAAAACACTTGTTGAATACACTTTGCTCTGCGCACAATATACGAACAGGCAAAAGTCATTTAATTTCGCTGGCATATGGTTTTCATTTTGAGATCTAAACATTTTGTTTTCCATACCAATTTCTTTTCTCTTTTACGCAAATTTACATAAAAGAATATTAACCACAATGGAATGAAAGAAGCAGCAAAAAAAAACACTAAATAATAGAAATACATTGTAAGTCGTTTATTCGTACGAAATATTGTATGGTCAAATTTACTTCAATATTGTTCCGTTTTGGGAATTGATTATGTCTCATTTAAACATTTGATAATGTACATAAATTTCATGAAATTATTTTATTTCAATGTGTATCATGTATATATTTCAATTGATACAAATTCATTCGACGAAATTTATTAAACATATCACAAGTCGTACAAGTACCGCCAAAATTACAGCGGAAGAATTTAAGTAGAAAAAAAAAATAATTGGACACTGTCAAGAACAAGTGACGAAAACTATAACACATCTAATCTATGATGATAACTTATTTTTGGACATTTCTTGAAGAAAAAGGCGCGAATATGACAACATGCAATAGCGATTATATGTATTGATAGCTAAAATTTCATTGAAATACCGGCATTCACCATTGGCTTTTCATTTAATTTAAAAGATTTGAAAAATCAAATAACTGAAAGCGACCAAAAACTGTCGAGTCTCTATGTACCGGTTAATAAATAATTTCAATTCATCGAAGCTTTTCACAGAACTTTTTCCAAAAACAATTTTTTTTTATAGGCAACTCAATTGAAATCAGTGCATAATAATAAACAAAAATATTCACATAAACACATAACAAACATTTATTCACAAACACACACTTAAAAAAATTTCTACTTCTAAAATCATTGAATTCTCTTACTCTGTATCACGAAAAAAAAACTAAAAAAAAAACTTGATTGTGATTAGTAAATACGATGTTTCGTGTGCTTTTCATATATTTTGGCAGAAACTTTAATGTAACTCCCGCTTCTGACGGTATTCGAATGTGAACTAAAAACACGAATCAAACATATACAGTTCTTCGTGTGTGCTTTTCCTCTGTCTCTCTTTCTGTCTCCTTTCTTTCTAGTCGTCGGTCGTTTGCAACTTCTTCTTCTTCCTCTTCTTTGATAATTTTTTTTTGTTTTGCTTTCAACCTCTCACATTTCGAGAAAACTGTAAAGCAAACGTACTAATATTACTTGCATACTTACTACGTTACTACCAAGAACCGTGTGAAACATATAAATCGTACGGAAATGAGCAAAAATGCAGTAAAACAACAGAGAGTATTACTAAAACCGCACAAATCAACGGCTAATGTCGGAATGTGTTCACGTTGAATAGCCAAAGAGAGCACAAGAAACATGAAACAAGACTCAATGAAAATATAATGAAGAAATGACGGACCGTATATGAGTGAGAGGCGTGTGAAGTCACTGACGAGCAACACACATGCAACACAAAACAAACTGTTGCTTTCCATACGTTCATTTAGGGTGGCCACCATATTTTCCAATCAAATAAAAATAACTAAAGCTCAATGCTTAATCGGTGAATTTAAAAAGAAAAAAAATTCTTTTGAAACCTAATTCATAGAAGTTGTAACACTTTAAATCCTACAAATGAATTATACCTATATAAATGGACAAAAACATTTCGAAAATCAATTAAAATGACATGTTTTCCATTTTTTCAGTTTTGTTATAATAAATCGGAAAATGTGCCACCCTAATGTACGCAAACGTGAGCGAGTTATTGTCGTAGTAGCATTTGTGCCTGAAATCACAAATACACGCGCGCGCGACTGAATCAAATGAATCTGAATGTGACAAATAGGGTGAACTGAAAGTTGTACAGAGAGAAAGCCATCATCAATTCAATTATAAATGGTTGATATGCGGGCATATTCTTCGAACGACCCTATTCCAATCATTTCAAATGCACATACAAACTAAACTCACTGATAACTATTTCTTTTTTTTATTCATCTCAATAAGCCGGTTGGAGTAATAGCAGTGAATAACAGTGATAATATGACTTAACTTTGCTTTCACAATTCGGTATTCATTCCATTTTCCTAGAATTTTTTATAAATCTACAGGAATTTCCATTATTCTACAGGTTTCGAAATCAATAAGTTTCAAAAGATGTTATTGCGTAAAACTCTCTACATACCAGTTAATTGATTCTGGAAAAATATATTCTCGTTTTTTTTTCGTACAACAGACGCTAAAAATGCCGGAAAAAAAATAAACTATCGATGTTTCAAGGATATCACTTTGATGAACCAAATGAAAAACAAAACGACATTTAATGACAATCGCTGTGAGCATTTATTGCTAACGGCTACCATAAGTTCTTTGGAAATATCTAACGACGGCGTTTCAAATCGAATGCATTTTAATGCCAATGGAAAGTCTATGGGTAATTATGATGGCTATTGAATTTCAATATCGAAATAACAATAATGTTGTCCCAAAAAAAAAATCTCTCACAAAGAATGAAACTGTTAGGGTATGTAATTTATAATGGTCTGTACATTATTGTTTGGTCTAGTATGGTTATGGTCTAGTCTCTCTTTTATTACAAATAGTACGCAAAATGACGGCATTCAAATCATCAATGAATATTGCTAAATAGAAGCTGTTCAAATAAATGTCAGTATAAAAACAGTGTAAGTTTTGTTGATATTGTTTGGGAAGGGGGGAAAAAAACGATTAGCACTTTTTGCTTTAACTTTGAATTCGATCAGCGTGAACGTTGTACAAAGTATTCGCCGAATGACGATAACATTTTAAACTATAGAAAGAGTTACTTCTGGGAACTTCCCAGTGGAAACAATAAGTTCGACGAAAAAAACAGTCACAAAATCATGATCTTACATCAAATCAGAATCAAATCATTTGATTTTTCAACTCAAATTAATCGCTAAAAGTGAAGATTTTTTTCCACCGAAATCCATTTTCACAGAAAAACGTTCATTCGTCATAAATATGTTTTAAAATGTTTTTTTTCCGTCTGTGCGATAACTCGATTTAGGAACGTTTTTTCATATGGAAAAATCGAATCGAAATGTTGGCTCGTTGGATTAGTAATAATAATATTTTCGATATATGCTTGGAATGAATGTCGGAACAGTTCCCGAAGATACTTTTTCCCAAACTGCTAATGTTTTGCCCATTCGCTTGGAGTTTTAATGCATTTATTATCACCATCCAAGTACGCCCATTTGAACGGTGTTTCTTGTTTTTTTTTTCTTCTCTTCTTGCGTAAGAGCTGATAATTTTAATTTCGATTTCATATATTCTTTGGAATATTACGAATGATTCAAATTTTCGTTGAGAATATCAGATTTAGCCTGTTTTTTTTTTTTTTTTTTAAATAAACCTAAGTTCTTATGAACCTTTGATCTCAAAACTGTCTGCAATTATTGAATTCGGTGAAAAAAGATCGATTTAAAAATCGAATTTTCGGAAACTGCTCATCAAAATACAAGTAACAAGTGTTATATCAATACAATGCTGTCGACTTGTATCATAATTCTTGTATTCGATTTCCTTTTGTTTCGTTTAATCTTATTGGCAATAATTTGACCAAGTGGATGGCTCTAAGAAGAGACACATTGCGAATGGTTTACATTAATGCCATCTGTTGGCTTGGAGAGATGGGAGAGATTGTGACATTTTTGACGTAATGTATTTTACGTATTCATGTTTTTGGCAAGTCATTTGTCAATTTGGAACGTCCTGTTTCAATATCAATCAAATCACCAACCTATTTGTTAGGTTACATAAAATATTTAAAAACAAACATAAAACAATACACAGCTTTTGGTAAAAAACAAAATAAAGAGATAAAATAAACTTAAAGAATAAATTACTGATAAAAAATATATCAGTCTAATATTTATTTCTCACCATTTTTATAACGCTATTTACAGCGACTTCAAAATGCGAAAAATGACGAAATGTCATAAATCTAAATTGACAAATGACTTGTCAAAAACATGAATACGTAAAATACATTACGTAAATTTGGTTGAAGACGTCGGAGAAAAATAATATTTCATCATTGTCATCATAAAAAAAATAATATAGTTTTGTTCAAAAATTCAAATAAAATCAAATTTAAAAAAATTATTATTATTATAAAGGGAAAATATATTACTTAAAATAAAAATAAGTAATAAATATGTGCATTTGTGTTACGTTACATAGAGCAAATTTGTTTGTAGAAATGTAAACACATGCTAGAGATGTAAATTTAGTTGAGGGATGTCAGGTATGATGGCGCTGATTAGCGAGACTCGCATAAAAAAGTCTCCAATCTCATATATGTGTCATCCACGTGAATTTGACTAACCTGCTTGATGATGATAATTCAAAAAAAAGGTGGCCATTGATGATACTCACAAATGAATGTCCAAAGCGTTGCCCAACAAAAAGAGGAAAACAACATTTGTAGTAATGGCTATTCTCTAATAGATCAATTAAGGTGTCTGTTATGCATTGATTTTGCGTACTTTACCTTTTGCCTTTTTCGTATTCATAAAATAGCCGACAGACAGACTACAAATGATGAATGACTAGTTTTACCATATAAATTTTCGAACGAAAACACTTGGACAATGTTAAATTTAATTTTTTGAAAAATAGGTCAAACATTTTAGATTAGAATATTACAGTTTGGTCGAAATTGATTAATTGTCAATTATGGGCACAATAGATACATTTGTGTAAATAGGAATCTCTCCCCAATAATAATAATAATTGTTATTATTTTAACTATTTACATATTTGTTTGCGATCGACTGAATTCAGATGAAATAAGAAACCTGTTTATTCTTTTTATGTCAAAAAAGTTTATTAATAAAAAAAAAATTGTGTCAGTACAATAACTTGATATGTATGTATATATACAAAACAATAATATACTCTAACGTAACAAAAATGCGTGTGTTTGTTTTTGTATTTACTACAATATCTCATTAAATTATTGTTTTTCGATATCATTTAAATATTCGAATAATGCAAAATTTCTATGCACATAACACTCAATCGTATCTTATGAGTTTTGTGTTAGTAATCGATGAGTAGAAACAAAATAAAACAAAACCATTATTATTTAGTGCAATAAAAAAAAAATCAAAATAAAGAAATTGATATATTTCATAAATTTATGCCAATTCAATGTTTTGCTCATCGATGGTAACTTTTGTCTTTTTATTAATTTCCGTGGTTCCATCCACACTGTACTCGATCGGTACGGAAATCTTAAAATTTTTCGGAAAACAAATGCCTTTCTGGTCGGCACATAAGCTCATTTTAAATATTATTATTACGGATTCATTTCCAACAGCGTTTCCTTCGACTGATTTTGGTGCAATTAAATTAACGGTAGCCACCCCAATATTATTGTTTTTCTCATCGGAGTCATTTGATTTCAGTTGAACAGTGCCGGAAGTGGTCGATTTTGATTCCCATCGAACATTCAATGTGTCTAGGTGCCATTTTTGTGGAGCGTCAGTAAATTTCACACCCGATTTTGTCGTTAGTAAAAATTCCAATGAAATGCTCGCACCAGACGTATGAACGAGTATTTTGGATGTCGTTAGAGTAGATAATTGATTGGCCGCATTAACTTTGTCAATAAATAAATTCAATGGCTCTAATGTTGAGGTATTCAAATTTACAACGTCTATGGAGTGATTATTTGTATTGCAAATGTAAAGACGGCTACCGCATGGTGACAAACACAAACCGGCTGGCTCCTTAAATTGTACAACATTGCCTTTGGCATCTTTAAATTTACACGTCGATACCTTGTTTGTTGTCAAATCAATCGATTTTATTTTATGATTATATGTATCTGTAACATAGACAACATGCTCCTTTCCATCATATGCAACGCCGAGCGGATGTTGGAACTTTGCATTCATTCCAGTTGCATCGACGTCACCAAAGGCAAACAAATTCTATACACAAACAAATAAATCGAATCAAAAATATTAGTTATGATTTCATTTACCAAGAATAATACGTACCAAAGGATTTCGATCGCCACCGGCTACAGCCAGCACTTTTCCATCAGCCAATGATAGTTTACGAATGGAAGAGCTTTCACTGTCGGCAATGAATAGTTCCTTTGTTTTTGGCGCCAGCGCCAGGCCAGACGGTTGTGCGAATGCTGAATTCTGTGGATATGAGTTATTTCGATTTTCTTCGTGTCCATTTCCCGCAATAGCTGCAACAGAACCTTCTGAAAACTTTTTAAATTTCCACCAAATCGTTTCATCTTTGAATATAGCCCAAATTTGATGTGTTCCAGCCATGGCAATTAAAATGATATCACGCTCTGGTATCGCTTCGCCATCGGCATGAAATGACATATCCATGTCACGTGTACGATAGGTAACAACATCCCAAGGCGATGAAATCTCTTGTGATGTACCAATCAAACCTCCAGCTTGGTCAACACCTTGTTTACCGTGACCGGCAATTGTATCCACCGTTTTTGTTGTTAAATTAATTTCACGGATGGCATGATTTTCCGTATCCGCCACATAAATGATGTCATTACCATAAAATGAAACGCCTTGCGGTGAATTGAAACGTGCTTCCTTGAAGTTGCCGTCAGCAAAACCCGGCTCTTTTCCACCAATCATTTCGGCAATTTGGCCATTTGCTTGAAAAACCAAGATTCGATTATTACCCGAATCCGAAACAGCATACAATTCAGATCCAATCAATTTTCTACTTGACGATTCATCATCACATTTTGCATTCCTTAAATGTCGCGTCGCTATTTTACCAGGAAATTTGAGCATTGATGCTTTTAACAATTCCGAAGCTGGATTAAGTGCAATTCTGTGTTTTTTTATTGAGCCTTTTGTTTCGTAAAATTTAAGCGCCGATTTAATATATTTATCAAGTCGTTGACCATGTCCTTCCTATGGAAGATTCAAAAATGAAATGAAAATTAATCAACATATTATGTGATTAGTAATCACTGATTACCCCCTCGATTAAAACATCGCAAACTTACCCCCATTAAAACAAATATCGGATTTCCACGTGGACCCAGCACCAATAATGTTGGCCAACATTTTATATTCAAATTCATCCAAAGCGATGACACCGAATCATTTACAACCGGATGAGTGATATTATAACGCTGAATGGCCGATAAAATATTGGCCGAATCTTTTTCATTATCAAATTTGGCGCTATGCACACCAATCACAACCAATCCATCTTCGATCGTATAACGTTCTTCGAGTTTCTTCAAATCAGGTAAAATGTGCATACAATTTATGCAGCAATACGTAAAAAAATCCAATACAACGATTTTTCCCTTTAGATCACGTTTCAGTACAAGCGGTTCGGTTACATTGAACCAATCAAGACCTTTATTGAATTTATTTTGAAAGTAAATTTTTTTAAATCAGTAAATTAATTTAAATCTTGAAGATTTATATATGTTTTGTAACAAACCTTCAGCTATTTCGTCGATCGGATCAAATTCTCTATCGATTTTCTTAAGATACGCCTCGAATATTTTCTCTTGCTCATCAACATGCTTTGATTCTCTCAGTTGTAAATTGAGTTGATTGCAATTGTAGGCCAAAAGATCAAGCATATCATATTCCGACTCATTAAGATCCATGACGATTATTCAAAACTATTTTTATTCAAACGTCAAATTGTAATTTCAAGGTTTCTGCAAACAATTTTGTCCAAATAATTGATTTACCTGCTTTAATACAACAATACAAGACGAAACAAAATTAATTCAATTTAATGGGACCAGAAATGCAGAAAAAACTACACTTTTCTTTCAATTGCACCATTCAAAAGAAAAAACAAAATAAAAAATATTGAAAACAAACACCAATTGCTATGTATGTTTCACTTAAATTTCATATATTTTATACGTTTTGACAGTTTACATGTTAAAGTATATTTGTGAACGCGTTCACATTCTCTTAACATTTGTTTAACAGATATATTGCTATGCATATGACTGTACGTGGTTACACTCTCTGAGTGAACGCTTTGCTTTTATATGGAATTTGGATTTGGGTTTTTATTGTTTTTGTACACAATATTTGTGTATGACCATCGATGTCTCGGTAAAAGTTCATTTATTGTTGTTGTTATTTGAAAATGTACGATACATCGATTGGGTAATGATGATTAACGGTGCCGCTTTCGTGAAAGACTTCGTTTTTCCATAATCTCAATTAACCGGCCACCGCATGGACATTCATGATGATCATATAGATAAATCAACTGTGCAACAAAAAATAGTCGACAAACAAAGAAAACAAGAAAAAAAAACCATTTGAAATAATTCAAAAGTGTTGAAAAAATAGCTCACACTTTGGAGCTAATTAATCGAGATGGTCGTAAAATATTGCTTACCGACGGATGGAGTTTACACATTGTATGCACACGGCCAAAAAATCGGCGATGACAATCAAGGCACATCAGATTTGTTTGTGGACGTTCACAAATGCACTTGGTTTCAACCGAAATCTTCGAAATCGATGGATTTTCTGGAGAATTCATGTTCGCTGAACTAATCGCTTGGTTGTGATTCGGAGAGCAATCAACTAATTCTGATTTTTAGTATTTCACTTGACAACGCTACGGTAGCCTGATGATTGTTGTACGAACGATTGCAAAGAAATGATTTTTTTGCGTTTCTAAATTACCGTTATGCACCATACATACGATACAGGCAAATGCACGAAAGGGATGGCATCTTCTCTTTTTCTCCTTTCAAATAAGAGAAGACACACAGACACACCGCAACAACATTTACATCTAAAACTGCTTATTCGGCGAATCTGTGACACAATAGTGTCACAGTATTTGGGAAAAAAGAAACGAATCAACAAAAATTGCGAAGTTGTGTCTATAAGATCAAAACTTAGCAAACTATTGATTTTGAGCGCAATTTTTGAATCATTGATGATTCATGAAATGTCATAATGATGTTGACATTTAGCATTCTCTGTCGTAACATATCATTCATTGTTTATATTATGAAATTTTGTCAAAAATTCTTGACACTCATTTTGGTAATATAGAATTAATCGCACACACGATATAAATATTTATAATAAAATCAGTGAAATTTCTTTGTCAAAAGATAGTGTGTGCCTAACGAAATCGAATGACAATTTCAAAATAAAATCAAATTGTTGACATGAAGATATTGTAATATTACGTTTTAATGAATGTAAGGATTCAAATAAATCATTTCATTAATTTTACAAGTATAACATAATTTTTTTTTGTCTACTTTTAGAATTGACGATTACATTTAAGACAAAAGATAACAACATGACGAATCATCGTCACTTGAGCACAAGCTCAACGAATATTCAAACATTTGCTGAGCAAATGCTGGTCGATCGAATATTCATGGGTGATTATCAAGAGAAGCGGTACGTTTCCAAATTGAATGCGTACAGAGATGTTATTATTTTGAACAAGAACGAGCAAATGTTGGCCGATGATATGCGTAAAGTAAAACATAAAATTCTCGAAAAAAATTTAAATACATGGTATGGATTCAATGAACCCAATGATGCCGATGCCATTGCCGCCGACGTATTTTGTATTTGGACAAGACTAGATGATCCCAACAAACCATCACAGGAAGCGACTTCAGTTGTATTTGGTGAATATTTGTTTCAAATAGAAGGTCTTCGTTTTGATGTGAGCACAGTCGAGATTTGTGTAAAAGTTCTTAGACCGATTGTTTCGACATCGTCAATGTCGGGAGTCTCAACAATTTCATCATTTGCACAACAAGCTATTGAATTCGATACACAGCGAATTCAACAATATGTCCAAGATAATATCACCGACGTTGATTGGATTATGCTATTTAATCAGTGGAAAACGTCAATCAATCAAAGAGCATATCGATTCGCATCGACCGAAATCACTTGGACCAATTTCATTCAATGCATTCATTTGATCGGCTGGTTTTGTATAGCCGTTGCAAAACTATCCGTAAAATTTGTAATTTATATTGGTGAATTTTCACTTCGTTTAATTTCCGAACTGACCAAATTGATGAAAGCGATGAGCCCAATTGCAATGGCTGTCATAAGCCTTTTAAGTAAAATGATTGGTGGTCTTTATATTCTGATCGCCATGATTTGGAAAGATTTATTTTATGGTGATAGTCCGCAAAATCGCAAAAATGGCCCAGCCAACCGAAATAATTTTAGATTTACCGGTCGTCCGGCGATTACATACCGAGATGATCCACGTCCATTTTTACAAAACTCTTATGGTCGACGATCAACAACAACTTCGTCTAGATTTAATTCGAATACATGAATACAAACAAAATATTTCCACAAAATTGAATTTAAAAAATGTCGTTCCTTTATTATTTTATCATATAGTTCTATTTCTATAAAATATGTAAATTATTTTGATTATTTTTCTTCTTTTTTTTCTGAAATAGTATTATTTTTTTTTTGCATATTAACATAGATTGTGCATTTAAATCAAAATATATTTTATTTTATTTTATCTAATAAAATTGTGAAATTATTAGAACAATTCAATAAAAATCAGTTTTACATGATAAATGTAGTAAAGTGTTCTGATTGAGATTGTGTTGAATTTATTTTGCTTCTAAAAAAGGTGCCAAATGCATGTACATGTGGAGACCTCTACAATAAACAAATTCAAATAAATGAGAGATTCCAATGTGAGTATGTATTGTTTTGCAAGTTGTTGAAAACGATTGACGTATATCATACATTGATAGCACATATTCAACACAATTACGAAGTATTCACAAAGTAATACAAACAATAAACCTTGATGAAGCGAAATTCAGAATAGAGTTAGACACAAACAACAAAGTTTTTGACGAAACACATCTATGTGCATGTGTACAAGTGTGTTAAAGGTGCATTTTTGTAATCTAGAAAATAGAGCATTTAATCGGAAAAGATTTTGATTTTGGGTGATTCGTGTTTTATTTTTTCTTCTCTTCATCTGTGACAATTGGCAGTCAGTTGGCCATTTCGATCGGACGAATCGAAACCGTGTAACGGAATTAAAAGAAAGAATTAATAAAGAAACGAAGAGAAGACGAGATTTTTCATTCGCATAAACAATTGCACAATGGATGCTTGCGAAGCTGTTGAAAAGGAATTGCAGCGTGTCATATCCAAGTTCAATGGAGTGCATGAAAATGCTAAACGAATGCTTGGAGATGTTGCGAAAAATTTCGATGACTTTAAATCATCAATTGCTGAAGGTAAGTTACAAACAGATCGATTTGTGCGGGTTATTAGCCTCATTTATAATGCGTAGTTTTTGTTATTGCTACAAATGTGTTTTCATATGGCATTCGCGTATAAAATCACACACATACGTTGCGCTGCTTTTTTTTTCGTCGCATTTCACGGTATTGGTAAATGCATTATACATGAATTTCAGTCGTCGTACATTTTTGAGCACGTCGGACTTTTGTTTGGTACTGCGCGTAGAGTGTATTTTGACCAAATGCTCCAATTGAAAATAGCTATACATTGATAAAATGTGCTAAAAATGAAAATAACAAAACTTCACTACACACAAACATTATATTGCGCGCGTATATTTTTCTTCCTTTATTTTCGCTATGAAAGGCCAATAAAACACTCAAACACTCAAATAAACTGAACACACTCAATAAATTCCATGTTTGATATGATATTTTTTGTTTTGATTTTAATTACGATGCGATCAAGTGTTCTTTAATTGTTGACTAATTAATCATACGTTTATGTACACTTTTCAGTTCCTGCCGAAGAGAAATTGACCACCGAACAAATAAATATTTTGCGCGAAACGTTAACAAAAACAAAAGAGAAATTGCAGCGTTTGACGACCGATCACCGTGATTTACATGGTGCGGTTAGTAAAATCGGGAAAACCATTGAGCGCAATTTTGTATCTGATTTTTCTACAATAACACGCAATGATGTGCTCGTCGAAGAGCAAAATATTCAATTGCTGAATAAAGTAATAGCTCAGCATTTACAACGAAATAATTTGGACGATGTAGCCGCAACACTTATCAATGAATCGAAACTGCCAGCCGAAGAAATTGTGTCGGATCCATTTTCAAATTTACATCGCATTTGGGAGGCGATATATCGTGGAGATTTAACCGAAGCATTGGAATGGGCCAGCGAACATTCGGCCAAATTAGAAGCGCGCAATAGCTCATTGGAATTCAAACTTCATCGAATTGCTTTTTTGCAAGTAAATACAATTTATGTTTTGTAAATGATATTTAGAATTGTGATTGAATGAACAATTGAAGGCATATTGAATTTAAATTTTACTTTTGATTTACACAGAAACTAGACGCAGAAAATGGCGGTGGTTCGCCAATCGAAGCCATTGCATATGCTCGCAAACACTTTTCTAAATTTGTCGATAAATTTGAAAAAGAAATTCAATTACTAATGGGCACTTTGATGTATATTCCCGTCGGATTGGAAAATTCACCTTATCGTGGTCTTTGCGGTCCAAATCTAATGGTTGAGGTAGGCCTCTAAGTTTTTTTTTTTTTGTTATGCAAAATTCGATTTAATCAACTCCATTTCCATTCCAGGCGGCTGATACATTTTTAAAAGACGCCTGTAGCATTTTGGGAATAACCAAAGACTCACCATTAACAGTGGTCACAAACACCGGTTGCACTGCACTGCCAGCTCTATTAAATTTAAAACAAGTTATGTTGTCGCGTCAAGTGCTTGGCATGTGGAACGGACGAGACGAACTTCCAGTGAGTATTCGTAAAATGTAATCCAACTTAAGTTTGTATGTATTAAAATAAATTTTACCATTTTCAGATTGAAATCGATTTGGATTCTGAACATCGTTATCATTCGATATTCGCATGTCCAATTTTACGTCAACAAAGTACAGAGGAGAATCCACCCATGAAATTGGTTTGCGGTCATGTAATATCTCGTGATGCTCTAGACAAATTGTGCAGTGGCCCAACGTAAGTGTTGCTCTTATTTGAAAAATAAAATTTGCACTATATCTTCGGTTTCTTTTGCTATTTTATGGCTTACATAACCAGACATTCTAATGAGATATTTTCAGCTAGATGAATCAGTTCAGCCAGATATCGTCAGGAGCTGAAATGGAGTGAAAACAATAAAAGTGATTGTTATAGTGGTTGTAACAATTTGAATGTTATTATAACCATAACAATCACTTCTATTATTTACACTAAATTTCAGCTCCTGACGATATCTGGCTGAGCTGATTCATCTGGCTGAAAATATCTCATTATAATGCCTGTGCATAATCAATATATAGCAAAAAAAACGTACAGTAGCAATAGCAACAAGTTTGTTTTGCTGGACATGCAAATATTGCTACTGTATTTACTTGAATAAAATACCAATCGATAAATCAATTCCAAATTTTCTTTACTTTTTTTCAGATTGAAATGTCCTTATTGCCCAGTTGACCAAAGTCCAAATGACGCAAAATTGATATACTTCTAGAAGACATAGAGAAATAGTCTTTAAATTCATTTAAATTTGGAAGCCACGACGAAAATTGTTCTAACGAATTTGACTTAATCGTGAAATTGGATTTTTAACAGCTTCTTAAAACGAAATTTATTATTATATCATTGTTTATGTACGATACATAAAGTCTTTTTTTATGTTTAAACATTATTAAAACAGAATACATGAGTTCGCACCCAAAATAATGTATTCTGTGCAAAGGGAAATTTATTAAGCAAAAAAATCAACATATTAAAATCAAATAAATATAAGATGATTTAAAATTTTGCGGTTATTCTTTGATTCTCAATTTGAAAAATTCTAAAGAAAATGTCCATCACTGGCGCCGCCATAGGTCGATTTGCGAATTTTACTGATTTTGAAATCGAAGTAAAAGGCGTCTCAATGCAAGTTCATAAGTTCATGTTGGCAGGGTAAACAAATAGCTCGTAGCAAACATTTTTCGACCATGTTTGAATATGGTTAAATGAAAGAAAATCTGAGGTCGTCAGGGACATGCTTATGTACATTGGCTGCACCTTTGCTAGAAATTGCTCAAAAGGTACTTGTCATTAACGTTTTCCTTCCATTTTCTTTTTAAAGTACGAATTAACTGGATTGAAAAACCGTTGTGAAAAGAAGCCATAAATTTCGTCCTTGAGTAAGATATTTCATTCTAAATAAAATGGCCATCACTGAAATAACATCAATATTTTATTTTGCGTTTACAGTAATGTGGAGTACGTGCAAAAGACATCTGGTTGGAAAACATCGGATAAAGATGTTTTATCGGATATTATTTTGGCGGGCTCACAAAAAAAATGAATTTATCAATAAAATCGAATGAATTTTTTTTATAATGATTCTTTTTATTGATGTCGATTTGAACATTCAAAAGTCTTTGTTGTGATTCGATGTATGTTTTCCATTGAAAACGCACGTTCATTAAATTGTTTCATAATAAAATTGTGTATTTGTTTTCTGATTTCATTGTAATTTTAGATATCATGCGCGTGTTTTGAATAATATATTTTTTTTTATTCAAAGCATAGTTATATTGCGTGTGCATTGTTCGAAAAATAAAATTGTGCGTTAATGTGTTGGTGAAGAAAAAATAAAATAAAACAAAAATTTCGATTTCTAGCGAAACGGCCGTACTAACGAAAATAAAGAAAACTCAAACAAATGACAGTTTTGCTGAACAAATACATACACAAGAAAACCAATCAAATGACATTGAATGTATGCGAATGTGAACAAACTGTTCGTTCGTAACATTCACATATGTTGAATACATGGGCACCACTTATCCAATATGGCGACCATCATTAGTTTGGCATTCCACTTGACGAATTCGCCATGATTGTTGTATTGATGGGATTTTATCTTTCATAAAATTTAAATGTTTCAGTTTTGAATGTCTTTTAACCATTCAGATTTTTTTTTCAGATCCATTTTTACTAAAAAATGTGATTAAAAATGAAAATACAAATATGACAGTTTCGGCATTGACGCACTTGAAAAACTATAATAAATGACAATTACAAACAAAACATCATCAGCTGAACGAAACACAAACACCAATGCAAACATCCATTAGCAGAAAAAATACACTCACACACACGTACACATATACACATCAGCCAAGCAAAACAGTTTTCATCAAAACACAAAGAACAGTTGAATAGTATCGCTGCGTAGAAAACAAAACAACAAAAAAAAATTATTTCTTTTTTTTCGTCTTTACACAATAAATTTTCAAACTACAAATGTGCTGCTTTTTATTGCAATTCCAACCATTACCACAAAATCATTAACTAATCTATATATGACATTTTGAAATAAAAAAAAATAACTTTATGTGATTTTCGACGAAGAAAAAAAAAACAACAACATTAAAATCAGTAATCAACAAATCGAAAGTAATTGTTGTATTGTGAGATAACAAATTAGAAAAGAACTAAGTGAAAATAAAGACTAGAAAAGAGTAGAAAAAGTCAGCTGAAATTGCAGATTTTTTTTTAGAAAAAATCTACGATATTCGTAGTTCTTTATTTATTTGGTGCAGTTTTTTCTCTCTCTCTCTTTATTTCATCATTCAACAGTTCATGCTAAATAAGTTTGTGATTTCCTTTGTTGTTGTCTATTAATTTGGCAAATGTGATAGACTTGAAACTTGTTGTTGTGTTTACTTATGTGAGTGAAATCGTCAATTGGCTATAAACAAAAATATTATCAAAAACCTGAAACGACCAACAGAAGGAGGAAAAAAAAATCATCTGTTCTGCATTTGACATTTGAATGTACTCCATAGCAGTGCATGTGTGTATGCGATTGTTTTGTTCACAGAAATACAGTAAGAAAACCAGACCCAAGGACCAAGCGATAAAAATAAAGTCGAAACCACACGACAACTCCATAATTTGTTAAATAACTCGGGAATAGCAAACAATTTACGTTTTAATTCAGTTCAAACCATTTCCTCAAGCGATCAACTTCATTTTTAAAAAAAAATATACTTACTTAGTTTTTCTATTTGTTAAACCATTCAAACAATTGTAAAAGCAGTGAATAACAATACATCCACGAAAAGGACCTCCAAACGGATGATAGATTCCATTTCAAATAGATTTTACCCCTTCCGATATTCGATTGGATCACAAGCAAGCAATAAAAAATTTTATCGAAAAATTTGCAAATCATAAAAAAAAAACATTTTTACCAGAGCTTAAAATCAATTCATAATAAATTCAACGCCCTCGCAAAATAAAAAGAAAACATTTTTTTTCTGTTTGAATTAGTTTTGTGGGAAAAACAAACAACGTTTCATTCAATCATTTTTTTTTTCTATAACAGTTTGATAAATACAAACAAGAATTTAATTCTTGAATAAACTAATTCAAATCTAAATGAAGCAAATGGAAAACGAGACATAAAAACAAAAGTGTAAAAAGAAAGAATAACAGCAACAGTGTCACTAGCCAATACAGAGAGCTTGCAAAAACGAGACAAAACGATTCTATTATATATATACAACTTATTCAATAAAAACAACAACAAAAGCTTTTTTTTGTGTGTTCAATGGGCGATATGTGCATGTGAATGTATAAGTGTGATACGTATTAAATGCGAAAACCAAAAAACACTGACTTATCCATTAGTATTTTGATGTGGTTATGAACGACTGAGTGTGACCACATGAACACGCTAACGTTGTAGATGAATTTCTGTTGATCGGTTGATTTTAATTCGAAAAAAATCACAAAACAAATCATATCTAGAATCGCGCTCTCGATTAAAATATTGGCGTATTTCATTTACAATTCAGTTGTGATTATTTTAGGTGGTTTTTCGTTTGTTTTCGTTTAGTTTCACATACAAAAATCGCTGCAACGGAATCGCTCAATAGTGTACTGAAAATTCATTCAAATTTTTTTTTTTGAATTTTGTGATTGACTTAGAGCTTGAATTGAGTTGAGTGCCAACAGTCAAACAAACAGCTGTTTAGCTTAAGTTCAAAGTTACACTCAATTTTTACATCATCAACAAACGTTTCCTTTATTGGACGATCAGTGACACAAAAATAAATCGCGCCACATTCGAATCGCAACGTATACAAAGAACCATACTCAAATCCATATCATATATTATAGAATTTCTTTTTAACAAAAAGAACAACAACAAATAAAAAAAATGCTTGACTTGGAAATTATACCAGAACGATCGCTAAGATGCGAAAATTGTTGGGAATTTATTTTGGGTAAGTAACCGATTTATTCTTTTTATTCGATTTTGATAATTGTCTGTAACTAAATGAAACAAACAAAAAATAAAATTGGGTTGGTTTAATCAACGAAAAATAAATAGATTTTATTGCACGCGACATGATGATAATATTGAAATTAATCGAACATCGACTGTATATTAAAGCTGTATTGCATCATTCAACAAAAAAAAAAAACTTTGTTCATTCGTCTCACACTCAGTGTGCATTCAATTTATAGCTACGTCGAACTCATCATATCGCGCGCGCCTTTTTGCGTTACATTTTCGTCGACAATGCGCTCGGAAAATTCATTTTTCAAATTTTTTACACCATATTTTGCGCATTAATTCAATTCATTTTTGATACATTATGGCTTAATGGTCAATGTCAATGAAATTTCGATCGAAAGCGATTAATCATTGTGCCAATCAATTTTGTTTTAATGCGCTTTCAAACAATTTCGGCATGCAAATTTTGATTTTATTCATTTTGTATTTTATCGAAATGTGTCCGTCTCTTGGTATGTCATTCAGAGAACACTTGTCACCTATATCTTGAAGTCATTGAATATTGACTGAAATACAAAAATCGTGGGCAACACTAGTTCGTTTGTTTGTTTCTTATGTTATGTAGTTATTGTTGCAATATATAAATCAAAGATCGTAAATGCCGTTCTATTCGTTACGTTTGTAATATAAATTACATTTAACATCATTTAGGTATGCATTTTTCGCAAGCGGTTGCAATCATACAGTCACAAGTTGGTGTTATCAAAGGAGTCCAAGTACTTTATTCGGAAACGGTAAGTTTGGTCGATTCGTGAATTGTTCGAATTGAGTAATTGTGGTGTATTGGCATTTCATTATTTTAGAATCCGTTGGGCGTGGATATTGTGATAAATTTACCGTTGGATGGTATTAGATTGATTTTTGATCCGGTTGTGCAGCGGCTAAAGGCCATCGAAGTGTTTAACATGAAATTGGTGAAATTGAAATATTAGTAAGTATATGAAGTTCGGGCCGCCATTCAAAGCGTCTATAAAAATACGTTAAATTATTCATTTCAAAAGATATTTACTTCGTATTAACTGTTGTTTATTTATCTCTCTCTTTCTCTCTCTCTCTCTCTGTACGTTTTTTTCCACAATCAAGTGGTATGCCATTCAATTCACCCGAAGTGGCTCCGTCAATCGAACAAATTGAGCATTCATTTGGCGCCACACATCCAGGTGTTTATGATGCGGCCAAACAATTGTTTGCCCTACATTTTCGTGGATTGAGCTTCTATTTTCCGGTCGATAGCAAACTTCAACCACACTACGCTCATGGTTTGGGCTCACTACATTTTGCCAATGGTGCGTCACCGGTCGTATCAAAAATGTCTGTGTATAGTGGAAATAATATGGTTGAAAGTCGACCACCACCGATGCCATTATCATGCTACAATCAACAACTTTATTTAGAATCAGCAATGGTATTACGTGATTCGAATGGAACGCGAGGCGTTCGATTGCAATTATATACGGAAGCATCAGCACGTGTGCTTGAACAACGTAAACAGGTTTTAATACGCGAAGTGTTATTTGGTGATACTTGTCAAGATGTTGCCGGCAATATTGGTGCACCAAATCGCATTTTCTACAAGTCCGAGGACAAAATGAAAATTCATTCGCCGAGCGCCAATCGTCGTGCCCAAACAAAACGTAGTGATTTCTTTTTTAATTATTTTACGCTTGGTATTGATGTGCTCTTTGATGCACGAACTCAACGCTGTAGAAAGATTATATTGCACACAAATTATCCTGGCCATTATAATTTTAACATGTATCATCGCTGTGAATTCCAACTACGGCTCACCGCTGATAAGTGAGTATAAAGTGGAAACATTTTATTTATAGATTTTTTTTATGGCATAATATTTACTTCAATCTACCATATAGAAATCCATGTGATGAGTCGCACAATGAACATGAACAAGTATCGATTTCAGCATATTCAAAATGGGATTCGGTGAGTTCACGTTTGGCCCCATCTGAACGACCAGTCGTTTTGCATCGTGCCGGCACCACAAATACAGCCAATCCATTTGGATCCACATTTTGTTATGGATATCAAGATATCATTTTTGAGGTAATTTTACACACCACCGACACACATTTTTTTTTATTACCTTCTAATTTGTGCATAATTGTATCATTAACTTTTTGTGAATTGTTTAGGTGATGCCAAATAATTATATCGCATCAATCACAATGTATTGCAACACATCATTTCCAACCATTCTACCGTCAACATGCGGGAAAGCGTATCTTTACAATCGAAATAACAGCCAGGAATGCAGTGACAACAACAAATTAACAGCTGTGTGATGCGTGCATCATGTAAACAGTACACTAAATCAAACTACCACCTAATTGTCGATGGGATAGAATAACTATTGACTTATAAATTTAGTAGTGTTTAATGAGGTTGATGTTAAGTCAAACATATGGATAAACCATTTATTATATTAGAATTCACTTCTTCGTTATTTTGTTTATTTTTTACTAGTGAGAGTAAAGAAAGAAAAAGAAGAAAAAAAAACAACCAAAAACTAAATGAAAATTATGATAAAAAAATAGATATAAAATACATTTATACTGGCTGTTTTGTGACATGCGAAATTTCTGGGCAAAGAAATTGGTTTCGAAATGCTTAAAATCGATATAATTAGTAATACACGATTTATTGATGATCACTAAATTGTGTTCAAAAACATAATTAACATTGCAATTGAATTGTCTCTTGATCGATCAGTACATGTATAAAAACCGTTATAGACAAGCATCGGAGAGATTATAGTTTTCCCACATTTTTGACACATCAAATCACGTATTTGCAATTCTTTTGTGGGTATTTTTTTTCAATTACGTTTCCTATGAAATGTCTCTCCTTCTGCTGTAACGTGGATTTCATAACATAAAACCTAAAAATTTAATGAAGTGATCATTGGAGAAGGATCAAGATGTAAATCACAAAAAACAGTGATTGATGTCAAATTTGATTTTAATATGTAATAAGATTTTCTTCAAACACTAATTATAACAACAATAAGTTTGCCGATAATGTTAGAAGGATTTATTGAAAAAGTGAAATGCATAATCGAATTGTTCAAAGGACATTTCTGATTACCTAAATAGTGAGCTCAAGTGAACGATATTGCATTGCATCATTACTAGAATTTCAATTTTCAAATGGTTTGTTTATGTTTCGGAAAAATTTGGTGAATTGTTTTGGTCTTTTGGTTGCACCGATCATGCAATGTCTTTTGCATTTCAGTCACAAAAAAGCCTGAAATTTATCTACTTGGCACGTACAAGCACATGTAAATAATGAAAAAGCTTATTTTAAAACGAAAACATCATAAAGAGTCATTTTTTGTGCGTGCAAGTGCAAATTTTAGTTTCATTTCGTGAAAAAGGTCTTTTTTTTCTTTCAGCTTTGATATTCTAGTTAATGAAAAATGAAAGCAAAAAAAAAACAAAACAGCAATATTTTTATAGATTATTTTATATTGATTTTTGTTGTGTGAAATTGATTATTTGCTCGATCACAATCATTATAAACATTTTCGTTTTAATTCGATCTCAAGTAAATGTTTCCAATCAATTTTATACAAACATAAATAAAAATTCAGTTCAGTGTGAATAGAAACATTGTTTAGAGTTTCAGTTAAAGAATCGGGCAACAAAATTTCAAAGATAACCGTGCCAATGGAATACATACAGTTTTTTTCCTCATCATTTTTGTCGCAATTGTTAGTTGTAGATTTAACATATTTTCGTTCAACACTGTGCACACTCAATTAGATACAAACACACACCCATACAAGTGTCAAGTTACCGTTTTTTATAATTATCCAATATATGATAGGAATAATGAAATTGGTCAGTACATATTATGGTCAGAGCATATTGTATAGTTTATAGCACTCACATAAATCAATTCGTTTGAGAAATGTTGCACATCAATTTGTCACACCGCATTTTGGCGGTTCACATTGTTCATTCTCCGTTTTTGTTTTTTGTATTTCGTTATCAATTTAGTGAGTGGTCATCGTAGTTTTCAATATCAACATTTAAATTTCCTTATAATACAAACGCTGAACTGAATTTATTCTCAATCTCATTAATTATTATATTCAGACGTCAGAAAATGTGTTTAATATAATATTTTGTTTCACTATTTATTTTTATGCACAATCGCATAATGGATAAATAATTTAATGCAAAGCTTTAGACAAATGAACTTAATTCTACGTTATCAATAATTACTTATTAGATGAAATTTTTCAAAATTTGTTGAACAAAAGAGCGTAAGCGCGTTTGTGTGTGTGTGTGTGTGAGAGAGAGAAAGAGATGATGTAAAAGCGACAACAACAAAAAAATATGTAAAAGTTCAAAATTCACATAAAGATCGAACTCAAGATAATTATTAATTTCGTGTTAATACGTTGAACCGTAAACTGTTAAGTTAATTTCTATTATTAAATCCGTAAAAGGAATGTCAATCATCAATTTGTTAAACGAAAATTACTTTGATCATCCGGCTGCACAGAAATTCTATTTAAGCCATAATATTTTCTATTCACTTCTTCGTTCTTTTTTTTCAAATTTGCACAAACCTTAACTGGCTTCCGTTTGAATGCGAACAAATTTAAAGTTCAAGTTCATTCTAATTTAATATGCAGTAGCATTGCAATTTTTTTTCAATTGTTCGCAAATATTATCCATAACATTAGACATTTTTGTCTTATTTATTATCATTCGAAATATAAAATGAAATGATTCTTTTTTTTCGTGTATAGATTATATTGTCGCGATATCTTTTTAGAATTTAATTTTTAATTTAGTGGTGTAGTATTTGAAATTTTAATGTCTAAAAAATTGAATTAAAATCAAATTTGTTCTCAATGTTTAGTGAGAAAAATGAGTGTAAATACAAAAGAAAAACAAACAAACAAAAAAAGCAGATAAAATCAGTCATTCATAACTGAACCAATCAGTTGGGATACAAACAAAGAAGTAAATATTTTTCTACAGACAAAGAACTACGCTGAAATTGAGAAGAAAATACTCTCTTTCTTTTTGAATATGAATAAGACAGAAAAAAATGAACAAAACAAAAATTATAAAAAAAAAACAAAACAAAAAATATGAACCAAAAAATTCTTAAATAAAAAAAGAATTTTTTTTCGAATAAACCCCAAAAATTCCAATGTTTTTTTCCTTTCATAATTATTATTTATTTTACTCTGTGTGCGCAAAGAGACACATTTTATATATGCAAATGATGAATTTGAATTCATGAGTGGTGCCATCTCGTATATTTGTAAGTATTGTAAGTGGCATGAGTTATTTGCAATATTTTGACTTGATAATTTTCAATAAAAAAAAAGCGAATTTCATGAAATGAAACTTCGAAAATTGTTATAATGTACTTTAATGAGTGTCACATCGTTTTATGTCATGACAATCACAATTGCTGATAATATTCAAACGTAGTGTGTATGTAAGTAGTACGAGGGTCACTATTTAAGTTTTTTCAAAAACATATATAAGACAATGGGGTTTCATCGAAAATGGTTTTATTGTTTTTCAAAATATTCGCCATGATGATCAATACACTTTTGCATTCGCTCGAACCATTTGTCATAGCATTCATGCCACTCCGAAAGTGATATCTCCAAAACGTGTGTTTTGAACGCATCAACTGCTTCTTCGGGCGATGAAAATCGTTGACCACGCAGTTTATTCTTCACGCTCGGGAATAAAAAGAAATCGTTGGGTGCCAAATCAGGACTGTACGGCGGATGACCCATTAAATCGATCTTTTGACCGGTCAAATAATCGACTGTTTGATGAGATGTGTGAGAGCTCGCATTATCATGATGAAGAATTATTTTGCGACGGCGGTTGTTTTTTCTTATTTCACCAAACACTTCGGGCAAACAAATGGTGGTGTACCAATCAGAATTGACGGTCTTACGAGCCTCTAATGGAACTGTTGCCACATGACCACTTATCGCGAAAAAACAGGCGACCATTTGCTTCGCAACACTTCGAGCTCGAACAACTTTTGTTGGGTTATCTTCACTTTGAAAGACCCATACAGTCGACTGCTGTTTAGTTTCGGGCTCATACGCGTAGATCCATGATTCGCCACCAGTGACGATAAAATACACGGATTTTGAAACACCACGATTGAATTTCTTGAGCATTTGTTTACACCAATCGACACGAGCCTTTTTTTGAGCGATTGTCAAATTATGTGGTATCCAACGAGAGCAAATCTTTCTGACAGCTAAATGTTCATGTAAAATCTTAAATACGCTGGTCGCACTAATGCCCAGGGATGCCTCAATCTCGTGATATGTTACATGACGATCTTCCATTATCATATTTCTGACAGCATCGATGTTTTCTGGTACAACAACTGATTTTGGGCGACCGCGCTTGAATTCGTTGTACCAATTATAAATTGTCCGAAGACTTGGTACTTCATCGCCAAAGGCCAAATGAAGTTGATCAAAACACTGTTGTTGTGATACACCCAATCGAAAGTGGAAAAAAATAATCGCTCGAAAATTTTCACGAGTAAAATTCATTTTTTGGCTGAGACGCAATTTACATGTTACGGTAAACAATACAAATAACGATCGAATGACAAAACGTTCTGAGAACGTTTATGCTACAAAATGTTAAACTTAACGAATATGACAATGGTTTGCATCGGGCAATACTAAAACATACATATTGAAGAAACTTAAATAGTCGCCTACGTATGAAAGTTTCTTAGTATTAGTGCACACACACACACACACACACATAAAATTTATGGAACAAAGAAAACACAAAATTTCGCTGGTGAAAATAAAAAAAAGATAAACATTCTTCTGATTGTTTGACTAAAAGAAATAAACTGAAATAATAATAATTTTTTTGTTTCCCTCAATGTGTTCGTAAACATTTTATACACGCAGAATTTTTTTTGCGTATGTGTGTGTGTGTGTGTGTGTGTGTGCACTAATACTAAGAAACGTGGATGAAATCGGCTTTTTCATACTACTTATGTATTTGTAAGGGTGTATATGTGTGTGGTTATGTGTGCACACGATTTCGTCTGACAGTTGAATTACACATAGATATATCTGTTAACAATGGTTAGAAAGTGAATGACAGTCCAATATTGCAATAAAATATGGGAGAATGCTGATCAGTCCAACTATAGCAATGTATTAGTTGAAAAAAAGGAATCATTCCAGTAGTATGTAAGGTCAGTTGTTTACGAAAAGCATATTCCATTTTTGGTCAATTAATTGTTTTTCCATGAAATTATTTCATCGTTTTGATTTGTTTCCATTTGGTTTGTGTAAAATTTAAAATCAACGAACGCATGAAAAATGATTGCAAATTGATATGTCAAACAGACGGATCATTTTTAATTTGGAATTTTCGGACTTGGGCAACCGTATGAAAATCGATCGGATCATTTTATTTTATTTTTTTGTAGTGCATACATGCAAATTGTGTGATTTCATTATAAAAAAGTATATTTTTTTTCATGTATAACACACAAATGGCATATAGATTGAACGGTGTACGTGTGATACGAAACGAGAAAATCATTGCAACATGAGCAAAGTAAACCAAAGACAGTAAATAAAAGTCAACCTTACAATGCAATAAATTAGTGTTAGAAATGAAAAGAAAAAATGAATCAATTGAATTAAAGATAAAATCAAACTAATTTTTTATGGATCAAATTCCAAAATCTTCCGTAAAAAATCCGTTTGTATTGTTATCGATAATAAGAGTGACCATTCACGTTGAATTCCAACGTGATTCTACGTTAAACTCAAAGTGTATGTTTGTTATTTTTTTTTTTCAACTCTCAACATCTTCTTCATATTTTTTCCACTTTGCTTCTCTCTCTTTTTTTCGCTACTGTTGTATTGTTTATTATCGTGTATTTTTCCTATCGAGTTATGAGTGTATTTTTTTCCTGATGAGTGTTATGACAGAAGAAAAAAAAAACTAGAAAAATTCACTACATTTGCAAAACACAACGTTAGCAATAATCCATCTGTTTTAGTGTTGCTTATGACCATTGGTCAGGAGTGATGAAAGTTAAAGTGTGAAATAGATTCCATGCATTTTTTTGCGTAATTAGTGCTGTTTTTCTTTCTTCTTCTTTCATTCAATCGTAGTTTAAAAAAACAGTCACATTGTCAATTGTGGCTGTTGATATTATCGGAGAAGAAAAGTGCGCCAATTTGATCTCGAGAGTATGTGTTAAATTCAAAGCTTCAAAACTTTGTTAAGCAAAATTAATCAAGGATAAAATAATTTTGACGATTGAGAAAAGTTCCGAACAAACTTATCAAAAGTGCCAAAAAAAAAATAATTGATAAAAAAAATCGCAATCCTCTCGAATTTGGTTGATCATTTTATTCGCGCAATTCTGTCAGTAGAGAGGCTCATATATTGCTTATTAATTAATGAACAATTGTATCCGTATACATGTATATCCGATGCATAAATTACTGTTGTGCATGATTGCAAACATAACATCCGAATCGTAAATGCAATTAGTGTGTGTTTTTTTTTGGATATTGACTATCGTAATGTAGTGTGGTTGCGAGAATCAAAGGGAGGGGATTCAATTGAAATGCTATGTGTGTTGTATTAAAATAAGAAGTTCAAAGGTTCACTTTGCTATTTTATTTTGTTCTTTTTGTTATTTTTTTTTCTTTTGTTCATATCAAACAGAAAAATTGCTTTATATCATTCGTAGTTTGTTGTTTTTTTGTTCACTCTTTATCATATTCATTGTGAGTTTCAAATGTCAATAATAAAGAGGGTATTGATTGGACTTATATTATAAACTACGAAAACACCTACCGTAATGTAATTAATACACAAACCGTCTTCATTGGGCCGCGTTGAATGCTGACGTTTTTGTTTTGTTACCGTCGTTGTCGTCGTGAACGAATTTATTTTCGATATCAGTCGAATTTTAAAATTTAACACCATCATACTCACACAAATGGCACATGCGAATAGAGTATGTAAATTGATCTAATATCGATACATTTCTTTTCATTTTGTACATGACATTCATATCATAGTTTGAAGTTTTTGTAGAAAAAAAAAACATTTCCATTAAATTCATTCGAATTTTCCACGGAACAATCAACGATAAGAACAATGACAACGACAACAATTGTTCCGACTGGTTGTGCTGTGTTCTGTTTACTTGTTTTACGTCAACAAGATTAACATTTTAATTTTTCTTCCGCTGATGTGTCGCTAGTGCCTTTAAAGCGCGATGAATTACGATTGTCGTGATATGATAATGAACAAATATTATAAAGCGAGCAGGAAGAATTATATGAATAAACAAATATATATTCATGTAGCGATATAAGTTTTTTTTTTGTTGAAGAAACAAAAAAATTGTCATAATTTAATTATTTTCTTTCTCTTTTTCTCTCAATCAACTTGTCTTTAGAAAGCTTAGAACGGAATCAGGACAAAAAAAAATCATCAAATGTATGCTAAAAATAACGTAAAACCATTGTATTGTAGCTGAATCAACAGTGAAATAATAAAAAAAAACGACCGCAAAAGCCGTGATTAAAGATCCTGCAATATTGACACCACACACATTTTTTATTCATACATCAGCAATAATGCCGAGAAATTGTAAATGTCCACACTTGGATAATACCATTTTGCAACTTTCTCTGTCGGAATTATGCAGACTCAAGCAGGTATTATACAAATTTATCATATATTCATATAAATAGACACACACACATACACACACACACAACTCACAAACAAATTATCGTATATTTATGCTGTTCAGTAGTTTTTTAATGGTAAAGTCTTATTTATCATCAATTTTCAAGCAAAGCATATGCATGCGCATTCCACTGACCAATAGACGGGGCATATCTGCACGTCTTAAACTAGTTCTATGAATAAGAAATGAGTATGCACATTTCATGTGACGTCGGTTATTACGAAAATGCAATACAATAAAAGCGATACGATATGAACACAGGTGCAAAGTCCAAGTATCAATACATTCCCACGATGATTTTCTTCGGACGTTTTATGTAAACGTTTATTCACTCATTTGCTAATTCATTCATTCAATAATTTGAATAAAATCAAACAAAACTCAATTGCAACGAGCACACACATTCTGTCGCGTCACTCATAGACAGCGAAACCATAAAATTGCATTTTCCATTTAACAAATTTCGCAATGAAATATATGTATGATTACAAAAAAAAAAAAAAACATTTTTTATCCAATTAATGCTTAATATGTGTTGAAAATTGAAATTAGGGCGTGCCATGTACACAATGTGACGTTAGCGGACCAAATCTATGGATATGCCTATCAAAAACTTGCCTGAATATTGGTTGTTCGGAAAATTACAATGATCATAGTACAATCCATTATAAACAAAATCCTAGTCACTGTATTCACATGAACCAATCGTCACAACGAATTTGGTGTTACAAATGTGAAATGGAAGTGTTCATCATCAATCACGGTTACAGTGACAACAAACCAAATCGACGACAAACTACAACCGACACCGACGATCATTTGAATTCGGAAATTTCACGGTATGGTATCGTTAAAATTGTTCGATAATTTTATGTCGACTGCATGGAATAACTGTGCATATATTTAATTCTTTTCAGTATTGCAATTAGAAACGATTTTGGTTATGTAATGGCCAATAGCGAAGGAATCGATAGCAGTGCAGATGATGAAGGCGATATAGAACCGAGCTACTATGCACCATCCAGTGGATTGGTTGGTCTTAAAAACATAGCCAATACATGTTACATGAATGCCGCACTTCAGGCTCTATCAAATACACCACCATTAACCGGTTACTTTTTGGAATGTGGTGATGTTATTGAAGCCAACTATGAAATTGCAGCGCCCACTAGCAGCCAACGCAAAACCGGACTGGCCAGAAGTTATTATCGCCTTGTTAAGGACATGTGGCTGGAACACAAACGACAAAATGGTTACGTTACACACGCAAGCAAATTCGGTATGATTCAATTAATTTTCACTTATTATTATAAATGTTTAATAAATTTGATGTGTTTGTTAGGTTATGTGGTGCCAAATGGTATTTTATATGGTATTCGAAATGTACATCCAATGTTTCGTGGTTGTCAGCAGCATGATACACAAGAATTTTTGAGATGTTTTATGGATCAATTACATGAAGAGCTTAAAGAAGTGACACCACCACCACCGGATCTTTTGCTATCGAATAAACAGAATAACTCATCGGCCAGCATCTCATCAACGTATTTACAATCGACCAGCAATTATGTGGGAATGGGCTCAACAGACGATGATGATCGTTCCGGTTGTTCGACACCGTCATTTTCACAGTCGGAAGCTGAATATGAAACCTGTGATAGTGGTGTATCCGAACAGTCAAGCCTCTCCGATGAAGTAACAAGTGTTCATAAATCAATACCAAATTCAATTAATTCAGCAAAAATTCAAATAAACCAAATGCAAATGCAATCGACCAATTCATCAAATTATTCGCGCTCTCCTAGTCCAACAGCAAGCCAAAGAACATTCAAATCAACACATTCGTCTATAAAAAGTAATCGGTCGAACTCAATTACTAGTTTGAATTCATTGCAAACAACGTCGCAATCACAACAGCAGCAACAACAACAGCAACAGCAGCAACAACAACAACAACAGTCTCAACAAGAACAAGAACCATGTGAAAAGAACGAATCAAAGTTACCACATCGATCAATCATCAGTGATGTTTTCGATGGAAAATTATTATCATCCGTGCAATGTTTAACCTGTGATCGCGTTTCGACGCGTGAAGAAACATTCCAAGATTTATCATTGCCAATTCCAGGCAAAGACCATTTGAACGTATTACATCAAAGTCAAATAGTATCACCATTACCAGCAGGCCTTCCAGCCGATGTTGTAAGTATTCATGATCAATATTTTTCGTCGAAAGAAACTCATCTTCTTCTTCTTCTTCTTATTTTTTGTAGGCATATCAAGTAGGTCAAGATGGTTGGTTCTGGTGGTTTTGGCATTGGGTACGTTCATTTTTCTGGGGACCAGCTGTCACCCTGCATGATTGTATGTCAGCATTCTTCAGTGCCGATGAACTTAAGGGAGACAATATGTATAGGTAAATCAAACGAATTTCTACACTGAAAAGAGTTCAAACACCAAATTCAGTCCATTAATGAGTGTTTCATTTTTTTTATTACAGTTGTGAAAAGTGCAATAAACTACGAAATGGGATGAAATTTTCTCGTGTCTTGGAATTACCTGAAATGTTATGTGTTCATTTGAAGCGATTTCGTCATGATTTATCATATAGTTCAAAAATATCGAGTCCGGTTAATTTTCCATTGGTTGGATTGGATATGCGGCCGTATTTACATAAGGAGTGCAAATCAAAAGTTTCAACGTATGATTTAACGGCTGTCATTTGTCATCATGGTACGGTTGGTGGTGGACACTATACTAGTTTTGCAAAACACGAAATATCGGGCAAATGGTTTGAATTCGATGATCAACTTGTCAACGAGGTGTCACCAGAGGTTGTTCAAAATTGCGAGGCATATGTTTTATTCTATCGTAAAAGTAATCCACACATACAAATGATTCGTGAAATGGCATTACAAATTGAAGAGAGAATCACCGAACAAACATCTGGTATTCGATTTTTCGTATCGCGTCAATGGCTTAATCGATTTAAAACGTTTGCCGAGCCTGGACCAATCGATAATTGGACATTATTGTGTCCTCACGGTGATTTATCACCACGCAAAGCTCAAATGGCCGGTCAACTGGTTGTACCGTTGCCACAGGCACTTTGGGACTTTTTATTCGAAAAATTTGGCGGTGGTCCGGTGTGCAATCATTTGTTCGAGTGTGATATATGTCGAACAGCTGCCGATGCTTTAACCCGACGCCAAAATTTTGAATTAGATGAATTTTCTACATACAAAGATGAAATAACATCAACCATTTACGCAATTTCAATGAATTGGTTCCGACAATGGCAAATGGTGAGAAAATACTATAAAATTCAATATTTCCGAAACATTTCGATATCATTTAAATTATTTTAAAAAAAAACACTTTATTTCTAGTTTGTCGGTGGTGTTAGTGACGAGATACCCGGTCCAATAAATAACACCGCAATTGCTCTTCAAAACGATGTGCATGTATCGCGTGGTGTAAAGCCGGGATCAGACTATGCCCAAATCAATTCAACGCTTTGGAAATTCTTTTATAATATTTATGGTGGTGGTCCTGAAATAATTTTGAGAGGAAATCCGGAAGAAATCTTGCGACAACCAACTGTTCAGCCAACAACACCAAATTTAAATAATAGAGAACGTCAAGAACGGAACTCAATTGATTTATCGACAGATGCTCAAGTGAACGCCACAAATATTGTCAAAGAAGAAACAATAAATTCAGTACCTGTACAACCACAACATGTATCGTCAACAGATGCAAAAAATACAACAAACGATTCGGACGCAGCAAAATCGACCATACAATTGAATGGCATCGATAGAATAAATGGCCCAGATCCAATACATTCTGCGATAAATAAAAAAGTTGCGAAAAATGTCTCGTTCGAAGATAATGACAGCAATTCAAGTGATCGAGAAGGTTCAAGCTTATTTGAACAAAGCTTCTTTTATATACGACGTGGTAAACATCATTCAAATTCCAACGAAATTCTAAGCAAGAAAGATCGACGATTGCGTAGCATAAAATCAAATGGATTTTTCGGACCTGAAGGTGAGCTAATAGTTTTATTCACACAATTAATCAACGTTGTAATATACTTTTGTTTTGGTTTTCGTCTTAGGTAAATATTCATCGAACAGTTTTCCAGAGGACAACAGCAATGGAGGTCAAAATGCCTCCTCAACCATTGATGCCAATAAAAAACTAGACGAAATAACACCGTTGCTACATCAAGCTAGCATAAGTTCAACAAACCCGGTTGAACATGATGACGAAACAAATAACAACAATAACAATCGCAATGGCGCTCACAAAAGCAGCTATCGCAAACGTGTTAAGACGAAATTAAGCCGAAAAACTGCCTGACGACATGATAAACAATGAAACAAAAAGAAAATTGTATTGTTTGATGTACCACCTTCAATGTAATTTTAATTATTTAATTCACTAATTTCCTGAGCATGAGCATGAGGAAGGCAATGTTTCATCAATTTAAAATATTTTGAATATTAAAATACATATTTTCAAAACAGTTTTGACCATTTTTTTTTCTTTTCATTGACACCATGACATACTTATTTTTACGAGTCCATCAATTTACTATTTTCGCAATTTATCACAATTTCACCTAATTAGAGCTTCGAATAAACTGAAATGTCGACATTGTATTTTATAATGCCATTACCGTATATAGTAATCTAAACATTTTTTCAATAAAAGTAGCTATTACGAACGTTCTATACTCTACCTATATCGTTCTAGTAATAGTCTAGTAGATGATATCTACAAGAGTAAAATATGAAAATCGTATAAAAATGACACATATTTTTTTTATTTGATTTAATTTCGTTTCTTTTTTTTCTTTATTCTTTTCATTTAACATTATTCGAGTGTTAAAAATTAGAAATATATTTATAAGAGAGTAAATAAATTATTTTGAGTTCGATATAGTGCTACCATTTCCCACTTTTTTTCCTAATCGGTTTGGTAATATGTGAAACGGAAGAAATGTTTCAAATATTTTGACATTTTTAGGCAAAAAAATACAACTGGATAGATTTACATTATCAAAAATGTTGATTAGAGAAATTACTTATTCGTTTCCTTTAAAAACTTAAAAAGTAATATAACCAACAATCGTTTTTTCTATTTGCATTGCGAAATTTGCATAATCAGGAATTTTTCATTAACTAATTCGAAATGAGATAAATCCCTATGTCATTTTGTTTGTTTGTTTTTTTTTTTTTTTAGAATAAACACAATTCCCATTGGAAGCTTACACAATGAACTGAAATCAATTGAGTCATGAGTATCGAATTGTTCTTTTTGTGACAATAAAATAGTAAAAAAAAGATATTTACATAAAACATTTCACATTAATCCCATATTTGTTCGACATGTGCGAAATATTTGTTCCATTCCTTAAAACTAATATAAAAAAGATTTGCTTTTTTTCTACGAACAAAAATGTTTGTTTTTTTATATATAAAAATAGGAAAATACAAAACAATTTTTTTAATCATAATATAATATAATAAAAATTATTATTGTATAATAATATAATAGTGATAATAATAATAATAATAATTTTAATTTACAATTCACGTCTCCAAGTAATTGCTTCAAGGCAGAATATCGGAGAAATTGAAACTTTCATTATCGAGTGAACTAAGTAAGTCTTGTGCATAGTTACTTGCATCTCCCACGGGTAAATTGTCTAAAAATTCCAAGCTATTTCCGTTATCATTAAAATTAATGCTTTGCTGTTGTGACATGATGGCTTGACGCCAATCGGGATTGGTCATTTTATCGGGCATCGAATGAACATTAGATTGTTGACGCTGGTTCATATGACCGAATTGTGTTTGCATGCGCTGTTGATTACCATGCTGTTGCATAAACATTTGATGTTGTGGTCTCATCATAGCACCTGAAATTATAAAAAATTTAAATGAATTCAATTCGTATTTTGTTCTTTCAATTTATTTATCTGTGTTTTTTTTTTCTCTCGTAAATTACCTGCATTTGGCATATGTTGTTGATTCATTCGTCGCATATTTGCAGCAGCAGCAGCGGCGGCGGCATTATTTGGAAAACCACGATTTGATTGGTGCATCATTTGATTCGGTAACATTCCTGTAGATGTGGAAAGAAAGTTTTTGTTTTTATATACAAATTACAATTATTGAGTTTTAGCATAATTTATTTTACCTTTATATTCTGGGGGGGGTGGTCGATTTCCTAGGGTTAATTACAAAAAAAGAATAGAAAAAATGGGTATTAATAAACATGTAATGGGTCTGTAATGGGTGTAATGGGTAATATTAAATTTTTTTTAAATCTATACAATATAGAATAAAAGCAACAATAACATTCATTGCTTAAATTTGAGATTTGGTAGTAGTAGTAGTAGTTGAGTTTAACGCGCTATTCTGTGGAAGAAAATAAAACTCACTATAGAATAGAACTTGTGTCTTGAGACACTGCCATGGTCACTACCTAAATCAATCGAAAAAGAAACGAAACGAGAAAATAAAATCGACATCAAACTACTACCAAATCTCAATTTTTCAACAATCTGTGTGTTTGCTGAATCAGCGCAATTTTTTTGTGTTTGTTTGTGTGCCACACACCATACAAACCATATTATAATTTGACTTTCTTAAATTCTATTTTTTGTTATTTGATTTTAAATGAAATTCAATTTAGGACAATATTTGAAAGAATGGGAATAGAAATGGGATGGTAATGGGTCTGTAATGGAATAGTAATTTTTAAGTGTGCAAACCTTGTCGATTTCCCATTTGCATGGCTTGTGCTCGCATTAGTTGCTGTTGCCGTTGTTGATGTTGTTGATGTTGTTGTTGCTGTTGTTGCTGCTGTTGCTATAATACAAAGAAATATCGTCATTTCAATGGAAAATTGGCAAAGGAAAATGGTCAACTCACCATAACTGCTGTCGAAGACATCATAGAACCATGCGCATTCATATTCACTCCCATTGGATTACTCATGGCTGTCATATTTTGAATAGGATTACCGCCAGCATTGGCTGCATTTTGTGCCATAGATTGAGGTAAATTGACTGTAAAAGTTTATTCAATGAATTGATTCCATTATTACTTTTTGTGCTATATACACTAAGCAGCGACAATTTCATGTCGATACAAACCTGAATTCTGGGTCGTCATATTCATTTGCATGCCCATTTGTGTATGTTGTTGTGATTGTGACGGTGGCGCTTGTTGATTCGTTGACTGTTGCGCTTGTCTTTGGCGAAGAGTTTGTTGGGTGAAATTGATTGTTTGCGTTTGTGAAATGGAATACGAGTCATTGGCTGCATCTATATACACATATACAAATAAAATATGAACATATTAATTATTAAGTTAAGTTACATTGGCAATTGAATGGCTTACTTTGAGGATTATTATTTGGTTGCTGTACGTGAGGCTGTTGATTTGTATTCATATTGCTTGTATTTGTATTGCATCCGGGGCCCGCGTTCATATTTTGTGGTGGTTGTGCTTTGTTTGCGTGCTGTTGATTGAAGAAAATACCTTGTTGAGCTGCAACGGACACATTATTTTTCATATCACCACTTAAATGCATATGTTGTCCAGCCGAAACCTAGAAAAAAAAACGGAAAAACGATTAAACTCATCCATCTTAAAAAAATTCGGGGCAGTGTGTGTGTCTGTGTGTTCCAATATATGCTTACGTGAATGCCAGGTGAATTTGGACCATGCTGATTGATATGCAATTGTTGCGTTTGTTTCATTTGCAATGTGGTCGTCGACTGATTGTTTGGCATTGGATTACAGTTGCCGGCGCCATTGTTCACATTCACATTGGGTTTGCCAGCATTCGGTGGCTGTCGTGGTGGTAAGTTGTTCGCTGTATGTGGATTACGACCCATAAAATTTGGTGCTGCAATGTAAATAAATTTCGATGGCTTAATCAGACATTCCATGTTCGAAAAATGTTGATAATCATTTTAAAATAAATTTTATACCTATTGAATTTGGTGAATTATATGGAAATTGTTGTTTATTGAATGCATTTGGATTGAGTTTCGATTGCATTTGCGGTGGCATGTGGTGTGTTTGTTGTTGTGAAAACATCATCTCTTGTTTGGCGGCTAATTCAAATTGCGAATTATTCCCCGTTGAATTATTTATAAAATCGGAGTTATTAAATTGACTAAAATCATTGCCAAACGGCCCAGAATTCACAATATTATTTCGATTTGGATTCACTTGCTGCTGTGGACCCGGATTATTTGCCATTGGCGATCGAACAAAAGGCATTCCCATATTTTTATGTTGCTGATGCTGTTCAGCCATTTGCTTAAGTGTTTGTGCCGGTGATAATTCGCACTTAAATTGAAAATAAATACATAAATAAATAATTAAAAAAAAAATCAAATTGGTAATAGCCACAAAAATATTTACCATTGGATTATTCGTAACGTTACACGTATTGGAAGCCAATGTATTGTATGCGTTACGTTGATGAAGTTGTTGCTGCTGTTGTTGTTGTTGCTGCTGCTGTTGCTGTGATTGATGGTTTTGTTGTTGAAATGGAATATGTGACGTATTTGGTGGTTTCACATTGAAACTGTCCAATCCCAATTGATCGGGATTACAGTCCTCCGTTTTGATATCCATTTTAAGAAAATCGGAATTAGTAATATCAGAGGTGAGATCAGAAATAATGTCTTTGAATGTATCGCTTTTGTCGATTGTATCAGTGTCAATGAGATCCGTAAAACCAGGAAAATGACCATTGGTTGCTGCATCTTTTTCCAATGCGGCAACACATTGATCCAAATCGGCAAAATCAGAGCAGCCGGGCTCTTGTTTACATTCAATCAAATTATTAGCCAAATCAGTTTGCGATGCAGGCGAAGCAGTTTGTTGACCATTTACATTTGGTACACAATTTCCGTCATGTTGACTATTCGCATGACTATGAAGAATGACACCGCCATTATTATTTCCATGTTGTGTACCATCACTTTTTACCGATGCATTCGTCAATGCTTTTACCGTAACATTTGTGCTAATTTGTTGCGCCTGTGAATTTGCAGCTGATGTCGTAAACTCTAACTGTTGCACAATTTCGACGGAAAATTTCAAATTTTCACTATTCGTATGTGATAATTTGTGGGGTGGCTCATAATTATCTGTAACATTTTCCGTGTCGTCTAACGATCGTTTCAGGAATTTTTGTTGCTGTTGGAATAAATAAAAAAGAATCATTTTTAATTAAAATTGAAAACGCAGAGAGTGAGAATGAGTGTGTGTGTGTTATAAAACTGAAGATAAATTTCAACCAAGATTGAGATGGTCTCGGATTAATCGTCAATATTCAAACACAAATGAATGCAGTTTTTATACAATGAAATGCCAGTGGGCGGTATATGAGAAAAACTTCACTCAAAGATGAACCTCTGGAGAATATGTTCGCTTATACATATTCTATGTATGATGTTTGTGTGTGTGTGTGTTGACTGTATGTTGCGCAGGTGCGTTTATCTTATTCATGTGTTAACCTCATTGTTAAAATCATTATCTGACTGTTTGACAAAAAGGAACGCGTGTTAGTGTATACCATAATAACCGATATGCTCAGCATTTGTTCTTTTGTCTTCGACCGAAATATTCTTGCATGAGATATCGTTATGAATCCTATTGAAATCATTATTTATTTGGTTGTTGTTCTTTTTATCGCCTCTCGTTGAACGATCGTCGACAAAACAAACGCATAAATTTGAGTCATATACAATGGAATTGAAGAATCTGAATGTTGTGTGAGCATCGCAATGTCTTCATACAGTGGAATGTTTGATTTGAAATGATTAAATGGTTTCATCATACCGGATATTCTCATTTCATCGTTTGAAATATGTTGTTTTTTTTTGCCACGAAATCATTTAAAAAGAAAAATACAAAATCAACATAATAAATTCGTAATCTGGACAATTTTTGTTTTCATGACATTGAAATTGCAGTACATTCTACACACTGTATGTACACAAAGTGTGTACAGCTCATAACTTAAAATTAGCGTTTTATTTTCAATCTTCTTGTTCTTCATTGAATAAATATTTATGGGCTTACTCATCAACGATATTTATTCAGTTTCAGAATTGAAATATGAACGTAAGAATGCATCGTCTGGATGACACAGCTTTGGGTAATTGAATACACGAAATGGAATCGATGACGATCATAAGAAATAGTGGTAGTCTCTTTCATGTTGTAAGATCAAATTTAGTCCAACGATCGGAAACTTTCGATGAAAAGAAAGAAATAGAGAAAGTTTGGATTGATTTGAAAAGTAGTTTTTTTTTTTTTAACAAAATTTTAATGTCTATGCGTTTGCGCTCATAGTTCTTTCTCCTTTCTACTGTATATGTATAATAGTGCTTATATTTTCATTGTAAAAATTCAATCCATCGTAATCGTGCTGCTTCACTTTCCCTAATTAAATGGAAACAACAAAGAAAACAAACAAATCATCGAAACGATGTAAAATGCACGAACACACAAAAAAAAAACGTAAAATAGCGTCATACGCACAGAAAACCATTTCGAATGGAAAGCAAATGTATCGTTAAGCAAATACTGTGTAATTAGTTTGTATGAAACGTTGAAGTAAACGCGCGCGACGCGCGGTCGACGTTTGCGCTTCACCAATGCATACAACAATTCATTTTGTACGTATGTAAACTTCTATAAAAATAATTTTTCTATATTTAGCTGAGAAAAAAATTATTTCATTTGCATTTCGCTTTATTTTCTTTAACTCTTCTGTTTTTTTTTTTGCGTTGCCATATTAAAGTGGCCACTGTGATTTCAAATCAGTTAAATTACTTTTTCGAAATTTTCACTCATTCGCTTTATCCAAATTGTCTGATTCTTGCTTGTTTTGTGCATATATTTCACAATTTTTCGTAATTAAATTTCGTTCATTTCGTTCCTTCATATAACATTTCACGGATAAAATGTCCAAACTATCCAAAAAGGAAAATGTTTTTGCATTTTCATAAGAATTCCGAAATAAATGTGAAAACAATTTAAATGTTCTTTGAAGAGTGTAAACTTTAAAAAGTGTAAATGGCAAGCTCTAAATTGATGTCATTCACAATTCAATGCAGGTTTGCATCATTTTTCTCAAACCAATTGAACATATACCATAGAACATTTATCGGGCAAAGTTAACAATACGATAAAGTCCATCAGAACGATTTCCTAAAATGATATCATTACGTGTTGAATTCAAAAAATAAAATAAAATATAAGCGCGGATTGTTGAGACTCTTTGTTCTGATTTAAAAAGAACTATTTCCGATTAAGGTCAGGTGACCGATAACCTTTTCAACACAATTTTCTTTCGACTACTATGCAACGATCACTACAAAAATTCAATTCACATTTCGAAACTAATGATTCATTTGGTGAATGAACAATAGAAACTTGGCTTTTGAGTATGGTCCAAATGGCAGTAGTCTAAAATTAAAGATTCGAATTTGGATGATAGAAATTGTATTTAACAAATGAATAATTGCATTTCAATGCTTAAATTGTACTTAAAGTGCATAATTTCAACAGAGTTTGGCAGTACGTTTGAGAAATAGAGAACCAGAGCAAAATTGTATTGCAAAAAATGTAAATGAAATCATTGAAAAATACAATAATGAGCTAGAGGGAGGAGCTAGAATAGAAGAAAGACATTTTATTGAAAATGCATACGAACGCGAGAATCTGTAATAATGTCAAATTTACTTCATTATTGTTATAAATACAGGAATTTTCATCGATGAATACCATTTAAATGATTCAGTCTTCTTCATACTGACACAAAAATACACACAATTTTGAAATTTAATTGGTTATCATGTAGTGTCTTTTAGTAAAAGCAACGATTGTTTACCCCCTGAGTATATGTTCGTACTACATTTCCATTCGAAACTTCAAGCTTCGATTATGTTTTCGTTGCGAGTAACGTTATATAGTGAATGGCATGAATAAACATCTTTGTCCACTTAAAACATATATTGACTTCGCTGTGTCGGTTGTATTTGTATATGTGTTTGCATGTGCATGTGTTATACCGCAAATGAGTGCCAATAGTAAATACACTGTATATTTAATTCGAGGGGCTTCGCAAAAGCTGACGAAAATTCAATTCAATTTTTAGCACACCTCGGTCGAATGTATTTGCAATATCAATGTTGAAAACTACATTTCGATAATAAAATCAACCCCTCGGGGAACATCGATGCTTCATTTACCGAAATTACTTTGAATTTAATTGAGTTTTTATGTTTTCAATTTTACAAAAATGAATCATATCTTAGTTCAACAAATTATATTGAACATTCAATTTGCACATATCTTTCGATTCATTCATCATCACACTAAAATTCTCATTTAGGAAGTGGAATTTGTTTTTGTGCTGTCAAATAAAACTTCCGTTCATACGAATGAGCTTGAATATGAAAGTTGAGCGATGAGAGAAAAAAAAACTGCATATATGTGTTTATGTAAGAAAGTTAGTATGGAGACTAGGAACTAATAAATAAATATGATTGGTCTTGGACTAGTCGAATTTTATTGATTTTTTTTTGGTTTAATTTTTACATTTTTTTTTTTTTGAATAGACGAAAGCCAACGAAGTTTTTATAAGCGAAAACATACCATTAAATTTTATTGACAGTTTGTTGTTAAATAAACAGCGCTTCAACTCGCTTCAAATAGATGAAGCATTTTTTTTCTCTCTATTTAACGGGACAAATGCATCGGCTAACCAAGTGCAAAATGCATCGTAATTTGCAACAAGTTCATCTACTATTATTCGAGATAGTTATTTTTAGAAAATGTGTACAACGATTTAAGTGACTGTAATCAATGTATGACAGAATATTTGGATGATTTTGATAAACAATAAATTAGCCTATTTGGTTCATATCATTTTCCATGTCAATTCGATCATGAAATAGTTACGTTATACGTGTTTTGTCTTAAAATGAAATTCGTTAAGAATTAATGTCGCGAAAATGGAAAGCAAACTATAGATATGTGTATCGCATATGAAACAACATTTGTTGTTGGTATATGACATTACATAATCTTATAAATATTTAGCTCCATTGTTGCAAAAGCTAAAGTAAAGTTACCTCCACGAATATGTAACCAATAGACGAGATGTTAAATGCAATTACTTCACCTGTTTTCGTTCGCAAAATGAATTCGGATTAAAGTAATGAAATGATCAAATCTATCAATACACTGAAAAAGTGACTCTATTGCTTCATAGAATGAAAATCAGAAATTGCTCTACAAATTATTATACAGCAAGCAGTTTTTGTTGCATAATTTTTTTTATTTCCAGAGTTGTTCGTTTATCCACCGCAGAAACGTAGTTTATATATGTATTTGAACAAACAGATTATGGCCAAAGTTTTTCGAAACTAAAATTCAACGTCCAACCAATGAGATTTGGTCTGATAACGAAAACATGACAAGACATTTATTATTATTCAATTTCTCTCTCTCTGTCTCTCTCTCGGTGTGTGTCCAGTATTCTTATAAGCAAGCTACAATTTAGGTGCGTACATAAATTTTACTGTGTAAATTATGATTTCAAATAGCTTGTGTTGATGTTTCAAGCATCGTTCACAGCACTAAAAATCATCTTTTATTCAGATCAAATCCGTTTCAGGAGACTCATTAAATCGAAAACTTGCGATGAATTGTGTAATTTATGGAATCACGGTGAATTCTACTCAGTGGAAACAGTGACTTTGATATCATCCATAACGTGAATAGAGACTATATGATGATGATATGAAATAGTATACAACTTTTTGAATATAAAATTGAGCAAAAGAAAGAGAGTTTGTATACCACGCCCCCCACCTCTCAATTTCTCTCTATGTTTTCGCCCCGTTACTATAGTATACATTGAACAGACGAATACACAATCTAATGGGCACACAATTTGAGCATTTGCCTTAGCGGAAAATTTTTTCTCCGTTTACTCCAACTTAGACCACAACCTCAATGAGAATCGGAGGACATACAAGAAAAGACAACGGACAGTATGTGTATGCGTCTATCCGTCGTTGTGCGCTCTTATCATCTCACCATTTCAATTATATTTTATGTGCGCACAGGATAACGACAAGTTATTATATGTGAGCCTTTAATAACAATAAAAAGCTTTATCCATTATCGAAATGGAAATGCTTTTTCTGCATGGCATCAATGCGTTCGTGTTTGTATTTTTCTATGGCTGATACAATTTTAGCGCTGAGATGATGTTGATTTACTTCCATTTAGATTTCATATGAATTTATATGCAAATTTCCTTCAGTTTGTTTCACAATTAAAAATTAACTACAGCAGAAATGAATCGAGGTAGATGTGGCGCATTTTCAACACAACATTGAATTGAAGAAATGGAAAAGCGGACGGTAAATTTCCGTTAACCGAAAAAAGGAATAAATTATACGGTTTGTGAATAAAGTTGGAGGCAATAGAAGAAAGTTCGAAACGTAACAATTCAATATAGACAGAATATATGCGCATTTTTAGCATCGAAGAAAATAACAGTGAAAAACAGTATTTGGTTGTGAAAGAGAGAATAAATGTGCACGTTTAGTTAAACTTGACAGCGATTATGGTTTGAAAATCTTTAAAATGATACAAATGGAATGGTTCGCTTCCATTTTTGAAGTGTGAAAAGCGCCACTTCACGGGTTTTAGATTACTGATCAATACAATTTTCAATTTCACTTTCAGTACACATTCGTACACACGTTCTCAATATTGTATGCGTTACGTTCGATTTTTGGTTCACTTACACTTCCCATTCACACGCTATGCGGCACGCATAAAACAAACCAAACATTCCTCCATCCAAAAGAGATTGTAATGTGCATGTTATACCATATTGACTTGCGTCTTACCCTCTTGATTCAGTATATTGTGTGTGTTTGAAAATTGTTTGTGTCGTTTGTTTTTCTTTTAAGTTGCGGATACGTGCTATAACACCCCAAATAAAGTACATACATAGATATGAATGTGTATACCTCTACTTATATACCAATATAATATTGGATTTTAAGCAGTATATTGGAGCTCGGATAGGACATAAGCAAGAAGCTGGTCTTTGCCATATAAAGCTATACAACTTTTATGAAGTCAGTAACAAAGGGCTTTCAATGAAATTGCACGAATCTAATGGTGAAATTGTATGAAAACCAAAATTCCAAGTTCGAAATTTGTTCGAACTGCTTAGAGCATTGAGCGCATATTTTATGCGCAAAATAATAAATTGATTCGATTCATGTATTGTTTAGCCAAACAAAAAACGAAAACGAAAATGAATTTTACAAAATCTGATGAGATTCTAGGCCACACATCCAACTCTCTCGGAAACAAGTCGAAAATTGCGTCGAAAAGAACTTGAAAATCGATTCATTTCGAGCATACAAAAAAAAAAAAATATCACATTATGCTAACTTATTGCCCGCAACCCGATCCGATTTTTATGCAACTCCTTCTGTCGTTTGTGTGCGATGTTTCTCGGGTACGAGAAAATCCGTTTTTTTTTTTTTAATATTCTGTTTTCAACAATTTTGACTAAAGAAAAAGTCAATGTGTACATTATTTTGCATACATCCAGTTACGATGTTGGGATACCGGCTTCACAAACGATGATGTGACAGAGTTTGCTGTACGAAAGCAACCATCGAATGCGCTTGCTGTTTCCTGATCTATCGTATTTTATCCATGTAGTCATATAGTTTGCGTACATGTATTCCAGTAAGTGTGTGGGTGTAGCAGTTTTTGTATCTGTGCCTGTGAAAATGACTACTTTATCCCTCAAATGAGGTGCATATCATCTATTGGAATGCTATGTTTTAGAGAAAGCCAAACATACAAATTGTACACTATTAAGCAAAAGTTATATTGGATTTTGGTAGCTGAACACGTTCCCTTACACACATTACCTTACACACGCGCACACTGGCTACCGTAACCAGAGCGTATTTGTGTGAATGATATAATTTCGAGCAATGAGGATGGGCATAAGGACGAAGGAGAATGCAGCACCGAATACGACGATTTGAAATCCAATCGCCACTATTGTGGATGGCGTAAAATGAGCGTGTAATACAGTGAGTGAAATGCTTGTGCAAATGTCACTATTGCCGCTTGCTAAATTGGAAAATTTTCCAGATTTTGTTAAGATTAAGTCATTGTTCTGCATGTTGGTCCAAAGTTCATGTTAACGCGCCAAGTCCAGAATAAGAGAGAGAGAGAGAGACAGAGATCATTTCTTGGCCATTGTGGCACATTTTTTTTATTTCATTTCCGAAATTTTTATGACATATGAATATGAATGATAAGCTACAAACTGAATGGGATATCAACACTTAGCTTTGGGATGCATAACATGTGTCTCATCAGTGAATCCAATGAATGAGAAAGAAAAAAAAAGACAATCCCTCAACATTCCATTTCGTAAAACGGATTTAAATCGAATTGAGCTTCAACCAAATGGAACATTTGCCATCATTTTATTAATTTCCTTGACATCAATTTAAATGCTTGCAGATTAAACACTATCGTATTTTATACCGCACAAATGCAAATATTTGAATTCTCTATGAAATTGAAATTCCGGTATTGTTAAATCACTAAATAGTGATTTTCTCTTCTTTAGAATGTAATTTTTCAACATATCATAGCTTATTTTATCCCTTTCCAACACAATAAACCATTATGAAGATATTCTATATTCATGCGAAATTAGTTCGCACTTGGCAAAACAATTATTTTACCGATACGCTTCAAATCGATAGATTTGAAAGAGGCAGCACTATCGTAGTGGTATTAAAAATATTGTATACTTACAACGTGAACGCTGCTTTGTAAATTTCCAGCGAAAGATGCATTTTCTGGTTGCTTTTTATCAGCTTTCTTGGCAGCTTTTTTTGCTTTGTTTTCCAAATAGCGCTTTTGTAGATTCACTGTTTCTTGGCTCTGCTGTTCGCATGTTCCGGTGAACGTTTGTTCGAACCGTGGGCCACATACTGTGTGATGTTGACGATAGCCCCCAATACGTTTTTTCAATCGATCGAGACCATTGCCAATTCTGGATATATCTGATGGCGCTTGCTGCTGAAATTGGGAAATTCATTCAAATTATGGAGACCATTCAAGTTTTAACCCAACTGATTGAGTTTGTTTTCTGATGTGTTTGCCATTCAATATAATCATTTAATTTACCTGTTGGTGTGCCGAATTGGCATTCGGAAACGTTGGTACACTTCCTCCATCCATACGAATGAATAACTACTTGTGGTACACGCCGATGCGCTCCACAATATTAATATTTTATATTTGATATTTTGATTTAATTAATTTGCTCAATTTTTCTCTGATTGCTTAAATGACACTTAATTGATCGGCTTTTCATCTAATCCTCTTGTTTATTGGCACACATTCATAGTTCGGCTCGATTATTGCTTTACGCTGCTTTTAGCTGCTGACGATGACACTGAATCCACTTAAACTGTTATTATGCTAATGATAAATAAATAAATTCAAACGTTTTAAATTAGATTCTATTTATTACTTATTGCATATAAAGAGATATTATTTTCTTGGGTCGCGATTGTAATATCGCTTTTTACACATCGTTTAGATGATAAAAGATTCTTAGATTTTCTTATTTCAATATGTGCCACTCAAAATGTTTTCTACAGTGACAAAACATCGAACAACTATTTTATGTGACAAACTCAACGCATTCTATGGCTATGAGTTTTCAAACAATTTCAAAGTTTTTATCGATACAAATTTCCGCAAATGATAAAAGTAAACGATAATATCGATCAACATCAATAATTATCTTTTATCAGCTTAAACGTACGTAATAAATTTTAATAACAAATTTTACATACGTTTGAATATTTCAGAATATTTACTCAAATTTTATATTCAAGAATTAATTTGCAACCGCAAATTATTAAGATCATTTATTGATGATCAACATACTTTTTTGAATAAAATTTTAAGTGTGCTTTTAACATACTGTGACGGAAAGACAAATAGAAAAATTGAGATTAGGTTTGAATTTGGTCGGTACAAAACAAAATTTCGCGCTTGAAAAGTAAGCAGATACGATCCCTCGGCAAGATGGATCTATCTGTTATGTAAATCAACATATAAAATGATCATGTTGTGTAAAATTGAAAAAAAATCCTTCCAAACATACATGGGCACGGAACAAATTTAAGAGGGAGGTCCATCAGCGAATCAAAAACCTTAGCAAATCGAAAGAATTTTTCTCTCGGAGTACCTTAGCACAACAGGATTTTTTCGGTTTTTTTCGAGAGTCGAGCGCTATCCATATGAATACATTGTGACGTCACACATCTTACACAGAAACGACATCTTTGTAAAACAGACTAACTACAATGTAAAAGTATAGCGAGAGGGGAAGGGAGTAAATAAAAAGGGGAAACAGATACGTTTGATTTACATTGTAGTTAGTCGGTTATTAATAGATGGCGTTTATATAGTGTGCCCTTATTGCGCTTGACTCTCGGTTTTTTTTGGAGATCACTTTTTTGACGAAAATCCCTAGCAAATTGAAAGAATTTTTCGCGAAAAACCCTAGCAATTTTAAAGATTTTCTTCCATTTCTAAAGTTGATTAGCAAAAAAAAAGGTCTTCACTTTCCTGTGAAAAATCCATATCAAATCGGAAGATTTCTCAGCTGCCGTCGAGGGGGGTTAGCTCGGACGATTTAAGAGGGGGGTTATCCGGGGTTATCCCCCCTGTGCCTATGTATGCTTCCAAATCAAATGGTTTTTCAACAAAAACTATGCATTTTCCAAACACCGGCAAGTGTTTTTTTTTGTTGCAAGAATTCAGATGAGTGTATTGAAAACTTCTTGCCAAAAACTTGGCATGTAAATAAATCTCCGGCCAAAAATGTATATTGTGGTGTAAACAAATGTTCGATGCAAATGAATCTCAATGTTTATTTATGAGACGAATGACATTGGTTTCATTTGCCTTTGCGTTGGTCCAAATATGATCATTTCTTAATGAACGATTTCATGATCGAGTCAGAGAATATTCATGTGAGAGACGAATCACTGCAATGAACAAAGAAAGAAAAATGATGGTGAGCATCCGGTTTGGCATATTCCTTATGCATAGTCCAGTGTGCATGTTGTGAATATTGACGGCGTCATTCTTGTAACGTTCATCGTGCATTGCGCATTGTGCAGACTACAGTTTTGCCGCATCTACACTGTACAATGCACATCGGCTCATAATTAATTTTCTATTAATTGCAGTCTTATGTGAATATTTCCGTTGTGTGATGCCATTCTTGGGAGCGATTGCGTGAAATAATGGCAAAAGTGTGAATGTTTGCCACATGCAACGAAACAACGGCGCAATTTTTCATTTGCCAATTGAATACAACGAGAAAAATGAAATAAAATAAAATAAAACCCAAAACAGCAAGAATAATATTGAAGCTCATAATCTTTTTCACATGCCTATTTTGGGCTCGACACCGAAACTGATAATGAGTGGACTCGTTTAACTTTCAGAACGTTGTTACCAACGGCGCAAGTAATTCACACTAATATAAAATTTATGTCTATTGATGCGCAGAACATTTGCACTTGTTTCTAAAAAAAAGTAGGTTAATTTAATTTAATTCCCTACATTTTTTTCGCGCGTATTCAACAGGTTGAGCGACTTTTTGAGTTTTTAATCTCGGTTTTTTTGTTATTGCTTCATTTAATTTGTCAATTTGACACGTGAAACTCAATATTGATTCTAAGTGACAATTCAATTGTCTGAGTGACCCAACCGATTTTGATCACTGACATTCCAATCTAAATTTTAATCACAACTATTTCGTATCCGAACAATTATTTGTCCAAAAAATGTTTGAGATTTGTGTATAATTTAGAAAACACACAAATCGTTGTTGGGAAAATATCGGAAAAATCGTGTGTTGGGCATACAGAACCACTAAACCTGCAGATTATTAACAAAATCAACATTATCATAATAGATGCAATACAATAGAATAGAAAATTATACAGTTGCCTTTCTATTCGCGTATTAGTCACACTCTCTAAAATCATTCGTTTTCACCAGCCAGATTTGTGTGGCTCGACCACAAGAGGTTGTTTCTATTGTGAAACGCAACAATTTATTTGTGCACTATTTGCACCGATGATCGTTTGTTGTTTTTATAGTCAGTGTTGTGTGTGTGTGTGTGAGTTTAGTTTTTGCATAAATTTCTGAATTAATCGAGCGAATATTAATTAAAATAGTATTCTACACAACGCGAACATGTCATGAATTTATTTTATATCAAAGGATTTCAATGATGTTACGAAACATGCATTTTCCATTAATCGATGTATATTCAAATCATTTTAAACTCAATTTTAAAACTTAAATGTGATTATATTTTCAGTGGGCAAAGTGATTATTGAAAGCCAAACGAGCGAGAGTACACACACACACGCGCAAACACAAACAATTTCATTACTAAATGATTCAGAACAAAGCCATCCAAATCAAAATCGGCGTGAAGTGATTTATTTGTTTGTAGTTTGACTCAAATTATACTTGTGTGACGATTATTATATATGAATTCCTTATCTCGGCCGTCAAAAAGAAACATTTTTTTATTCCTCTCTGTCGTAACAATGATGAACACACAGATACATATAACAAAGTAAAAACAACATTGTTTATGATCTATTAAAACAAATACATTTCGGATACGCGCGGAAATGCCGTTGAATATTGATGGTGTACACATACAAATAAGCATTTGGAATGCAAACAAACGGAGCAAAATAGAAAGTATATCGCATCGTTATACATGGATATCGATTCGTTGTTGTATTCCATTGGCCTGTGTATTCGTCAACATTAACCCATTCGTCGCGTCGATACCATATCACCTTACACACATATAATGACTTGCATGAATCTTTGTGTGAATGATTTAAATAAAAAAAAACATTTTTTTTTTTTTCAAGAAAATAAAAATGTTCGTTGAATATTTTTCATTCGAAATGGTTTTTATATGTAAATGTGGAAAAGATTCTTTGGAAAAATCAGAACATAAAAGTTGAAATTTATAAGTTAAAAGAATGCATCTGATGAGTGGGTTAATGACAAAATACTTTTGAAGTAAGAAAAACGCATACAACACTAATACATTGAATGAATGCGCGCTACAAAATGCTTTGTAGTTTTGTTTTTGTGTGTTATTAGCTAAACAAATCATTTGTTTTGATGACACAATAAAGAGAATGTATTTGGTTGATTAGCCCCGGTGAGCAAAGACCGATTAAATGAACGACTGCATATCGTGAACATTTTGTTATGACAATAATAAATTTCATTCAAATTGAAAACGAATCAAATACAATTTTAGGATATGGTATGGACTCAATTGGTCCGTTCATCATATGAATTCGGATTTATTCTTACGAAATTACGAGACTGAATAAAATGTGTCAATTATGGTATAGTCTAACCAAATGCATTGTCAATATGAACGCATTGTTTACTTTGATCATATCAGATGTTGTTACTTAATCATGCGGTATGCATGTGAAATGTTATAAATTGACAAGGAAATGGTTAAATAACTTTTTACAAAATAAACAAATATGCAGAATTGAATGATTTACGTGAGATACCAATGAATTGATTTTCCTCATAAAAATCATTCCAATTATTATTTCGTGTAATTGAAAAGAATTCAATTAACATGCAAATGTCCACTTGGTAATGCTTGTACAAATCCTTTGTATGTGTACATGCGTTCTATGCTCTTTGCGAATGTGGGTAGTGTAGAAAAAGGGTTGGAATAAAAATAAATAAATAATATAGATCGTATCTTAATGCAGGCATTGGTCTATCGATGAGGTAAATTGATATAACCCAAACTAAAACGCAAAATGAGATAATTACGTACGAAATGGTTAATTTGAATAAACGTACGTTATGTGTTCAATACTTATGACGTAGGTATTATGTATACAATTTAACGATAGAAGTCTGATCTTTGCAGCCCCTTTTCAACTGGAATAAATTTATTATCTATTCGACGAATGCGTGTGTGTGTGTGTGTGTGTGTGTGTGTGTGTGTGTGTGTGTATTTTTTATATTCGGTTTCTTTTTTCGTCATGTATCGATATTTTGCTTGTTGTTTTGTTGCTATTATTTATTTGAAATAACCAAATGCATTCCATTTGACGAATCACATTGAAAAAGAGAGAAGACAAAAACTATTTAATTGTATTAAATGTTCCTTCGATATTTTTTTCTTCTATTTTTATTTGCCTTTATACACGGTCGATCGTTTATTGTTGAAGAAAAATCGACCAGTAAGAGAAATGCTTGACAATAAAGTTAAACAAGAAAACAAAAATACTCGACGAAAAATTGAATAAAATTAAATACATATATTTATCGAGAGTTCAAGTATTGGTGTACACTCCTGATATACATATATTTTGTTTCGTTTTTTTTATTTTGTATTAATATTGAATCAACTGAAATGGCTTTCGTTGAAATTCTAATCATATATTTTTTTACAGCGAAAGTTGTTCAACTTTTAAAATGATTAGTCATTTCTCATTCAACTTGAGTTGACATTACACACAAATTCGATTACTTCTCTCTGGCACGATGTTCTGATAAAATAACGAAATATTTCCTTTGACATCATCATAGATAAAGTAGGAGTGAATACTTTGAATCATACTGATTGACAAAGCGCCAATGCGTACTGTGATATTAAATTCTACAAAAGTTTTTGAAGAATCAAAACGTGTGCTCTTTTTCTTTTAACCCTTGTCGGTTGTCAAGTATTCACATAAAAACTGATGTTAAGATATTTAATAGTCGAAAATGAAATTTCTTCATTAAACGGAATAGCTTCTGACGATGGCAATCCAAGGGGGGATAATTCCAAAACAAAATTTTTCAAAATTTAGAGGGGTAATTTGGTCTCTCAAAAAAAAAAAGTTGATGAACTAAAAGAAAAAGATCCTCACTTTGCCGTCGAAAACCGTTTGAAAATCGAAAGATTTTCTCTCGGCAAAAATCCCCAGCAAAGTGAAATTGATGACCCCAAAAAAGGTCCTCACTTTAGAATTAACGCAAAAGTTTTCCGCAATTTGTAAAGGGGTAATTTCAAAATTCGTTCCCCAGAGGGGGTAACCCCTGGTTAGAAGCTATGAATAATGTCAAAAGAAATTCATTTTCAAGTGATTTTGTAGTGTGTCTTAAATAGTAGTATTGTCGTATTTTGGTTTTGTGTATGACAGATGTAAGTGCATACTCTACTCTTTGTATACAATCGACCATAATGCATTAACTACGAATGCTCGAGATAAACAATGGTTTAATTATCGAATAACGAAACGTAAACGTTATTGACAATGAAGAAAATATAGGTTGTTTTTGTCGGAATGCGCATTATATGACATTGTTTTATATTTGCTTCTCTAGGCTTCTGGAGTAAAGTAATCATAGATTCATTCATATGTTGCATTAATACTTCATTTGCTGAATGATCTTTCTTTATACACGTACTACACACACACATACATACAATGAGTGTCTTAATATACTTCTGCGTTCAGTCATTCCGTCAATTTGTACGGAACTTGAATTCATTGTGTATGTATTTTATTTTTGTTTATTTTATCTTCATTCATAGTTGCAATTGAGAAAAGAAAAACTAGAAATGTGATCCGTTGTGTATATAAACACAAAATGTGTGTTCAACAGCTCACCATGAAAGATGAAATCAACAAAGTGCAGTTGACAAAACATTATGCCATAAATCACCTGAAATGCAATTCAGGATCATTGCAATTTAATTTCATAAATACTTTATTGAAATTCATACAACAACTGTAATGAATGCAATTTTTTTTTCGTCATATTATATTTTTAGATCGTCAACGATTTGTTGCAATGTAAATTCTTAAGCAGAATCGACTGAGGCAATAACACAGAAAAAAAAATTGCGATAGAAACAGAAACAGCGATAGAGAGAGAGAGGGGGGGAGGAGAGTAGCAGAAGAGAAAGAGTAAGAGAGATCACAACTCGTACGCACACACACAGAGAGATCGGTATTCAACAAAGGTGCACAACCGTTCCGATTCGTCACGATTCGTAAACAATGAAAATGCATTCAAATTTTTTTTTGTTTCCTTCTAGTTAATTAGTAATCACAATCTCTTGTGATTGCTGCTGCACTTTGTAAGATCAAACATAAAAACGATTTATTTCATAATTTCTCGAGCGATCTCAAATCAATGCAAAAATAAATAAATAAATAAACAAACTGAAATCGATGTATTGAAATACATTCCGAGTAAAATCGCCACTGTTATAATCATTTAAATTTCATTCAAATAATTCGGAAATTCTACAATTTGTGCCAGCAATCGTGCGCGCGCGCTCACTCTCTTATCGGTAATTCAATTTGAAATACGTACACACATTTCACAAATAAAAATAATCATTGAAACTCGTAATCATAAAAAATGTTCTTGGAGAGACTTACAAAGTATCATAAACATCACAGTTAGTTATAAACAAAGTTTAGATGATATACATCGATTGTGATCATGCAAAATAGATTTAAATGGAAATTAGCATCGAAGCAAGTACTTGGACAATTTTTTATTTGTTTGAAATCATCATCAAAACAATCATAAATTATGGGACACACAAGTTTCCGTTAGATTTCATTGATTTCAAAAACATTCAAGCACACAAAAATAGTAGAGCAAAAAAAAAATCACAAATCTTAATGAATTTTCACTGAATAACAAATCTTCATAGTATCGAATAATAACGAATTTATAAGTCAGTCACTAACCAAGTAAGTGCACCAAATTTGTTGTGTCGTTCGAATTGTTGTAAAATTGTTTCTTTTTTCTCGATTTATATTATGTGAATATTTGCATATTTTTATGTCATATTTACAAATTTATTTATTCACACACAAAAACACATATATTCTGAGCGAATAAATGCTCGATTCTGTTTCGGTAATTACACTATAGTCTTTGAATTGTTCGCCAAATTTGAGCTAAAAACAACTGTTCTATCGCGATATTATTTTGCATCGAGAGAGGAAAAAATTTCAATTAAAATTATTACTTTTTTTTACTATTTTTTTTTTATTTTTATTTTTCCAATTCGTGTCGAAATGAAAAATCAAACTAAATATTTTGATGTGTTCTGAGTTGAGTACGAAGACGAGATGGAGATCGACAACGAAAACGCGTGCTTTCATAAAAGGCCATTACAAAATACTGAACACACATACCATTTTAAAGTATACACCATTCGATTTTACATTGTTGAACAGTAGAAGCGAAACGAAACAAAACAGGAACAACACACCGAGAGCTCAATCAAATGCCGAACGGAATATAGAGTGTTGAGAGTGCGACAGCGAACAGAGTTCAGTTCATTCGTTCGGTCGGTCGTCACGTATATGTATGCATGAATGTAGCATATATACACACACTATACAGAGGGAAAGGGAGAGAGAGAGTGAGTGAGTGAGTGTGTGATACACAAAAGTATTTGCCGCCGCATCGAATTGTCACTGCGATGACGATGGAGAGGTTGTGCTGCAGCTGTTGTATTTAGTGGTTTGCTGGTTGTTGCGTTAACGCTACCATTCGTTTAAAACCGAATTGAAGCGACTCTCTTGTTTTCCGTATATACAGAATACAAACAATGCAATGTATTCATTTATTCATCGCCAACGTTGGGCGCTTTATCGGTACGAATGGCATAAATGAAATGTTTTCAGGATGATACACACTTTCTACTGTTCGTGTGTAGTGCAGAGCAAAATTCAAGTCCTGAACATTCCGACAACTACGATACCTCCGGATCGAGTTGTGAATACAATGTGCCAATAATGGGTATATCATATATCGCTTGGATGGGACTGTTGTTTGCCTATCATTTTGACTTCTTCTTCTTCATCATCATCATCTTTTTTTTTGTTTTGCTTCAGCCCAACCAAAGTGACACACTGCGGTGCAAAACAATTGCATTTCGATTATGCAGATCTGACTTAAATCCTTCGGCAAATAACATTGAGCCATCAGTTCAACATGTTTTCTTCTTTCTTTCTTTCAATTTTTCCGAAATGTGTGTGTGTGTATGTTTTTTTTCGTCTTCAGTCTTCAAACGAGACAGAAAATTGTGTGTTGCTCCAAAATGGCTGAGATTACAACGTTCGTTTTGAATTTTTATTGTGTGCAAGTGGAAAAGGTAAAGTGGGATATATCTCATGTGTGACAGGTAAACATTGGTATGAGAAGACAACCTGATAAGTCAATGTGATGTGCCATCTAATTACGTATTACGATGCTGTGGCTCATTGAAGCCAACCAACCATTTTCCATTGAACTTGTTTTCTCGCTCGCACGCTTCCTCCCTCTCGCCCCGGTGAAAGAGAATATGAGTGTGTAATGTGAAATGCTTGTCCATAAACTGAATCTATATATAAATTCAAAATCAAATATATAGATTTCGTTTGCTTTGTATGGAATAGCAAACGCGTCAAATATCACCCATATTATGGCATACGGTGTAATGTGAACTACTCGGTTTAATGGGCAAAACTGCGAACAACCGAACGCACAAGCATTTATCATTTGTATATATATTGGGTATGTGTGCCTCTGTATGTGTTTTCATATGGTTATTTTGTTGTTGTTGTTGTTATTCATTCTCTTCCTTCGTTCGACGAATCCAGAAGAAGAAGAAAACTTCGAAGAATTGGAGAGAAACGAGCAAAACGTAACACAAGAATGGAATGAACGAACGTAGCAATACGGTCGCATCTGAAACGGTAATATAAGTTGTGTTGTGGTGTAAAAGAGTGCGCATTGTATGTAGTATGTGTGTGTGTCTATACACCAAAGTGCTATGAATGTAGCAGCAGCAGCATAAATACTTCTCTCAGCGGTTCGATATCGCTGCTGCGGGATGTTTCCATTGCTTGTTTTTTCAACCGTTCACAATCGCTTATCTCAGTCGCACACGCACTCCATCCCGCTTTCTCTTTGCCGCTTGTCCCTGCTTTCTCTCTCTCTCCCTCTCTCTCTCTTTCGGCCATCAGTCGAAGCAACAACGATTGACATGGTGAGCAACGAGCATTTCAGCCGTACATCCATTCATTCACACATACAATGCATACATGAAGTTTTATGTGATATTGCGCGCGCGTCTTATTTTCACAACGTCGATATTTGTGTGTCTGTTCACTTTTTTGTTCAATATGTATACATACATGCTACTAAACTGTACAACAAAATATCATTTGGATTTCGCTCATTATGTTACTCAGTTTTTTTTTATTATTCGAATGTTATGCTCTTTTCTTCTTCTTTTTATTTTCATTTATTTTATGTCGTTTTTTTTCGACTTTGGTTTGTTCGGTTATCGTTTTGTTTGATTATTTTCGGAATTAATTTTTTTGTTTGTAAATTTTTCCTCATTGAAATCTGACTGTAGCCGAGTCGCATGCGATGTGTATTAATGAAAAACATACAGAGAAAAGGCAATAGAAATGCAACGGTAGATAGAATCGATGTACTGTAGCAATTGTCACACGGTCGACAAAAATGTATTACTGTTAATTTTGATATGCTTACTGTTTGCTGTAAGATGTATGTTGATTTCTATTGCTTGGATGTTGAAGTTGCGCTTAATTTTTATTCACTCATTTTCGCTGCCACCGTCGTTGCTGTTTTGAGGCCGCTCTTGCTAATTTTCATTCGTATGAATTCATTATCCATGATCGTTTTGTTTAAAACAAAGACCGACCAGACGATATCGTTTTATTCGTCATCGTCGCTTTTGATTTTATTTTGACATTTTTCGGTGCCCCTATATGTTTTGAGAAACAATTCAATTTGGTTGATTGGTATCCTATTGATAGAATTTGCACTGATTAATTTTTTTTTTTTTCGTGAAGCATTTTTCACAATCATAGTATGTAGATCTAACGATCGAACTTGGTAAGTTTACCAAAAACAAAAACAATAAATTAATACAAACAAATGCAACAAGCTTGAACATTTTTGCAAATTTCATTGCATTCATTGGGGTCATAGCATGCAAATCATAATGTTGTGAAACGTAATATGGTTTGATTTTGATTCTTCCAGTTTTTTTTATTACGGTTTTTGAAATTATTCGAATATTTCTATATTGAAAAAAGCACTGTTCGAGTGCACTTAGAAACTGATGAAGAAGCTGTAAAAACTGAAGAAAGGAAGAGAATTGCTAGAGCAAGAGCGAAATGCCGAAAGAAAGAGAAAAAAGGCGAAAAAATATGGAAGAATCAGGGGAAATGATATTTAAAATTTGGTATGAACCGGAGCCGATGATTGTGTGAGTGGAATCATATACATTCGCTTCATATTTATATATGAAAGAATTCGTATCCTTGCACACATACAATACCCATACATAGTTACACATGCGGCTCTCTGCTTGTACCGTCGCGTATCTGAGCATTAATCATTTGTCCATACACTTTGTCGTTATTTGTCGTTTACATACACCTCGCTGAATGCGAGTTAATACACAATGGGATCGTTTGTAATTTATAGAAAAATTAATGAAAAGAAGAAGAGAGAAAAAAGAGAATAACCACATACAATCTGTTTTTAAATTCCAGGTTGAAGCACTAAGTATTGTACATCTCATGCACAGATTCATTCATTTTCTTGCGAATCGCTTGCAGATTCAGACATATTTGAGTTGGTTTACAATCTCGTTGAGTTTCTTTTTTATGCTAACTCATCGCTTTCAATGCTCCAAATGAAATTTAAGATTTCCATATATGTTTTCATTCGTTGTTATTTGGATTACAGCGTTTTTTTGCCAGTCTCTTGCAACAGAAGACCATTTTTTTGGAATGGTCAAATGCCGAAAATCAAAATTTCACACACCACAATAGATGACAATCGAATAATTAATAAACATTTGAAAATTTGGTAGTTTTCAACCGGAAAAAAATGGACAATATACGTATAGTGGTGCTAAATCGATAAAGTTTAAACTAGTCGACGAATAAACATTGAATGATTTCATATACTTATTGCTATGAAAATGGCATAGAGTTCGTCGGCCACAAAATAGCTTGTTGCTGCTGCTGCTGCTATTCGAGGATGCACTTGTGTGTTTACTACAGAGATATACCAGTCTCGCGCATACAATGCTATATGGAAGATTCTATATCACCACAGTTTAGAAAAATCTTGTTGAATAACAAGAAATTGTATGGAAAGCAATATAGAAATATCGAAAATCTTCAAATTGAATTCGGACAGTGCGCCATAAACTAATTTTTTCTTTTTTTTTTACAAAAAACTCCGAATACATTGCCAACGCATTTGTATACTATTGCGATTTTTGATTATATTATTGTAGACACAAATACTTGTTCAAACGGCCGGATGGCAAGCATTCACAGTTGCATGTATGCAAGCTTTCTGCTATAACTTTTTTTTTTTACTTTTGTTTTACATTACATTTATTCAATATGTTATGAGTACATTCAATTTTGAAATAAAAAAAACTACACTGAACTGTGTTTGAAGGCTTCTGTTCTTGTATGCGCTACCGTTGCAGGCCAGTATGTGTGCGATGTGCTGTGGTGTACAACATATTGGCTGAAGTTGTGAAATTGATGTGTTTTTTTTATTTATCCATGCACTCACGCACATTATACTATATATACTTTGGTTCATGCAAGAAGTGATTTTCATTGACCCCGGCATTTGTTCATTTGATCATTCGTATTGCTTAGTCCATAACTAAAGTTATGTACACAAATCGGTCCATTTACATGTGATTGATTCTCGTGTTTTCAATCACGATCGATCTCAATATGATTAGCCTTATGTGACCGTCCTCTTCTGTTGAGATTCATCGACTAATTAAGATTTGTAACAAAGCGTCTTTAGATTGACCGATGCTTTTTATATTCACAAATGAGATATAATAAATATTGGAAAATGCTTTGAATTGCGTCATTTTGTTGATTGATTTTCAAATATTCTAAGAGAAAAATTACAAAGATGAATGTGATTGTTAACTTGATCGAATTGTATTTTACATCATCGAGTTTTTTCAATCGGCAAAAGCTTTTAGCAAATCATTGGTGCATCTTTATTATCGAAATTCGTAAAATACATGTAATTTTAAGACTTTTTCTCCACTAGAGCATATACAAATTTTTTATTTTAGCTGTGCCAATTTTTGAAAATAGATTTTTTTTCTCAATTATAAAATATGAATATATGAAATTTGAAAGTGATAAAAAAAGCTAGGGGCTTAATACGGCAAAAAAATTCACAGGAATTCACGTAAATTCACACTTTTGAATCGAGTGGTTATTGATGAGTTCGGTGAATTCGTGTGAATAGAATGAAATGTGTCAAATTAATAAAGTGAGGTTATGATAACCGCAATATTTTTTTATTTATTATTTTTTCAATATTTCCGATTGTTTTCGATAGAAAATCGCTCAAAATTGAAAATGAAATTAATTTTTATTAAACAAATATAAAATACATTTACAATTTTGTTACACAAAATATAAATATTGCAGTAATTGCCAGCAGAAACTATTCACCACTATCTCACATATTTGAGTGAAATCGCCGTAGAATTCACCGGAATTCATTCGTTTGCAGAAAAATTCAGTTAATTTAGATATTATTATAGAATTCAGTCGTTGAAAATTTTGAATTAAGCCCCTAGAAAAAAAGTGTATAAAAAAGATCATTTGTACTGTCATTTCTAAGGTAATTTTGGACGCTGAATCCGAATCTGGCATTGAAAATACTCTAAATTCAACTATCAATTAAAAAAAAAACGTAATTTTTGACCAAAAAATCAAAGAAATGTAGCGAAATTTTCGTTCTTGCAATTGTTAGCTCATTTTCAAGGCTTGATTCGGATTCAGCGCCCCCAAAAACCCTTGAAATTACTATTCAAACCATAATGAATGATAAATTATTTTTTAAAAAATGCCATTTTTTCCTGCATTTTGTGACTTTTGAAGCGAAAAAAGCGTGATGAATGAAGAAGATGTTTCTGCCATTTAAATTACTCTATTTTCATAAAATCAGCGCCCTAAAAATTAAATTTGAATGAACAACTAAACAAGACATTCATATACGAAACATTTTAAGTTTATTTGCATCAGTGTAGTCCAAATTCAAACATTTAAACCTAATTTTAATAATTTTAATCAATTCATTTTGATTGAAAAATAATAATTGATGAAATTTGAATGAAAACTTAAACAATATAGAATATTAAAAATTATTTCAAGTCTCGTTTGCTCTCAGTTTTGGGCCTTTTTTCTCTCAATTCCACCGATGTCGCAATTTATTTTCGGTTTTTTGTAATCTCTCAATGTTGTCCGATCGAGATCATTTCGGATATGTTTTATTTTGTCGATTGCCATTTGACGTATAGGTTTCACATTGGAACAAATCATTGCTAGCAAAACATTTTCAGAGCTAGCAAAGAAGCTATTGTCTTGCATTACACTATGAACAACGGAAAGTAAATTCGGTGGCAGATAATTCGTCAATTGTATAAATTTGAAGAACAAAACACTTCCATATGCAATTGAATTGTAATATTTAACGTTGAAGTACATTGGAATGTACACTTTTATCACGGTCAAAATCCATACTACTTGCACCCATAGGTAATTCGGGTTGCCAAGTCTCGTCTGATGTAGCCACTTCTGAAGTTGTTACTGTTAATAATGTTGGCTGTGGTACGGTTTCAAGAAATTCAGTAATAGTGACATTTCTATCTGTCATCTGGTCCACAATAAATGTTTTCACGAATATAGGTGTATTTTTACATGTGCAATCCGTTGTTAATAAATCGCAATTACATTTTGAAACCCAAAACAAATTTCCTAGCAAACCACGAAAATCAACAAGACGATGGGGTGATTCGGATTTGTGTTTTGATGCTTCCCTATATTTGTTCATGAAACGGTCTAATTTTGTGCGAATAGATTTTCTTTGAATAATTGGCGTTGGAAGATTATTCCAAATTTCAACAATTTTATCCGCCACATGAGGAGTTATTGATTTGAATGAAATGTGTGGGTTGTCTTTGAAATAGTTTTCTCGCAAGAAAAAATAATGTAACAAAATATCGCCATACGTCGGTAGACGTTCAACGTTCAATTCTTTCGCTTCACCAAATAACTTTTTATCATGCTGCAATATTGAAGTTATTTTACGTTCCGGCTCGGGTTGTGATGACGACGATGAGCTTGCCATGATAAAGTTTGTATTCTGAAATGTAATATTCAACACAGCATCAAAAAATGTTTGCTTCATGTACGCATGTTTAACGACTTTGCACTTACTTTGCTTAATTACATGAACGAGTGAAGGAGGTAGAACTAAATTTGTGAATCGACTGGAAATAAATTGTTGATGGCGTCCCCTGCATAAGAACTTAGCAATTTATATATATTTATATTTTATTTCCTTTTAAAAATTTTGTTGTTGTTTTCTTTTTCATTTTCTTTTCATACATTTGGTTATTTGGAGGTAAATGCTCAAGATCTAATAAGTAAATCAAAAAGTATCATAAGTGTGATTTTATTCATTTGCTATCTCCCTTGTGTTTTGCTTCAAACGATATAATACGTCTTGTTTTCTATACTTCAGCTTTTCGCGTACATCAGAAACAGTTTCATATTCAGGTGCATAGGAAACATGAAGTATACCTTAAATGTGCATTGATTATTCGTCAATTTTAAATAATGATTCAACGTATTTACAGATCAGAACTCATACCAACCTCCATAAAAGTTCTTGCGATCAATTCTTGCTTTAGCTAAGCGCGCTTGATGCACTTTCTCATATTTCACATAGTAGCAGTCGGTGAATTGTTCGATTTGAACTGAAATTGGTACAAAAATTAGTTTATTCATACGAACACAACACTAACGTTACTGTAACCAACCGGTATCATTTGCTTTTAGTTCATCGGTTACTCTTTTCACTTCGGTTAATTTGCCATGCTTTGCAAACAGCTGTTTAATTTCTTGATAGAGATTTATACGTGGTACACCAAATACCATTAAATGTTTTGATTCATTTACAACCGTATATACCTGACGAAGAGAAAATGATGATATGAATATAATTCACAGTTCAACTGCTACACCATCAACAACAATAATAATTAATAGACACCTTAACAGCTGTAAGTTTACGTCCATCACGATATCTCAGTCGATTTGTACAGTATTCACGTTTTTTGTGATGAGATAAATCCACATGATTTGTTTTTTCCATTTTCTTTTCTACTTAAACTATGTATACGGATCAAAGTCGATCACATTTCAATTAAATTCAATTTGATTTCAAATGATGTTTTGTTTTGAATTTGCTTTTAATTGCGTCTATTGTCACCATTGATTCGAATCGAAATATTCAAACAAATTATGACAGTTCGCCTTGTACAAATGTCAAAGAATTGCGTAGAATATTATACCGCGAAAGTGGAAATAAGTTACCTAGAGTTGATTAGAAGAAAAGAAATAAGTTACTTTTAAAAGAAATTGAGCATTGATTTTTTAAAAAATCAATAAAAATGTTTAAAAAAATCATCAGAATCGATAATATTTTTTATTAATAACCAAAATAATATTTATTGTAACGATTTTTTTTTCAAAAACTCTTCCAGATTGTATGTTATGCACCGTCATATACAGGAGATTTGATATTTTTCAATTTATTTATTTTTTTAAATAAAAATTTCTGAAACTATCTTTTAAAATGGAACTTATTGTTTAAAATGTCTTTTATCGTAGAAAAGATGATAAAGTGTTGAAAAATCAAATGATTTTCTTCATAAAATTTCGTATTTTTGACTGAAGTTGGCGCCACCGGTGCGATACAAACTGTATTTTAAATCGCTGTCATTTCATATTATCCGATACATTGAGTTGTTTGTGTGTTTTTTTTATGTGATTGATGATCATCTTTTTCTTCTTCAAAAAGAATCAACCGCATTTAAATTTGAATAAGGGCCACAAAGGTCAATGTAATATTTCGTGAAAAAGTATAGTTTTCTTCGATAAAAATGATTCAAAGTGTGTGATGTTTCGATTATTTTTTTTAATGTGATTGACAAAGTACTCGTATTCATAAACGTATTTTCAAACGAAGTAAACATAAAAATTGTCCAGAACAATGGACAGAACGACGATCATGCAGGGTTCAATGAATCACAGCATAAAAAAATCAAATGAATCACAAAAATTCACCGAAAGTTTTCTTTGTGATGAGATCCATGATAATTTTCGAACACTAGCCTTGATTTATCCATTTAGCGATGATTTTAGAGATACATTTGAAAAGGTATGTAAGGATCTAAACAAAATTCCACTTCAATTGATGTATGTGTGTTTTTTCTTCCAAAAAAAAGGGAATGTTTATCAAACCAAATGCAAAAGCATTTCCACACGTCATGAAGTATTTATTTATGATTTGCGATCCAACTGATTTTAAGAAGAAATTTTGCTGGCCGATTTACAATAAAGCAGCGGAAGCAACATTTCGGTTAGTGTCATTTTTTTCTCTCCCTCACAAATTATGATCTAATTTATATTTATATACTCGTTCACAGCAACTCAACATTGGAACTTTTGACAAAATTGAACACCAAACATGAATTGGGACTTGTAGAAGTGAAAAATAAGATTTTAATTTTTCCCGGTGGCATGGAGTTTATGCGTGTGATATATGAACTAACTCGATTAGCAATGCAAATTACATTAAAACGAAATGGAGTACATGATCTAGAGAATCAACGGTAAAGAAAGAAAAAAAAATCACTAAAAAAGTCAAAAAGTGTATTCGATTCTTTTTTGTTCATTTCAAGGCCTACAACGTTAGCAACTGCAAGAAAGCGATTAGATGACCTGGAGAATCTTTACAAATTTGTTATCGAATTTAAAAAGTAAGTATATAGAATTATGTATCCAATTATTGACAACAATTCAATGTAAATTTTAATTTATAGAAATGTCGAGGAACATACATCTCAGTTAAAAATAAAAACGGACGCATTGCATCAATTATTGAAAACGGTAACGATCAACACAAATATCACGCCAGACAATATATTACATGATAAATTTACCGAGAGCTGGGAACATGTGCAGAATGATATTATTGAAAGGGGCATTCAGCCTGATGTTGAACGTGTGACAAAGTTTCAGAATGATTGTCAGAAGCTTGAGGAGAAAATTGATGCAATTTTCGAACAACAAACGATAAAATTTGATCGAAATGCATTGGCCGCATTTTCAGCACATATGCAAAAACAATATCCACAACTTTTTCATAAATTTGCTTCAATTGTTGAAAATGGTCATATCAATTTGGATCATATGTTGCAAGCACTTCCATTAGCAATTCCATCAATGTTACAATTAATCGAATCACATAAACCACGAAGTGTGGACGCAATGGCATATGAATCGAATCGTCTTCGAAAAATATCACAAAAAGCTGACGAAGTACTCCAGCGAACGCTACAACTATGTGAACCAACTGACTGTGAACGAAAGGATCACTATAGCGATATTATTGTTACACCTCGATTTGAAAATATTCAATCGATGATCTTATCAACGCCAACTATTTCACATGATGCCGTACAACGTGCTGAAGGTGCAGCTATGAAAACGAAACGTTTATCATTGTTTGATGATGTACCATATTTACGACCAGCCACATCGGTGATGAGCGTGGCACCGAAAACACATAATTCGATTCTCGAGGAATCGATTCGAAGTGGACATAAGCAATTTTTGTCGCCGACATGTTTGTTCAGCAAAGAATCAAAAACTAAATTGGATCCAATGTCCATTTTGCGATCGCTAACGAAAAAAGAAAAAAAGGATAAAAATGCAAACGGAAATTTAAAACCAAAGTCCATGAATTTGGGCCTACGATTTGGCTTGGGTGGAGTAGGTAGTAATAGGCCACATGAACTTTCTAAAATAAATGACACGATGCTCAGTGTGCCAGACTTCTCGTCAACGCTCCTCAATCAATCGAATGAAATCAAAGATACATTATTGAATGTAAATGAACAAATTAACACATCACTGGCCAAATCGATTGACAAGAATGGACATTCCGCTATTACAAATAATCGAAAAAGAAATTCGTTTCTCACAGGTGATATATTTGAAAATTCTGATCGTGATATAAATAGTTCGCCATCGGGTCGTATTGAACCATTGGTTACAATGAAACTCAATGTAAGCGGAGTTAAACCACTGAAGTTTCTCGACAATCAGAATGTATGTATTTTAAATGATTGGTTTGATAATCAATATTCAAAATAGGTTAAGTCTAATGATTCTTTTTTTTTTAGTCAAAACTTTCATTGAGTGGAATCGAACCAATTGAAGAGAAATTATCAAATGCAAATGAAATGTTCAAGTGCATGGCCAGCGACATCGATTTGAATAATATTGAAAACAATCAAAATGCACCAAACAGACATCGTTTCAATTTGAACAGCATGATAGATGTAAACGACGAATCTTTGATATTAAATATGAGCGATCATATACTAACTAATTTAGACGATAGTTTATTAACATAACATTAGGGATTCAATTATAGTTTTTTTCATTTTAGTTTATTTACAAAAAATAGTACGCATTTAGAACAAAGCTATTTTTTGTATTAACATTTTTTTTTTTCATTATTCTAGAGCTGTCAATAATAACGTTTATAAAAAATAATAATAAAGTGATCTTTATGCGAATGGAAAAATGATTCAATAAAGCTTAACAATCTAGATTTTGAAAACGATTCATTTATTTTAGCTATGCTACTCCCACTAATGATAATCAGGTATAATGGTTGATATACTTAACATATTTGTCTTATTTAAATTGTGCATTTTATGAAAATAGAAAAAAATGTGATTGGATTAATGCGCACGGGAATCAGACATTCTTAATCACAGTCGTCAAGCTTATATTCTTTGTACTTTGGCGAATGTAATTAGTTTTGTTTTAAATGTTTAAAATATTTATAACATGATCAATGGCCACTTTTAAATCTTCAATTGTTTCATTGGTTGAGTTGATGTCGTTATCGTCGCATAATTTCGGAGTAAGTCTTCTATCGGTCATGTATCGTACAACGTTTTCTCTAACAGCCCGCAGCTTTGTCGATATCAAACTATTTTTTATAATATTCTTGCCTTTGGCATTTTTTGCAACTAATTTCCAGATTGCAACCAAAATCAGCAGTTGCTCGTCGCCAATTTCATTCTTATCAAGAACGGTGTACATGACACGATGAAATTTATCGGACGAAAGTAATGCAGCACGATTCTCTGGATTGAATGACATATTTCGAAGAATTTCCAAGGCCAAACGACGATTTTTCGTGTATGAAGATTCAGCCAGATTGCACAATAGATCTAAATGACTGGAAACGAATGACGAATGGCATTAGTGACAAAGAAAACAATTTAACCGAATTCATTTAGATAACTTACGCTTCCTTGCTGGCATCGGCGTGACGAGTAAAAACTTCGAATAATTTAAGCCATAGATTTGTGATATGCGGCCATGGCTTTTGGTTTCGAGTAACTTGTGGATGAAGTCGACTCACCGTGAATAACATACGTGACTATAACGAAAATATTTCACGTTTAAATCAAAAAATAATACAAACTTCAGTTTTTATATTCAAACCTTCGTTATAAGTACACGGCCCTCGATGCAACAACAGCAATTGGTCACAATTTGCATTGCCAATTGAAATGTTTCCATTTTTGTTTGTTCGGTTTTTGGTTTGCCAGTTTCAGCTACGCAATATTCGATAATGGAATGTAAAAAGACGGACGAACCAACTGAGAACGGCGGAGAAGTGCTAAGCGTTTTACACACTAAAAAAGATATTCACACATTATTTATTCGAATTCGATATTTTCTTATACGTTATTCTAACCTGGCAATGAATTGTTGCTGAGATAAAGTAGCATTTTCAAAAATACAGTTTGAAGTTCAGTCTTTATGCCAATGCTTGGCCAAAATTTCTGACAAGATCCTATAATCGGTTGAATGCATTCCACATCTTGCAAACAATCATCACAGTACCAACATAGAATGAGGTGCAGCAGATGTTTTAGTTTTTCAATATATTTTTCAGCCTGTGAGAGATTAAAAACAAATTAGAAAGAAAAAAACTTACTTTTAAAAAACAACCGAAATCATTTCTATCTACCTTGGCATTTCCACTTTTGCGAGTATAGTCCGTAAAACTACCACCGATGCACACATAGATATTTTCCATTTGATCAACAATGGATAACATGAATCTTTCTTGTGTTGCAATTAATCTTGATTTTTCAGAGCATTTTAATAACGTTTCCAATGTCTTACAACATAATTCGTAACACTTCTCCTTATTTGCACTTGGCGACGGCTTGATTTGTGAATTATCGTTGAACTTTTCAAAGAAATTGACAAGTTGCCTGAAGATAATTTCAGCCGCACACACTCCATCCGATGATGGATCGGAATCGGGCATTTCCAACCAATTTACAACCGATTGTGATATGATGTCTGTATGGAAAATGAATTTTTTTGACGAATTTTTAACACTTGGCGGTAGTGTCATTTCATTAAGATGATCGGCGAATGTCATGAAACTGTAATTGGTTGCCTGGCTTATGATCATCAAATCGGTTATAAACCGCATGATTGGCATATTCATATCTAAAACAAAAGTCAAAATGCTATACTGACATTCGAAAATGTGCTTGTATATTGTAAGTCACCTTTATCAGATAATCCGTAGATGAAGAGTGTTACTGTACCAGCCATTAACTCAGCGTCTTGATTGAAGATCTCGCAAATGGTTGCAAAACCAACTGAAGACAGAGCCACTCGTCGAATAACTTTCAGTATTCTTGGCCAACAGATATGTTTTATTGACTTTGGAATTGATTCTGTGGATGGAATATTTATTTAAATTTTTGAATTTTTCGAACTTAATGAATCGAACATCACGACCAATTTACCTAATAAATCCACATTTAGAAATGAAATGAGACACTGGATAACATGGAATTCTCGAACGATAAGTTCGACAAGCGACCTTTTGTGAACAAAACACTGTAAAATCAATTCACTTATCTCCATCAGTAGTAAAATCGACGACTTATTTACTGATTCTCGAATTTTTGGTATCGATCTATAAAAGAGATATATGGACAATTGGTATTTGAATTGAAATTGGATGATTTAAATGTTCAAACATACTTGCTGATTTCATGCATTGCAACGTAAATAGGATTTGGGTCTCCAGCACCCTTCAGAGGTAGAATATGTGTTAATATTAAACAATAGGAACGCATTAAATTGCACGACACAATTTTCCCGGTGTTTGTATACTGCTCGGCAGCAATTATATCGTCCACATGCAAATATTTTATGGATGCTATAATTTTTTCAGTTAGCTTATGGCAATTTAGTAGGTGACCGATCCATTCACATCCCATTCCGATGGTATTTTGTGGATATAGTGTTTCATCGAGTTCGTTTTTATAATTTCGATGTCCAATTAGAGTGGCAAAGACAATTGCAGCATTTTCTCGTACAATTGCATATTCGGTTTCATCAAATAATGTATTCAAACAGCATGCGTATAGGCCACCCGGTAAACTATTCATTTCTATATTAGGATGTAAATTTATGGGAGATGTAGAATTATGAAAAAAGAATAACAATCAGTGAATAGATTGAGCTACAGCTATATCAGTGCTATTTTCACAGCTCCTATTCATAGCCCAATCTATTGACTGATAACAATGAAGATCAGAGGTGTTATTGGAACCAGAGAGGTGCGCTCACTTATTCCATATAAATTTCCATGTTCCGAGAGGGTAGAAGCTATGACAATAAATCTTACCTTGTACTAAATCTTTTGCTCCCTCCAATGTGTCGGCTATTTTCAATAAAATACTCCATGAATAGGTTCGAATTTGAAAGTCAACGTGACCACATAGCGTTGATAGATATTTAATGTATTTTTTCTCAATTCGAAACTCATGCTGTCCGGTCATCATCATCATAATTGCCAGAAGGCAATCTTTATTGAAATTCGCTCCTACATATGAATTTAACGACATGGTCAGTATCAACTTCAACAATTTGTTAGTGACAAATTGTGCGGTATAATTGATGTTTGACACTTTTCCACTGGCGACCAGAAGCCGAATAAGTGATACTAAACACTTTAATTCATCTGAAAATAAATGATGATTCGGTTAATTCTCTAATCATATCAAATTTTTATGCATTTAAGTACCTAATTTCTTTTCGCTTAAAAGTCCATCCATCCGTTTTAAGGCAATATCAAAAATGTCATCGTACAAATTACTGATATGTTTCATTTTGGCATTGTTGCCTTTGACTTTATGTGCTGATGGTTCCATGTCGGATGAACGATAAATCAATTGATGGATGATTTTTTTCGATTCTATTTTAATCGTTTTTGTTAAGATACTTTCAATAAACCGAATGTTGCACAAAAATACCGATGTTGATGCCTTTGAATTGTTGATGAGATCCAAGTGGATGCATTGCTTTTGATTGAAATTCTCCAGTATCCATATGTGTACATCGATGAAATCACGTTCAACAAGATTGGACAATAGACGACACATTCTCATGAACACGATGTCATCTTGTGCATTATTCGGCATGATGGTACAAAATCGTGTTATACTATGTAAGAATCGTTTACAATCCCAGTGTTTTCGATGTCCAATGGCGTCCACATTTGAGAAATTCTCAATGGCAGCACAGCTTACGGTGACTGGTGTCCAAGTTGTGGCATTTTTCAATTGCAATAACCAGTAATTCAAACAATTTTTCTGCGATATTCCCTCAACGATTTCCAAATCGGTCGATGTTGCGCACAATTGTCGATTGAATGATAACGATTCTTTATGGATTTTATAATCGAGTTCGGTATTTTTGCTTCCCTTTACACATTTTTGATAATCAATTAGTTGATCAAGTGAACCAAACCATAATGCATTGAATGTTAATCGAATGTATCGCCATATTTGTGGCATTTTCATGATTGATTCACGTGGCGATAATGGTTCATTGCTGAAATCTGTATGATTTGAATTTGTATCGGATGGATGATTTGAATTTTCACATGCCAAAATTAATTCGAGAAGATTATTATGTTCCAATGTTGTTTTCCAGCTAAATTCACATGCGATTGGTAGCAACAATTTTTTACAAACCGGTGGTAATATGAATTCTTTATTACCACCAACAATATAGCCGCTAAATGCGAGTGAAAACAATAAAATCGCACATTCACGCCTAAATTTATCCTCAGTTGGAAAAAGGAATAACGATCGCAAAATGAGCATGTATGTTTGAATATCATCTTCGATTTGTCGGCGAAACGATGGAATGCGAATGCACATTTTCGATAAAATGCCAATTATGTGAATTGCATTATGTGGATAATTATCTGTTGAATTTTCAAGTAGTGATCGATCAAGTGCCGTCAAAATAATTGAATGACCGTGAATTTCATGGAAATGATTCAGAGCGATCGGATCTTCAATGACAATATTCAGTTGTGTAAGAGTTGAATGTCGAATCGATGGTTCAGTGTGTGGATCCTGCAATACTGCCAACAAATTGTCAATGAGACGAATCTCATATATGTCGGATAAATCTTCGTTATTTGAATATCGAAGCGGTTCAACGATGCACACATTGTTCGGAATGACATCGCGAATTGAATCCAAATTTGGCATGTAGATTTCAGCGTTAGGTAGATTTTGTGTCAAGTAAATCAGTCGATCAAGAGCCTCTGCCTGGGTGTGTGAATCACGTGAGAACAATAAAGCAATGTTACTTTTGATCAGTATAACCGTTGGTAGCTCGCTATCCGGATGAACGAGCGAAAGAATTGGTTGGCCAAACGTGGTCGTTTGCTTTCCATGACATAATAGCAATGGCAACACTGGTGTCAGATAATTTTGAATGTCCTTCCAATTTTTGGGTAATAGCTTTTTCGTTCGAATAATTAAAGTTATTATAATCTCAGCATAAGAAGCAATCTGACGAAGAAAAATGTTTGCCAATCAGTTTAATCAGTTTATATGCGTTTTCAATATGCTCATGTTTTACCTTTGAATCGTCGTTGTAAAGGCCACTGCACACAATTTCGGCCAAAATTTCAGACGTCATCGGAATGTCAAACAAACAACTTCGGTGAGTGGTTGATGCATACGATCGTGGAACACTTTTCTTGCCATCCATTAAGCATCCGAAGAAAAACGATATTTTCTCTGATGACAGCTTATATACCAATCTAAACGAATTTGTAAATATTTTGAAATCTTTTGAGTTAAACTATCAAATTATAATAAATATAAATAAAAACGAACCGCTTCATTTCAACGCTACCGTAGGATAACATGTGGAGAAAAAGTGTTTCGGCATCCTCTCGAAGTTTTTCATTTGCATTATATTGCGGCGTCAAGCTGTCCGAATGACATTTTTAATCATTGAATATGCATTGTTAAGCAATCGACTTGGTAAAAAATCGACTTACCTGGTAATAGCATTGAAAAGGAGGCGAGTGAGATCTTCGCTTTCGACCAATGTTAAAACGTCCATTGATTTTAACCCATACGATAAAATTTTCTCGTGTTTGCATGTGTGTGGGTCTCTGAGTAAAGTGACCACTGGCTCTAGCATTTCTGTCAAATTTAGTAATAATTTGATGGGACTCTTGTCTGGAAATGTATCGATCTGCAAAGATTATTTTTCATTAATTAAACTCATTTTTTGTGGATAATTTCCTGGGCTTACCTTCAAGGCATAGACAATTAAGTCATTGACTTGTGGATAGTAATGTTTTAGTGGAAAATCCAACAGTGCTAATTCTAATTCCATTTTACAAAGACTGTCATCTATGGTTTCCACTGCTGTAACAAAGTTGCCCAATGTCGATTCGGAGGCTGTATTTGATAGTGAGTCTTCATGTAGATGATTCAAAAGTGATCGAGCTTCGCGAATTGATATGCGTCTCATTTTTTGACTAATATCCAAGTCGATTCTCGATTCATTGTGCATTGGTGTTGTTGTAACGCTCTCAGTTGATTCAGTTTCAGAGCAATTTCGACTTTCTTTAAACACCAATAAATTGCAGAGCAAAAATAGAATCGAAATTGAATTATTGCGATTTGTTTTGTGACCATTTAGACGATAGTTCGATGTCATTTCCCGTATGAATCGCAAAAAGTCAGCTAGTTTAGCAATCATTTCACTGACATGATATTCTGCATCTATGTCGATCGAATAAACACCAGCCCGTTTACAAACTAACTCAACAACCTCAATCAAAATTAAAAAGCATTCGTTCACACAAGCCTGAAACAAAATCATTTCAAAACATAAGCATTTTTTTCCGAACAATTCAACCTATGCATTTCACTCACCAAATTCGAATCGGTATAAGTATTTTGTAATAAGCTCATCACTGCCTCAAATGTCTTGTAACAATATGATCCAATTGTAATTTGTTTCCTTGTTAGATGCTGAAATATTAATATTATATTTTTCGTGCTTGCAGAAAAGATCGATATTTTTAGAAGTTGACTTTACAAGGGACTCTCACCTCTTTCAAAGCGACATGCATACTTGACACTCGCCGCATTGTAACACGCCGGGCCAAACTCCGTGTTAATTTCAAGCAACATGTCAATGCTGTTGTATAATCAAAATTCGGTTTTTCACACTCGATCAATTGCAATAGACTCTACAGAGTAAGAAACAAATCAATTTTCATTTTCACAGTTAAAAATTCATTTTAAATTAATATTTTTACGGCTAGTATCATTGTGGTTATTACCATGAACACAAATGGAGATTGAAGAAAGAATTCACCGGGGAAATCATTGACACGATGTTGAAAATACTGCAGCGCATGTTCCAGTTCAATGTGATTATTTTTGGCGCATAATGAAGATTTCAGCTGTGAAAGCTCTTGTAATTCCTTTTGACCAGCTTCTTCCCAAGCTGTCTCGTATTGTAATCCATCAGTATTGTAGCTTGAATTTGAAATCGAATATTTTTTTATTAAATTTGGTTTTAAATTCAATAAAACTTCAAAATTTTACCTATTTGCATTGATATCCTGAAAATTCAAGACATCCGGAATGCGAGGCGCTTCATACTGAACATCGACTTTAACTGGCCGCTCAAACTCCACTTTGTGACCGTTCACAATTCGAATGATTTCTTGATAATAGCCGTTACTGATTCTATCTTCCGCAAAGATTCCGATTCTTTGCAGGTCACCACGTTTATTGTATCTACTTAGAATACGTACAGCATCCGATTGATATTTACTCTGTGATTCAAATGAATTTTATGTTTAAAAGTTATTTACAAATTCATATATTTAAGGTAGTATCATTGAAAAATCGAATAAACATGAATTTCTAGAGAAAATATTTTATGGCCACATCTGTCAGTATTTGTATACTGTTGACGCTCATTACTTTTTTGTGGAAATAAAACATAGGAGTTTGATGGAAAAAAACCTTAAAACGCCTCTTTTTCATATTTAACCACAGCTTCATTCATCACTGTCATTGCCATAATTCTGTCATTGCATATAACGACATATTGGCCATTTTGGAATATTTTAAAACAATTTGTTTATCAAACGAGTGTATAAAATGTGTGATCAATAAATAAACAAAAGAAAAACAAATACATAATTCAACTGTTTACCTTCAGTAGTAGCAATAGAATTTCAAATATCTGGTTGGCATTGGTGACCGGTTTAAATTCAAACCAATGCATAAGGTGTTTTATTAAATCATTTACGTCCACGGTAAGATCCTGCAAATCGATGCCACAGCTTTGGAATTTCGATTGGACATTGTTGATTGCACGTGTGCGTATCTCTGGATGTGTGTGTTCTGTGCACAAATAAAGAGTTGATATCAAGTGCGTATTAGCTTACAGATACATTACATATGCTCACTCAGCTGAAATCTGAGCAGCATTTCCAAGAACCATAGACGATAAAATCGTTAAACTTGATAAGTACATCAAACAAAATATATTTATCTACATAAAAATTTACCTAATTTTCGTATAATTTCAGCAGAAATATCGACACTCATTTTTCGTTATGCCAATAAAACGGTGTATTTATTTCAAATTATTGCTTGATATCACTTGAAATTAACGGATTAAAACCACTGATTTACGTTTAATCATGTTTTTTTTTATTATTTAACTTATTTCACTCAAAATATCTTCGTTGCACGTCAAATTCATTGAAATTTGAAATAAACAAAATGCAAAATACAATCAAACGCATAAATTTCAAATGAAATGAACAACCGAAATCAATTGTCAAATTCGATTTGTTTGTTTGTCTGTCTGTCTGGAGGCTAAGTCAAAGTTATCTTGATGTGTGTTAGCGCCTTTTTTTTCTCTTCTTCTTGTACAAGTATTATGCGACAGTTGCGCCACAGACAATATATCGTTGGTTATCGTTTGTGCATTTCTATTCCATTTGATTTCGATGCGGTTCCATATGTTTAATTTTTTTGTCAACAGATGGGGGTTCATCAACATCTGTTTGACATATTTTCATTTGCATTCTAACCCCAAAACATTTTTGTTCATCTGCTTTGACATAAAAAATCACATTTTCACATCAAAATTATTTTCGATTAAATTTCGTTCAACTGACGAAGTAAATAAATTAAATTTAAAAAGAAGCTCATTGATATTTTTAAAACAAAATGCATTTATTACGTCAAATAGTTTGCAATCGTCGTGCTGCCACACATTTTGGTAAATACGTTCGTAATTTTGTATCATCCACAAATGTACGATTATCGGCTGAACCGCTTGTAGCACCCGTACCAGACGGTGCCGATGCACCGCCAAATCCAAAATTGCAAAAAATTGTGAGTGATATTGCTGCACTAAATTTGCTAGAGGTGTCGGAATTGTCGACACTTTTGAAGAAAACATTGAACCTTCCCGACGCACCAGTTGTGGCTTATGGCGCTGCTGCTGGCGGTCCAGTTGCACAAACACCTGAAGAAGAAGAAGCCTCCGCGGGACCAGCTGTCATTCAAACTTTATTCAAAGTGAAATTGAACAGTTTCGATGAGTCAAAGAAAATTGTGCTAATCAAAGAGCTAAAGTCTCTATGTGAGGGCATGAACTTGGTACAAGCCAAGAAATTCATTGAAGCGGCGCCGGCTTTTGTCAAAGAAGACCTTTCAAAGGAAGAAGCTGAAACACTGAAAGCAGCTCTCGAGAAAGTCGGTGCTGTCGTTGAAATCGTATAAATGGATTTTTACGAGTATAGCAATTATGAAAACTAAACTGTACTATGTTATTTGACATATAAGTTCTTTTTTAGGTATTTTATGAAAATAATCAAGAAATTTAATGAAATAAACACTTGATAGAACAAATTCACTCATGTTTTTATTTAGAATTAATCGCTTTTGTATCATTTAATCTTATTATCAAACAATTTCGGACAACAAAAATCAATGCATTGGCAAATGCTACAACATTCCTCTACTGTTTAACACACCAGACGGTCGGCCAGGTTGAATTGGATATTCTTTATATGATCATTCAAATAAGATTTTCTTCTTATTGTTGATGAATAATTTGTAAATAGCGCAAACTTTTTGGATGCATTCTATGAAATGTTCAACTGTTATTCAATCTGCTTGAATCAAATATACAATCTTTCACCGACACGTAAATTGGATTACCGGCGAAATTCTTTGGGTTCTACGTTAAATGTTGTTATTTTTCTTTGTAAGACCATAATTTACACATTTCGTGAAATTGTTCAGTATTACAAAACTAATTCAATTTCGATTGTACAAATTTGTGATCCGATTCCGAGCTTTAAAAAAGTGATTGGACGATGCAACTATCGGTGTCTGATGAAAACTACATTATCGACATTCTCTGCGGATGGACATTATAAATATTTAACAATTTTTTTGCTCAGGTCCAAGTATGATATTATTTCCTGAGTTGAAAAATATAAAATGTTCAGATTGTAGACGGTAAACAAAATCAAATAATAATAATAATAATCAAACACGTTGTCGTTGCTATTTTTTTTTTAATTTTTATCATTTAATTTTATTTTGTTTTCTTTGTTTTCATCATCATTTTTTCCAGCAACTTTTCGATTGATTGTTGTGGTGTTGTATGCGTGTGTGTGTTTAATTGTAAAATTTCAAATTTATTGTAGAAAAATGGTAAGCGAAAACAAAAAGAAAAATTAAGTTGCTGCATCGATTGGATACGCATGTTGACATCGCGACCATGATGAGATAACAAACAGCAAAATTATTATGATGTCTACAAGAAGTAGGTTTGTGGTTTTCGGTATGAGAACAATGCACGTGCTCCTCGGTGGTTTACCCGTTGCACAAGTGGGAAACGGATCTTTGAATCGTGGAATTGTTTGATACCGACACGTCTGCACTTGGCTGAGGCGATTGGTTCCACTTTGATGATCTGTAATGATGAGACAGTAATTTTAGTAAAATGTTTCACTTGTTTTTTTTTTTTTGCTTTCACACTTTTTCACATTAATTTCTGTGAATTATACTCACTTGAATGGAATGAGCACGAGCACGATGACGAGCACCCATATCACGGTAGCACTGTGTAACTGCACCGCCAACGGTCAAATCACGGTATTCACGGTACATATTGTGTGTGCCTGAACGGGAATCGTAACGCAACCAGATACCGAAGTTCTTGATTTTTGTTGGTGAAGTTTCATAGACTTGTTTCAATGAAACAATTTCGCCAGTGGTTTTCTTGAATTTTTTCAATTGACGCAAGAAATACCAGAATCGTGATTTTGCAACAATGTTGTCTGGTGCGAAAATTCTCATTTTGTAGAGAGGGGTTGATGGTTCCTTTTCGGTTGGCAATTTACGGCCAATCACCTCGTACTCCTTCAACTGTTTCGAATAGAAAACAAATGAAAATTTCAATAAAAAACAATATCCATTGAAATGTAGACCGAATGGTGAACATGTGAAAAAACATTAATGTCGCACGCAATAACAACATTTTGTGAGGTTAGAATACACAAACCCATAACACAAATGAATTGTCTACAACAATTACTGCAATAATGATTCGAAATGAATTGATTTGTTTTAGAATTTTGGAATAATTTTCATACAATTTCAAGCCAATTTAACAATCAATTCACTTTTACCATGTTAAATCAGTCGAATTTATTTAACATATTCGAATACATAGCGAAATGTCAAACTGGCATGTGGCCGCATATATGGTATAGGCAGGTTTAAGCATTGTACAAACGAAACTTTAACATCATTTTTCCAATGATTTTTTTGGAAAAATACAAACAATTTCACAATGCATAATTGTCGGCGACATTTTTTTACACATTTTAAAACAAACACGGCATTTTTACTATAAATTTTTCGAAAAATTTATTTACCTGTCCTTTAGCCTTCATTTTTGCTGTGTTTCAACACTGTCACGGAAACGGAAAGAAAGAAAGACTTCAATTTGATTTGACTTTTCTATGCCACACTATGAAGTATGTACGAATGAATTGTGTTGATCAGTACAACCAACCGATACACGCTCAATTTTGAATGACACTTTGGCGAAATCAACAATTCAACAAAATCAATCAATTTTTCTTAGTATTATTTTCCATTTTAACTAAATAAAATTCGTGCATTTTTCACCAATTTTTGTACTCAGCCAAATAATAAAAAACGATAAAAATCGACCAAAGAATAAAATAAAAATGTTAAATGTAACAACTGAAATTCGAACGATTAAAAAAAAAAAGACAATTTATACTAAACGGTTGGTATGACTGTTGTGCTCGAGTGCGGAGCAAAGCGATGACGTGCGTTTCTTATTCTTGTGCCATATGTTGTTTTCAATGAAGCGCATGTATCGTTGACAAGCGTTATAGGTGCAGAGTAAATGTGCTAAAAGCGAGAAGCTAGCGCTTCGTGTGCGTTATGTGAGCACCAAATTGTGCATTGCATCTGATTGTAAAAGAAGAAAAAAAAATGTTGAATGCGTTGTATTTTCATTGAATTGTTGAAGAAGCGGCAAATGGTTTGAAGTGTTCTCTCTCTGTATTTGTGTGAGTGTGTATGAGTGTCAGTGTGTGCGTTAGTGTTTGTCTGGGTTTTTAAGAATTATCGTTGTTGCTATCGCACCTCATTTAAGTATTTAAATGTGCATTTATGTGTGAATGGCGGCTGCATATTTACACAGATACAAATGCAAACATCACGATTCTCATTTACGACCGAGATTTCATAGTATATGTAGTCGCTGTCGCAAACTTCGTTTTTGTGCATTTCAACTGGAATTCTTTATTTTCGTAACACACAAGAAAGAAACATACATCAAACATAAGAAAGCAATAACAAAAAATAATATTCTCGCTGTGTTTTTTTTTATCTCTCTCTCTTGTTTAACGCGCGCGTAGCAAGAGTGAATGTGTTGTGCGAGTGCATGCTATATTCATTGGGTGGGTGTAATTAATACAACTAGAACTTAATATCATCCTTTTTTATTATTTTATTTGGTTTGATTATTTTGGTGTGTTTGATTCAATGTAAATTTTGTGCAACCATACACACAAAAGCTTTACGAAGTGCGTTCAACTCACAGCTTGCATTGATCACATTTTGTTCGTTCAAAATAATTCTTCGTTTCGACGACAACGACCATCACGATTAATTAGTGTGTGTACACATTTGAATGTTGTATACCTTTTTTCTTCACTCTCAATAGATTTGATGCGACCAACCGAATAAACAAACAAAATATTTGAAAGCACAAAGTGTGAGACGGACTGTTGAACCGAGTGCAGCGACAAAGAACTCTCAGTAAGCCATCAACACACAATGTGCCTGTTTAACATGGCAACCTAAACTAAATCAATCGAAACACCATTAAGTAACTTATGAAATGTTGTCAAAATAGCAGTTAAATGCTTGAGATTGGCTCTGTAGCGTGCGTATGATTGCGGGTTTTCGTACGATTTTTAGTTAATCAGTTTTTTTTTAATTTAATTTATGTTACACCGAATACCATTCAACGGTATCAAACTAATTCAACGTTTATTAAAACAACACATAAATGCGAGTATCACATATGTACATGAAATTTTAAATAACATTCATTTATCAATTCATATTGAAATCGGTGTAGTAACCAAACACGTTACCAATTTGAGTGTTACACCGAAGAAACGTACGTAACCGTTTGAATTGGAACGTATTTATTTGAGCATAGAAAAAATAAAAAAATAAACAAGTGTGAAAAATCATGCCTATCAAACGAAAGGATCGCGAAAGCAGCAACGATACAAATTGTGTGAAATCATTTCGAATGGATCACATACCAACAGAACATGAGCTTTTCTTACAAGCCTTTGAAAGTGAGTTTTATCACATATCCAAATAGTTGAACTCAATTTATCTAACGCTTGACAATTATTTACAGAACCCACTCAGATCTATCGATATCTCAGGAGTCGAAATAGGTTATCGGTAATGATGTTTGTTTTTATTTTGCACGCAAAAGATGGTTCGATACAAATTTGGTAACAATAAATGTGCATTTTTCTATTGCAGCCGATATTTTTACATCGAAATCTAACGTATATGAAAGAACGCATGTCTCGAAATCACAGACACAGACCAAGCTTTCATGTTAACACACTATTGGACACTATAGTTAAACGCAATACTTTGGAAGATGAGAAAAATGGGGCACCAAACAATTACATGACACTTCTATTCTTGGGATTTTACAATAAACTTATGGTAGAAGAGCAATTCGTTGAAGTGGAAATTGTTGTCTCGAAGATATCGCAAATGAAACGCAAAGATAGTTTTAAGTCGAAACAAGATCGCGTAAGTGATTTATTTGTGAAAATTCAACAACTGAAAATATCCATTAAGACCCAACGTATAATTTGTTTTGTTTAGCTTGGCTCTGCAATTGTTAAAGTAAATCCGGTTGATATGATTGGAAAAGTGCCGGCAGTTAGTGTACCAACTGAATTATTCAAACCAGCTGGAACTGGTTTACTTAACAGTTCATGCATATTGCAATTGAACACAACCATTTTACCACATTTCAATTCATCTAATGGTAAACAAAATTTAGATACATTATCAAACAGTATTTGGTGTAATGAAAATTCTATTCACAGAACCAGTAATTAAAACTGATCAACCGGCAAGATGTTTCACAACCGAATTGGTGATATTTGACAAACACAGTCGATGCACATTGAGCGATGGCGAATATGAGCTCACATTAACCGAATGTACGAATACAGCTACACCAAAAATTTACTCACCAAAAAAGCATCCAACATGGGTTTGTATCAAGCAATAATCATTTAAAAATCATCAACTATTTCATTACTAAAGGATTATGTTATCCATTCTCTTCGATTTTTCTTTTCTGTTTCATTCACAGGAAGAGATTCCCGAACATTGTCTAGACGAATTTAATAAAGGCGAAAATCCATTGGACGATTTCACAAAAAGTCCAACACTGAAATTTCGACTATCGTGGACCAAAGACAAATATGCCGATGTAGTTGATCGACCGTTACCGATAACAATTCGCAAAGATGATTTCATAACGAATTCAAGCAAGGAAAATGGAAGTACATTGAATCGCCGCGATTCAATCGTTTCGAATGAATCGCATTGTGCGTTGAATGGAAATGTTACAACAAATGTAACTGCAACAATAACATCTGCGCAAGCAAACTCAAATGTCAGCTCGAATTCAGCAAGCAAACAAATTTCGAATATGAATTCAAAGGCACAAGCAGTAATCAATGGCATAAATCAATCGATGATTGTTAAATTGCACGACATTGCCTCACGAATCATTTACCATTTCATCTACAATAATAATTCAAGCCAACAAACCGAAACATTTGACAATTTTAATTGTCCATGGTGTTGTTTGCATTGTCTAAGTCTGTATTCGTTGTTAAAGCATTTAAAATTGTGTCATGCACGTTTTAATTTCACATACGTACCAACACAGAATGGCGTTCGGGTTGATGTTTCAATAAATGAGCAATTCGATGGTTCGTATATTGGTTCACCGCACGATTTAGTTGGCCCAGCTGGGTCAGCGTTTGCACGAGCCGGTCCTGTACGCCGAACCATTGTAACACGCATACTTGTATGCCGACCACGTCGACAGAAGCCTTCGCTGACTGAATTCCTTGAAATTGACGAAAACGAATTGAACAGTCAACGGCCATACGTTACCGGTCACAATCGTTTGTATCATCATACAATGACATGTTTGCCAGTGCATCCAAAAGGTTTGGACATTGATTCGGAAGGTGAAAATGATCCAGCCTGGTTACAACATAAGACAATGCAAATGATCGATGAATTCACCGATGTTAATGAAGGTGAAAAGGAACTGATGAAAATGTGGAATTTACACATTATGCGAAATGGTTATGTTGGCGATATTCAAATACCGTTGGCATGTGAAATGTTCCTTGATATGAAGGGCAAAGAATTGCTTAAGAAAAATTTGTACAAAAATTTTGTATTACATTTGTGCAATTTCTTTGATTATGGTCTCATTTCACCCGAAACACTTTACAAAACAATACAGAAATTGCAACGAATCTTATCAACATTCGGTGATGGTCGTGATATTATGGTCGATGAACATAATAAACAAATGAATTACTGGCACACAGTTGGCATGCATAAACAAAGAGATCCACATTTGATACAACCGAAAAATACCGCATCAAGTACAAACACATACAGTTTTCGAAATAGTTCGCACACCAAACAAAACGATAGTGAAGATGATGACGACGACGACGATGAAATTGATAATACAACATCACCGAAAAAACGAACTGGTAGAAAAAAAAACATTTTCTAATTTAACTATTTTCCAAATAGAATTGAAGAAACAAAGTTTTCTAAATATGATTTTCATTTGATCGGACTTAGGTCGGAACCAGTCTGAAGAAAATATGGGTGATGAAGAAAAAACAACCGATCTCACTCATAAGGCCCGAAACCAAACGGATTTGAAAAATGCAACCAAAGAAACTGGAAAATCGGAACGAACATCAACCGGAATGAAGCGCAAAGCATTGAATTCGCGAAGCGGTAAATTTGAAGGCTAAAAATTAAATGAAAGCAAAAATATTTAATGTTCATATTTCCAAAATACAGCTGGAAATTCAAGCGATTCACCGCCACGTCGAAGAAGCGCTAGCGCAGCCTTACAAGTGGCCAGTAGTAGATTATTTACTGCAAAACGGCGAAACTCGACCGCAGTTACACAATCGTTAGCACCATCAGCGATTAAAAAAGGCAAACGTCTATCTATTTCGATAACGAAACTAAACACTAAAATTGATAAGTAACGAATTGAATGTATAATTGGCCATTTTTTGTTTTCTTTTTTTTTTGTTCTTTTAATTTAATTTAATGGGTCAAAGCAAAATATTCATTCGTCTCGATCGGATCTGGACATCGTTTGTAAAATATTGAATTCGAATGAAAAAAGAAAACGAGCATGAAACGAGTAATTCAGTGGTATACATGGGCAGTTTGTATAGAAAATTAGGCAAAAATTATTTAGATGTCATATGAAAATTGGCTACCATTTCGATTGATTGGGTCAATAAATTAAATCGTATTTAGTCTTTGGTCTATTCTAATCGATACATACATAATCACTGCCATATTTTAAATTTTCTTACTGTAACGAGAGAATTGATTAAATTTCTCTACTTTTTTTTTTGAATCATACGATACTTGGAATATGAATTGGAAAATGAATTTGATACGAATAGTAATTTCATATTGAAATTGGTAGCGAAAATACATAAATCAATTAAATACAGGAATTGGCTAAGCATTTGCATTACATTTGAAAACAATCTTACGAGAGAAATAATAGAACCTGAAAATTTTTATGAAACCCACATAGATGATATAATCATTAGTCAAGTGAAAAGAAATCCTATTTAAAAATGATTTTCATTGAAAATTTACCGCTTTTGTTTTTTCTAAACTTTTTTCACACTACACACCGCAAGTCGAAATGTTACGAATCGATTTTTCTTTTTAATTTTTTTCGAAGACTTAGTTTTATTTAAGCATCACACATGGCTGATTGATGTCAATGAAAAACATCCAATTTTGCACCAAAACAGAAGACTTGAACAAAATTCATACAATATAAATGCGAACTAATGCTTTTTGCATAGAATCGATTTTGATAAATATGAATGTTAATTGTTTTTTTTTATCATTTGAATGTTGAGTAGGTTCTTAGATGAGATCCGTACAAATTTACTGATAGAGATTTGTGTTCACAATAAATAAGACCAGAAATACATGACCAGTTGAAATAATAAACTATAAAAATTCACCAAATAGTAATTCAAAAGGCTTAGTATTTTGGCAATTGGGCCAATAGCTCTTCCATGTTGCTTGAATTGAACGCAACCTTTCAATATTGGGTTATTTCATCATTATAAGTAAGTAAACACACTAAAGATTTTTTTTTGTTTTGTTTCACCTTTCCTTTCATTTATTTGGTACTTCGTCAAAATATTCGGCAAATTTTTTTTTCTTCGACAATACAAAGAAGGCTATTAGAAATGGTAATCTCGTTGATTGAAAACTAGAACATTTTTTTTAAAATAAACAACGAATTGTGACCAGGATCAACAACTATACTGACTAAAGCAGTTGTTGAAGCGTTGAAAATAAATTAAAATTAATGATACCCAAGTACAAGTAATAAATATTCAATTTAAATATGGACCAGTTTTTGTGTAAGCTTTTTGCGAATCGTTGCCAATCGGTTTTGGAATTGTGAATTTCTTGTCGGGCCACCGATTCGATGCAACATTTTGACATAACCCAAAATGATGTCATCCGATATTGGGTTTGTAGAGTTGTTTCAATTCCACGGATCAGATCATTTGTTTTGAGAATCAGCAACATCTGTCGATCGACTTGCTCCAAAATATCGGCTATTGATGGTAATACTAGTGTGCTATTCGATTGAACTAATTCCTTTTCGGCTTCATTTGGTTTGATGCGATCAATTCCAGCAATCACACTCTCCCATGGTCTGCCAGTTAACATACACGCAAACAACGGATATAAATCACCTTTGATGCCCAATTTTCCCGTATGAAAACGCATCCCCTTACGATCCACATTCAATATACTTAACCAGAGTTTTGAATATGTATATCGAAATTCGTCGGTTAAATTCTGAAAAAATCAATGAACAATTCAAGTAAATGGCTTCATTTTTATGTTAGCATTAATTTTTAAAAAAACTTACAGCATATAAACCATGATCCAATAGAATAATTTCGTTGTCACCTTTTGAAGTTTTGCGTACCAAAATATTGCCCGGATGTGGATCGCTATGCACAAATCCATTGATGAAAATCATATTCGAATATAGTTGGCCGATTTTATTTGCAATATCATACGTATCGATTTTGTTCTTGTGAATGTAATCCAAATCGTTAACCTGTCCACCGGTTGCATATTCCATAACTAATACACGCTTCGATGAAATATCCCAGAATATTTTTGGCACTTTAAGCCACTTATAGTCTTTGAACATGATAGCCACCTAATTTCAATTCAAAATAAAAATGAGAAAATATTATTTTGAGACAAAAAGAAAAATCGTATTATTTTATGTACTTTTTCGGCATTGCGTCCTTCATTCAAAAAGTCAAGTTCAATCGGAAGATTTTTCTTGGACTCATCGACAAGCCATTGCATACTGAATTCAGGAAATACGAATGACATGATTTTACACAAATATTCCATCGTTTTCATGTCGACTTTACTATTGCCCATCACATAAGGATGTTGCACTTTAACGGCCACTTCTTGTCCATTTTTCAATGTGGCACGATGTACTTGAGCAAGCGATGCCGTTCCCAGTGGCTCTGGATCAAATGTTTCAAACAATTCGTCCGGCTAAAATGTTCGATTCAGAAAATAAAAACAAGACATTTTTTAAATGATAAAACGACACCAAACAAATTTCCAAAACATACGTTCACTTTAAGATCTTGTCGAATGACTTTGTAGAGATCTTCGACTGGATTCTTTGGTGCATTGCTGTGTAGCACTTTCATTGTGCGCACATATTCAGGCGGTAACAAATAGTCTAGTGAGCCAATGTGTTGGCCAACCTTTATGTAAACACCTTTATTGATACAAATTAAATCCAAGAGTTTTTCAGCAGCTGCCGCATGCGTTCGACTTTTTTCACCTTTATATTCGGCTGATTGTTTATCCCATTCTTTTTGGTATAGATTTTTTCGATACAAACATGCAATATCATAAACGGTAAGTGCAGCTCTTGACAACCGAATTATTCCCACTGAATTAACATCATAGTCATTGGAACGAAGACTCCATGCGGTTAGCACAACACCACTTCCAACGGTCGAATATTTTAGCACACGTCTCAATGGCCACGCTCTGTTCATCCTAAATATGCTTTGTTCACCACAGTCAACGCGTTATCTAATAATAGATAGAGATAACAATGGTTATTAAATATGTTGCGCAAACAGAGATTTGTTTACATCTTTTTGAAGAAAGTTTTTTTTTGTCATGTAGATTCCTGACGCGAAGAATCACGCTATAATATTATGGATGGAAAAAGCGAACGTTTTCTACTTTGAGCGAGCTACCATACGAATACCAATTGTTTACATTAGTAATGTTGGTCAGATTTCGGTGTATTTGTATAAGGTGTTGTCAGTTTTACAACTTATCGCTCGTCATTTTTTGTGATTTCAAGTGCCATTAGATAATTTGCGAAAATTCTATGATTTTATGAATTTTTATCAATGTAATGATGTGGCGTGTTGAAAAGATTTCACTGCCAATCACAAACCTACACGACTCGTTTGTCAAATATTTTATCATTTATTCATACATTCACTCAGCCACTAATGATAGATTCATTCCATCAATTCCAGCGACCTGTTGGAATGTGTATAAGTTTGATTTTATGTATTCATCGTATCGACGCATTTCGAATAAATTATGTGTACACATGAATGGATTCGCTAATAATTTTAATACATATTTCAGCATTGTATTATACGGCATAGGTCGCATAAATGAAATGGTTTTCCTCTTACAATCAACTCGCATCGATTCAAAAACTTCATTTTTTTTCCCTTGTTCAATTCTATAATATATTCCACACGTGAAACATTTCGTACATTTGTTTTAAAGAAATTCATTAGCACTGTACGAAATTTCTTTATAAAAAAACATATCAATCTATATATAATTTCACAGCCACTATCACACTTCACCTTATCCATTGAGAGCGATTCATTAATGAAAATTTCCAAAAAAAAAAACCGTATCAATGGAGAAAAAAGAAGAAATGATAACATTTTAATGAATGTGTTTCGCATCGCAACATATTGAAATAAAATGAATTTCTCTTTTTGATTATGACGCGACAAACAGTAAAAAGAAAAAAAAACACGCGGCTTCTTTCTCTTGAGACTAATAACAATTATTTTCATTTATGATTCTTTCAATCTATCACTGAATTAATATCGATCTACCTACCTGAATTTAAAGTGCAAAATCTTTGGCACGATTCTCATTTAACAATAAAAAAACGGTTCAACTCAGCTCGAAACGAAATTTCTTTCACTTCTTGATTGGAGTAAATAATAAACTAAATTGACCACACAAAAGCAGTCACCAAAATAACACCAAATCTCTGTCAAATCGTTACGCCAATTGACAACCAAATGTATTTCATAACATTGAATTTTGTTAAGTTAATAACAACACTGAGAAAGTTGTACACACAAAAACACACACTTCATTCAAAATAAGTAAATGTGTAATTAAGTTTTGGCGATGGTAGCGCTCAATGAATGCCTAACCAATAAACCACATACGAATGTACGAATCGTTTGAAAGTATGGAAGCATGACGTTTGTTCGTTTGTATTTCGTATACACACTGGATGACGTGAACATGTTTTGACCGCAACGCGCTTGCCATGTTCATGCTTTCTTTTAAGCATTTTTTTTCGGTATGTCCGCATCGGACCCGTGTGAAACATTGCAACACACAGAGTGGTAAAACTTTCACCAGCCGAAAAAAAAACAGACAAATATTTTAATACATTTAACATAATCGGCAATAAATTTGCGTTTTCGTTAAGCAATAACTCGTAGGCTATGCTGTCAATACCGGTTATATTGTGTATTTGTTGGAATGGGCACAGTGGTATGCGTTTCAATTGTCATATTTATGAAAACATTAAACTGTCAACGATGTTCTTTACATGTGATGAGCGCGCAGTTGAAACTCTGATTTGGGTAAAAATGAATATTCCATTCATATTTGAAACCGGAGTAACAAGACTTGTTTTTTATTATTTTAAAAATGTAAGTCTAGATTTTTTTCAAATTAAACTTTCACATGGATTTTCATTTGAAGACTTCAATTTGAAGTGGCACGAAAATGACGAATTTTCAGAAAAGAAATGACATCGTTTTTCCATTCCAAATTATTATTTTCTCTCTCTTTTTCTCACTTTTTCTCTTTTCTCGTTAAATCACATTGAATGTATTTGAAATGGTTAACAAATTTTCGTAGCGTCATTTAGTCGCAACCTTTCAAAAGAAATGCAATTAAAATTCTTCTGCTTTCGTATATAAATGCACTTGATGTCGATTGTATAATGGACAAGTGAAGAGAGAGAATTGAATTGTTCAAGATAAATGCATAAAACGCGATCAACTGAGTCATACACACGATCGGAGTGATGATGATGTCGCGACAAAAAGTCGACCGACGCATCGAATTAAAGACTGTACTAACGTGGAAAAAAGAAAATGTGAAGCGAGAAAAAAAAACGCACGTATTTAGAGATTACGAATGTAAATTAAAGTCGTCCTTAAAAGAACGCTCGAAGCAATTGATTAGAATTAAGATGAATGCCGAGAGGCGATTTGCTTGACTAGTCACGAACGAAAATGATTGCTCGAACCTCATTTGAACACCTTCGGACATGTATCTAAATAGATAAATTTGATATGAAAAAAAGGTCGAAAAATTAACTTGCTGCCGGAAATCAAACGATATTTCGTATTTTATTGTTAATAGCTTAACAACTCTGATGCCACTGCACATTGCGTCATTCACTTGTCATGATCACATCATCTCCAGACGATTGATTACAACGGCGATTATAAAATTATTGTACGTCGTCAGGGTTTTATTTTTCATTTCGTCGCCCCCTCCACCTCTTCCTCTCACAATATACGGAACAAAATGTTGCATCGTTTAAGGAACAGAAGAAATGGAATGTGGTGCGTCATGTGTGCAATCAAATATGTACAGAACTATGTGTGTGATCTTTGAAATTCAACAGCTATCAAATAGAAAAAAAAACGAAACATTTTAATAGAATCGAGAGAAAAGTAATTCAATTGAATTTAATCGGAGTTTGTATAGCATGATGATGGGCATGGGAATTTTTGAGTTCCATGACATTTCTATTGGTTTCTTTTTCGGTCTTTAATGAGCAAAAGAAGAAAAGGAGGAGAAATGAAATCATTAAACAATCAAAATATCCATAATTGCCCGTTTGAACGGTCGGTGAGAAATGGTTTGTTCTTGTTTACTTTGAAAACTAGCAACTTTAAATAGATTTTCCATGGTTGACCGGTTTGATAGTTATTGAGGAAGTCTCACATAGTAAACATTCATTTTTAATTGTTCAATGATCGTTAGTTGAAACGGCAAGAGGTGATCATAAATTGATTTATTGTTAGGCAATATCTGGGAGAAGCTCTTTGATATTTGGTAGAGAAAGAAAAAAAGAAATAAAATAAAATTCGGCGGTTGCGATTCATCATCGTCCATATGAAATGAATCCATACCATACTCAGATTAATTACTATTATAACGTTTAACAATCGTTTCGATTTTCGGTAAAATAAATTCTATTGACGATTATGGCATTCGAACCAAAGAACGAATACGATAAGAATAATCAACAAAATAAGAGAAAATGAATCGAACCGTCGAACAATGATGTATAAAGAACAATCTTAATGTTATGTATTTATCTCTCTGAAAAATCTATACCGTTGGTTGTATAGTTGTTTAGACGCTCCGGTGAATGTTCGTGTTGCATTTGTTGCGGTGTATGTGTCTATGAGCTGAGAAACAAGTGCACATTCGTGTAGAAATCCTACTCAAAACAGTCAGCCAGTCATTTAAAGTCAGGCAGACACTTGATGTTGGCAAAGACTCTTTCTCATGACTTTGAATTTTTAGTTTCATCATTCATCGATTTTGGTAAAGCGACAACTATTAAGATCGGTAACCAAAGAGAACAAAAATAAACGCACGCACAAAACATACACACAAAAAGACATATCAAAAGAAATTCACATTCATTTGCTGCCAAATCAGTTTGATCAACAACATTCCATTGGATCAAACAATGGCATGCTAAAGTAAAAACCAGAAATATATATAGCACAATGTACAAAACGACAATTTGGCCAAATCAAGTAATCGGCTACTTTATGCCAACGCTTGCCATGACAAATCATAAATCGAATTTGAATTAAATAATCGACATTCATCTGTGTGCTGTTCGATGGTATCGTTGTCTAATTAAGCGGATAAAAAACGTGTTAAACATTCACAAATCATCCAGATTTATTCGGTTTATATATGGAAAAAAATGTTGATGCATAGCCTATTGTGTCGACTGCAGACATTGGGCTATGAATAAATCTGATGAAACAGAATGAAAGAAAAAAAAAACAAAAATATAATCATAATAAAATCAAGAGGAAAACAGTTATAGCCGATTCGATTATTATCAATGAGTGAAAAAGTGGACGGTTTTTAGTTGGTCTGCTTCTTTTCTTTTGAATTCATGTCTTCAATCTGGACGAAAACAGATTCAAAACACAGCGGCAACACCATCGTCAACATTCCAATCCGACCTTTTTTCGCCATTCTGCAACGTATAGATATTTTGCTTCATTCTTTTCATCATCATCGCAATGAATTCAACGTTCAATTTAACCGTCGCCGTCGTTGTTCGTTGTCATTGTTGTTGTACACAGTCTTACTTTTCTTGTACTACAATTTTGAATCAAACCAAGAGGATCTGGTTTAATGAAACGGAAAAAAAATACCAATAGGAAGACAGAGGGGACAGAGAATGTAACTACATGAAAAATATGGCTTCGATGTTAAATTGCGCTTTGTTTCTGCAAGTCTTTTATAGAACCGTTCAATGTGTTCGTGTTTTGAGAGGGTTCGATGTATGTCTCTGTGTGCGTAATGTTGTTTTCAATATACAATTCATACAATAAACGTTGATTTTGGTGGCAATAACTATTTACGCTCTGCATTCACCATTTGAATCAGGTGCACTCGCCGTTTTGTGACTGTGTGAGTGTGTGTGAGCGTGCAAATGTGCTTATATGTATGTGTGTTTGATGTGTGTAAAAGTGTGCATATGTGTGCGAGCGCATCGTTGAATTTAATGAGTCTCTTTGGAATTATGACAAAGACGGCAACAACACAACGACTCATACGTTCTTGCGTAGTCGCCGCTTGGTGCTTGATTATATCGTTTTCATTTCGCTATTCGGTGCTGTGTGTGTTGTTGTTATATTATTTTATTTTTCGTTCATTTCGTTGGTCTTTATTTTTCTTCATCACCTTTCTTTTGCTCAATTCATTTTTATGAGCATGTTGAACATGCCGTTCATTTGGTTTTCGGTCTCTCTCTTCTTGGTTAACTATTAGCAATTTTAAAATCAAAAGCAACACACAAGAATATTATACGGAAAAAGTTCGGTGGTTCGGTGTTCTTTTTTTTATTATTTCGTGTTCTCTTCTCTCCATTTGTGATTTAATTTCATATCGAGCGATGCTTCGCGAGTTCAGTTCTAATCCCATCCACATCGTTATTCGCTTCGGTAGCATTGTGTACGAATAATGTGTAACAATAGTTTGGAGATTCAGAAATTTGCAGTGCATTTTTCTTCTTATTTGGAATATATAAGAATTTGTGGAAAATCTACATCATAAAAAAAAGTACCGAAATCAATATTAACCATAAAATAAGCAGCAATAAACATGATGAAAGTGTGCAGTAAAAAGGAATGAAACCTGTAAATGAATTAAAACTTGCTATTATACACTTACACTTGATCGTCGAAACGGTACTTTGATTTAGTTCATTCCATTGTGTGTAAGAAAAACCCGGTGCAAGTGCACAATTCTTTGTGTTTCAATTTATAAACAGTCATTGAATTAAAAAGCCGCCTATTCACCTATGCAAATCTAAAACAAGACGTAATCAAATAGTAAACGTATTTTTGTTTTTCATTCTCTCAACCAGCAAGCAACATTGTGAGACAGTAAAAGAAACGTTTGTGAATTTATTCTTTGTGTCTATTCGCGTTAAGTAGTTTACAGTGGAGTCTATCTATTCCGAAAAAAGAACCTTTATTCGTTTGCTAATTGGAGGTAGCAGTTTGGCGTGGCATTTTTTTCTTGTTGCAACGAATAGCCAATGTGAATTCGGTGCATGTGTACACAGTGTGTGTGTGCATCAGAATATTATATGGATGTACGATGAATGAATATTTTATGATATGAACGTATGCGTATGCGTGCCTCCGTTTTGATGAGCAACGTTTCTCATGTAATTTGTATTCCTATAGAATATAATGTAATATATTATTATTGAAGAGACGAATAAAAAGCAACGAACGTGAATGCATGTATCGTACAAAATGTATTCACCAATTTCTGCTGAATAAACAATAAAACGTGTGAGGCGCTTACAGAACATAATACATTTGAGAGTGGATAATATTATTGGAACTGATTAAATTAAACGCATTGGAACTGTTAAGCATTGCATTTAAACGAAAATTGTGTATTATTCGGTGTTGTTTTTTTTTTGGGGTGAAATTGAATTTTGTAAATTTCGTTGTCGACCAACGTAGATGTGAAACGCATCAATAAGATTAGGCAACGACCAAAGATCAATGACGACGATATATAAGGAATCGAATCTAGATCCACGAGATACAAAACGAACGTAAGTCAATCTAAAACGATAAAAATCGTTTTGTATGTTATCGTCTCTGCAACAATAAAATTATATCCAAAATTTAACACGTTGGTTTTTTTTTTGTTTTGTGTATATGTATTTTCACATTTAGACAATATTATGGAGTTGGAATCAACTAAATCGGAGCCCAGTTCGAGATCAAGACGTGGTCGTGGCATTCATAATTCTACATTGAATAACAGCACCGGTGTACCTTTGCATCATCGATCCGGTGATCGAAGTCGGCATTCACATCGTAGCGGTTCATCGCATAAGAATAGGAAACCCGATATGGCACCATTTCAAACAACTGTGAATTTGGACGAGAATGGTCGTGAGGGTCAGGAGATAATTGAAGTGCAAATTTTACCGCAAGATGAAAATTGGGGAGAGAATACAACTGCCATCACTGGAAATACATCCGATCAAAGTCTTTCGATGGAAGATGTCAGTAATTGGCAATCAACAACCAAATCAAATGGCTTGGGCATGGTGTGTCAACGTTATATAGAAACAACATTTTCATTAATGTTGTATATGGTCGCATTTGTAAGTCCGCTTGCAATGGTTATGATGCCAAAATTAGGTTTTTTCACATCGGCATTTGAAAATCCCGAAATAACGCAAATCGCACGAACACATTTATTGGCTTGTAATGCCGAATGTAAAGGTTTACTTGTGTCATTGGCAGCCCGTATGATTTTATTGGCGCTTGGTGTATGGGCGGTATTTTTACGAACACCATCTGCAACAATGCCGCGAATATTTTTGTTCCGTGCCACGGTTATGTTGCTGGTGCTCATCTCAACATTTGCCTATTGGCTATTCTATATTGTTCAAGTCACTGAAGGTACCAAAGCGATTGTTGAAGGTTCAGAAGCGTCCGATTATAAATCATTAGTTTCGTATGCAACCAATTTTGCTGATACACTTCTATTCATTCATTATGTTGGTGTTGTTTTAATGGAATTGAGACATCTACAGCCCACATACTACATAAAAGTTGTGCGAAGCCCGGATGGTGAGAGTCGTTCATATGCAATTGGTCAATTGAGCATCCAAAGGGCTGCTGTTTTTGTAATGCAACATTATTACACCGAATTTCCTATTTATAATCCATATTTGGATCGTTTGCCCATTTCAAAAGCACAAAAGAAAACACCGGTCAGTAGTTTTAAGTATTATGAAGTTGATGGAGTGAATGCGTCACAACAACAAAGCCAAAGTCGTGCCGTTTTGGCAGCTCATGCTCGTCGCCGTGATTCATCACACAACGAACGATTCTATGAGGAACATGAATATGAGCGACGCGTTAAAAAACGTCGAGCACGATTAATAACAGCAGCTGAAGAAGCATTCACACATATTCGTCGTGTTCAAAATGAACCGGCACCAGCCATTCCACTTGATTCACACGAAGCCGCACAAGCCGTTTTTCCATCAATGGCACGAGCATTACAAAAATATCTACGTGTGACGCGCCAACAACCACGACACACTGTCGAAGCAATATTACGACATTTGGCCCATTGCTTAAAGCATGACATGTCACCGAGAGCATTTTTAGAGCCATACCTTGTCGAATCGCCACTATTGCAAAACGAAAAAGAACGCCGAACTGTACAATCATGGTCATTGGTATGCGATGAACTTTTATCGCGACCCATCTCAAATAATTGCGTTTTTCAATTAGTTCAAAATGACATCTCATTGCTTATTACTGTTTATAAATTGCCGCATTTCAATTTGAACGAAGAAGTGGTCGATCCTAAAAGCAATAAGTTTGTGCTGCGATTGAACTCTGAAACGAGCGTGTGACAACAAAGTTCACCAAGACAATTCATGTTGTCTTTATGATTTCAATGCTAAAAATAACAACAAAACAATTACCATCAATATGAAATGTTTCTTTGTGGCATCCACGACCATTTCAATCGTTTCAATTTCGTCTGTTATAAAATGGTGATATCATACCATTAAGATAAAAAAAAGGCTTGAATTCCAATTTCCAGTGCATCAATACTATTTGGAAAATATACGGGCAAAGAGTGTTCAGGAACTGTAACATTTTTTTTGTTTGTTTCAAATTTATCGTTTCACTTTTATTAATAAATAATTTTCCATTTTTATTATCGCGGATCTCATGCGTTCATTTGCAAAAGTCATTTGCTAATTCAGAGAAAATGGGATGCCACATGAAATGGTACAAATAAAATGAAGATAAAAAAACATAGACCTGAGATCATTGCAATGATTATTAATAGAGTAGGTATGATGGTGTCGGAATCATTTCGCGAAAAACTACCGCATCGACTGAGATTGCATATGTGCACTGAAGTAGAAATACAATCTGGAAAAAAGCCACCGAAATGCAATCAAATAGATTTTTTTTTTACACAATTGTTTCATTCCATCTTTCGGCTTGGTGATTCCATTACAAATCGCATTTCTAACAAAGAGAGAGAGCAAGAAAAAGAAATGACGGAAAAATGTAAACAGTTTCGCTGGTATTGAGATGCAGTGCTAATTGGATAAAACGAAATACGCAGATTATTATTATAACTCACATGATTATGTGCTGGTGTGGTTAAGCGGTTATTTCGTTTCGCGCGCAATTTCAAACCGCAAAGAATGCGAAATCGTTTTTTTCCTATTTTATTTCATCTATGTATTTTTTTTTCGTATGCATTCTGTCAGATTCAATTACGTAGATGAACCAATTAAAAAATGACTGAAATCAAAGACAATAGTGCAATGCACTTTATCTGATTCGAATGACGAAACACAAGAAAAGAAAAAAACGATCACATCTTCCACTTCGCGAGAAATGGTTCCGGTGCCACAAATGCACACACCAATTATCATTATATCATATATTTTGTTTCCATTTTTAAAAGAATGTGATCGTAATAAACAGTTGATCAATGAAATAAGCGACTGACTTTATATCAGATGTGACCAAAAAGTAAATAATATATATATTCCAGTGAATGAATTCAATTTTAAATTAAGAACAATATACCTATATTTAGAGGGTTTTTATTCTACGTCGAATCAACGAATCGCTACATTTTTTCATGTGTCACAAATTTAACAAACAAAAGAAGAACAACAAACATTGTAAAACAAAAAAATAATGTAAGAACATGATTGACTCGAAGCTAAAGTGTAAGGAATTGCTGAATTCTAAATTTTTTTGACAATTTTAATTGTATAAGACTCAAAGCAAAGAAAAACATATGAAAAAAATCTAGTTTTAAGAGAAATTAGGATTAGACAAAAATGACAGAAAAAAATTAATATTTTACTTCATGAAATGTGCTCAAAGCCATTTTATCTATCGTAGCACACACATATACACACGTTTGGATTGAAAATACGAAAAAAACAACAGTATATTTATATATTTATTTGGAATATATTTGAATTATATTTATTTAAATTTTATTGAATGGATTTCTTTTTTTTTATTGTGTGGCCAATGATACAGTTGGGAGCTACACATCTATATTTATTGAGCGAAAAAAAACGAACAGAGAGAAGAAATAATATTTAATTTCTGAGAAATAAAACACTTCATGAAACAATAAGCATATTTTTTTAGCTGTGAATTTGATTCGATAAATGATATCATCAATATAATGTCAATAATAATTAGAGCAAAGCAAACACAAAGCATACATATCTCTTGCCATTTGTAAATTGCCTTCAGTTTTTTTTACTAACCAAATGTCACGGATAATAATTTTTCGATATATTAAACTTAATACATAAGCCTTATAACTCAATAAAACAAAATGCACAACGAATTGCAATAGTCAAATAGCGAATCATATCAATGGCTTCACACAAATCATTCATTTTCCTCATGTCAAATAGCAATGAAATGTATGACATATTTTTAGAACAGATTTCAAGAGATTTTTTCATATGTAGAATTGTAGAATTAACCGATCATAAAATAGAATTAAGAGAACAACATTTGTTTGACATTATAATTATAAAATTAAAATATTAAATTGTGAGCGTGAAATAAAAAAAAAACAACAAAAAAACAAATATACTCATTATGAAACAAAGAAATTCGATTCTTTTTTTATTTTGAAATAAAATGAATATACTTACCTAACTCGAATCAATCAAGCACACACCATTTGAAAATCAAAATAAGGTAAAACACAGATGTTTGTTCTTTTTCCTTGAGCTTTTTCACCAACAACATGATCTTTATTTTATCTTTATCTTGTATGTGTTTTTTTTTGGTCGATGCCACATGCATCAATATCAAGAAACTCATTATTTGCCATTCTCTTCTCTAGTTGCATTTAATCAACGTGCCATTTAATTTCTTCGACTCATATTCTTTCTGTCTGATCATTTGAGTTTCTTTTTTGTGTGTGTCTGTATATATATGTTTGAGGACATAATAATTATTTCTTATTTAAACTAAAAATGGAACAAAACGGTTAAAATGCTAATAAAACCATTTAAAATAAATTGCGTATTCTTTTTTTTGTTTGAAAAATGTCACAATTTTAAAATAGAATTTTTCATATTTACTTGCTTTGAATTTTGGATTGAATATTATTATGAGTATGGTATACATATATTTGTATTAATTTATGTAGTTTTTTTTTACGGGACATGCTAATAGAACCCAATTGTGTTTTGTTTTATAACAATAGTATATTCAATGTAATTGTTCACGTTTTGCTAATTGTACATGTAATTTTGTTCTGATTTTGATCCGATCTGCTATCGTCATCATCATAGAGTGTTTTTTTTTTTTTTTTTTATTGAATATTTGTATATATGTTGTTGTTAAATAATGTTCCATATCTATCATAAATAGAATTTCAGTTTTATCCATGCGTGTGTGTTGTGCAGTACCACAAGAAACATTCATTTTTCGTTTAGACAATAAAAAAAAGATAATGAAACAAATTCCATCACACTAAAGCTACTGTTTACCATTTTTATTATATTACAAAGCGATTACACAGCGATCATTAATAATTTGTGGATGTCTCCGAAACCATCCGAATCTGCTAATCAAATATTATTGCCATTAACAATTTGGTTGTCAAAGTCTTTAAACAATTATATATTCTGGTTGTTTTTTTTTTTTTTTGTCGAAACGATTTTTTTTGCTTTGCATAAATTTTTATGAATATATGTAAGATTTAAATAGGATTTTTTTTTATTATTGTATGAATTAATCGCCGTAGCACTAGTTGCTCTCATTACTGTGCTATAGTTTGGATAATAAATAGTTTATGATATGATGTAATCTTAATGAAACAAATGTCCGAATCCCTTATTCTCCCGTTTATATGTGGACTGCGTATTTAGATTTTGCTCATGTAAATTTTTTTTTGTTCTTGTTTAACATAATGTTCAAATATATTGATAATAAGAGTAGATATTGCACACTAAAATTACGTTTGTTTCAAATTTAAATCCATAGCAGAAAACAGTTAGATTTAAATCAGTTTTTTTTTTACTTAGCTAAAATTATAGTCATGTTAATGACTTAAAACATTTGTATTGACCCCATACCAGCATTTTTTGTGTGTGAAATATTATTTGCATTTAAATTAGCTAACAGTATATGTTGTTCTTTTTATTAATTGTTATTCGATGACATGATCGATACAAAAGTAAAAGAAAAACGAAATAAAAATGGTGAAATTAAACAGTTTTTGACAAAAAATCGAATTCAAATTAGGGAAAATAAACAAAACGCTCACAATATTTGGATAGATTATTGAGTATTTCTTTTATCATTTCTTTAAAAATATTCGCAAGCAAATTTACTTTTTTTTATTATTGTGATTGATTGAGCAATTCTCAAGAAAACGTTTTTTTTGGGTAAGTATTTAAACACATATCGATCGTTATGAGACAAAACGTTCTAAACGAAAAACCAAAAACTGATTAAATCAAAAGTAATCTGATTCATTTTGGTGTATCTTTTTCATTGCTTTGCTTGTTAAATTGGCTTATTCATAAATGTATCAAATTGCATCGGTAAATTTTTTATTCTTTTCATAAATATCGATTTAAGTTTGTTGTTTTATTTCTGTTGCAACTTATATATTAAGAACATGAGTTAACCGCATTTTGTTTGGCGTTCATTTTTTTCACCGCCTAATTTACAAAAAAAAATATATATCTATCGATTTCGGGCATTGTTCACTACTCCAATCCGAGCAGCTATCTGAGTAGGAAATTTGCAGCCATTCAAAATTCCACAGAATGATGACCCATTTTAACGTGTAGCATACCTCGATGTTTTTTGTTTTTTTCTTCAATGATAGCGAGACTTTTGTTTGGTTTAATTTATGTAGACATTCGACTGGTGTGACAATCACATAGGTTTTTTTTTTGTTCACGGTCATTGAAAATTAAAAATTTGCTTGCAATTGTTTTTTGTTAACAAACCGACTTGATGGCATTTTGTACGATTTTTTTACAGCAAATTAACAAAATACACAAGAGAATGCTCAACGACTTTTTTTAATATTCGCGATCAATAAAATGGCAAATCGTTTAACTCATGTTATGCCCAATTTGTGGGCATTTTTTAAAAATAAATCTACTTTTGGCAACGCTATTGAGTGTTTTATGTTAAAACATAAAAGGTTATTTCATAAGTTAGACATCAATGAATAAATATTTAAATATTTTGCTTGTTTATTTATTATGTGTATGTATTCTCATTTAACATTATCTGCTGTAGAGAGAGAGGACCAAATCAAACACACAGTAATATTATATGCTTTTATTTGCACGTTGCATCATTTTTTTAGGTTTGTTTGTTTCAAAAGTTGATAAATATGTTTGATGAAAACGACAATTAACACTATTATTGGAAAATCAAATAAGTTTATTCGATATAATGATATTGATTATAGATATATTATATTTGCCCATAATATTCCATGTATGCATTTGTTTAAGTTTTGTTTTGTTGTGCCTTAAACTAAATCTTCAATTTTTTTTTTGTCTTTGGTTTTTTTTTTTGCTGATGAAAATACAAACATCTAAACAGCTAAATATTGTGAATACTTGTTAGAAATCTGATTAAATACTCTTACTAAACTGATAGTGGACTTTTGCATGCATACAAATAGAATGTGAATCTAGGAGAACATTGAATATTAATATAACATCATTTCTTAACTATATGAAATTAGCGCTGAAATAATTCACACCTTTTACAGTAGTATTGTAGTAGGAGAGAGATGTGTTTGTTCTTGGAAACATCGTCTTTCTGTGATCGATATGTCGAATCACGAAAATTTACATATACATTTATATATAGAAAATATATATATTTTTTTATAAATAAAAAAAAAATTGAACGGAAAACAAACGATGGCAAATGTATGTTTGAAAAATTAATTCAAATTTGGTTGCATTCAATTGCTCAAAATGGCATGACTCAAAGCTTTATTCAGAGGTTTGAGTTCATAATTTTCGTTTTGATTTCATGTGATTTGAAGATGATAAAACTGAACGAAGTGATTTTTATGAAATTCAATAAATGAACCAAAAAGAATCGAATTGAGTGAAATAAAAAGAAATTCAAGTATGATTGACTTTGTTGGCTTGCAGGGAGTAGATAAATAGTTTTTTTTCCTCCAATGATTTGTTCGTGTTTCTTCAATGAGTTATACAAAACTCAAAACAGCATGTATCAACTACATCTGCTAAATATAAGGGCTTTTTTCAAATTTGTAGCCTTTGAATCGTTCATTATACCGATTCCATATGTTTCAGATAAATTTTCAGAAATGTAAAGAACAAAGAAGAAGAAATGAGCTATTAATTTCTTGTTTACACGATGTGACTCAGTAAGATGAATGTTATCGCGCTTGAAATTGCAGTTCATTTGATAAATATGCATTTCTCGGTATGTGTTTTAATGTTCAGTGTTTTGCGTTAAATTTTTTTTTCTTTTGCAATTTTTTTTTCGATAATTATTTGTAAGTATTGTTATTATTTTGGTGCACAGCATAACAAGTGGATCATTTGAATTTTATACAATTTCTGTGAATCATCACACTTTTTTAATTTGTTTCATTCATTTTCATTTAACAAAGAATAAAAGTTTTCATTTACCATTGAATTGGATACGTTTTAATTTCATTAAGTTTGCAATTTCGCCAAATAACAAAGAATAGAACATTTTCAAGTGAATAGAACATTACATGTGTACATTGATTTTTTGTTAAAATAAAATCTTCAAATTGGATGATTGAGTCGAATTGCTAGATTAAAAAAAAACATCAATTAATGTGGATGTGTGTGTGTGAAGTGTTGTGCGCCAATATAGGACTGACCACAACACAAATGAAACTCCCTATCAAAATTATCTTGTATTTATATATGTGCCAACAATGCTTTGCTTGTATTTTAAATGCTTGGATTGATTAACATTTAAATAAACTCTGTTAAAAAATTGTACCTTCTGGAACATGTGTCTTAATTGGCTATAAGTAAGTACAATAGCAACAAGAATTTAATTAAAACAATTTCATCTTCAAATTAAAGAAAAAACGAAAATAAGTATAGCTCATCGCAAGTTGAATATGATTCAATGAGATTTTTATGATGCAAATAAGTGACAACAATTGCTAAATAATTAACTAATTCACGCTTTATTATTCTTGTTTAGCGCAACTGTGATAAATGCATTTATTTTTATTTTTTGTATGTCTGTGTTGGTTTGATTTTATTTTAAATCCAAATTCAATGAATCATTTCAATTCAAAAGCCTGACAATAATTTCATTTTGTTCAATAGATTTCGATTTTCGGTCTAGTTTCATTTTTTTGTAGCATTTTCAATTTTGTTTTACCTTTTCTCCGTGTATTTTTCGTCTAATTCAAATGAATCGATCGTTTTAGCTGGGCGTTTGCGAATATGATGCACACCTTTGTGTCATTTATTTTGAAATGCGTTTGGCATGGATTGAAAACGGTGCGGATGCGGACGACATGTGACATTTTACTTCATCAAATGTTCATCACATTAAAAAAAAGCATGTGAATTGGTGAATCATTTCAATCAATTTGGTCAAAATTATTCGTCGTCGTCGTTTTGATAGCTTACGTAGCGAACTGATGAACGTTCGTTCATCAAAGACTGCTCCATCCATTTAATAAAGCGAAAGCAATTCAGAAGAAAATAGAAAGAAAAAGAAAGAGAGTTAAGCATTTATGTATCCATAGAAATGATGAAAATCAATGGTGACTGGCTCATGGAAGAAGAATCAGGCAATAAATTCTAAATTCAAATCTATATGCTGATAAGATGAAATAAAAATTCAAAATAAAAATCGTGTGAAAAAGTCTTTTTAATTAAAAATTAAAACAAAAACAAATTATACAGATTAAAATTCCAACATATAAATAATTTAAACTTAAAATGGAAAAATTCATTTGATATTCACTGGCGATGGGTGTGTATGGGTGTGTGTCTATTTGTTTACGGCAATTGTAAGTAATAAAGACGAGCATTTTTCTTCGCATTTGCAGTTCCCTTTTTACACAAATGTATGTATTTCTTCTTGTAGAAAGAAAAAAACTTGCTACATATACTATTTACTCAATTTTCAACTAAAATCCAAAGAAAAACTTGTTGCAAAATGTGGAATTTTCGTTTTTTTTTTAAATAAAATTAAAAATAATCATAAAAACTAAAAGTCAACAATGAAAAAAATGAATAATAACTTATAATTTATAATTTGGTAACGCAGTGTTCGGTTGCCGTGCAATTGCCGTTCAATGATGATTGTGGAAGCGCAAGGTCACCATTGTCAAGTGTCATTGCAATATTGAAGATGCCTTTCTTTTCGCCTTTATCATCGTTTGTAATGGCAGCGACACCATTTGTTATGACATCACTTACCTTTTTCTCTTCTTTGGTTGGTGGTGCACGCAAAAATGTTAACAAAGGTGCATAAAGGAAACCCAAACAAGCAATGCCCACTAACATCCATTCGAAGCCGATACTATTCACAAGCGTGCCACTGATTGATGTTAAAATAAAACAAACATTTTGAATATATTAGCATCGATGGTTATGAATACACATGAAAATTATGTAAATTAGCTTAAAATTTGTAAGTCAATAACAGTCGTGCTCTTGACCGGAGAAGATTAAACAAATATTACTCAAACTCAACCAAATTTATGCAGAAAATCTATATGCTTTATTTTATATGGAATATATCTATCGATAAAACGTACAGTATATGTCGTTCTATTCTAAAAAAAGGTTTCTATTTCAGAGACAATGGCTTCGAAAAGTGAAACATGTCATTTGGCGGTAGCTTTGATAACTTATTGGATTTTGAGCAAAGTTGCAATCATTAGAAGATCATTTTCGAAAATTACGCCCAATTGATATGAAATAGTAAACTCTTTTCACATTAAAATATAGACACTGATATGTTATCTCTCATCAATAAAGCGGATAATACAAAGATATGTATAGTCTCTTCTTGTCTAAAACAAGTGCTATACGAAAAAGTACTCTTCTTTTCTATCGGAAATCTCATCGATATTTATATGTTACACATAAATAGGGTCACTCACTTGTTGGTCACTTGAAATGCCAATAAACTTGAAAAGGTAAAATAAAACACAAAAATATTCGTGCCGCTTGATTCTTCGATTGGTTGTAAAAATAGATAAGACCTTCCAAATTAAATATGCATATGTTCGTTTTTTTTCTCTTCTGTCTACTTCAAATCCATTTCAAATTGTGTGAAGCAAAAACAAATGAATTAAACTCACCTTAAAGCTGGTCCAACCACAAAGCCAACACAGAATGCTACATCGCCAATTGCATAAACACTACCATAAACAGCTGAATGTCGGATATCGACAAGGTAACCAAGCTCAGGCATCATACATGAGTCCACCATACCAATGGCAAAGCCAAGACCAGCATTTGGTAAAATTAAATGTGTTATGGACGTGGCAAGTGGAATCTGTAAGAAAATTTTCAATTATTACGATATGGTTATTATGTTTTGAAAATTGAAAATTTTACTTACACAAAGCAACGAAATGCCAATAATGACTAGGCCAAGCAAAGCGGCTAACCAACGTCCAATCTTATGGCCCAATGGTCCAAATAGATTTGTGCCAATCAAGTAGCTTATTGATGCCGGTAGAAATGCAATACCAACTTCCCATCGACTAGCGCCCATATTGTCCATCATCCAAATTGGTAATGATGGTTCCAACATTGCAATACCCATATTGGCAAATGTAATGGCACCTACGCAACAAACAAAAATTCAAATGTCAAATTCGGAAATAATGTGAAATGATTTCAATCGCTTTTTTCACCTGCAGCAATCAGAATATATGGATCAGATACAAGTGATTTGAGTGATGGTGGATCCGCATCTTGTTGAACAATCTTTGGTTGAAGCATAAATAGTTGCAATACTCCATCGCCCAAAGCCAATGCCGATAATATCAAAAACGGTGCCGTTTTACCAATGAATTCATACATTATGCCGCCAAATGGTGGGCCAATCAATACACCCAATGCCAAACCACCTAAAGCTATACCCATCGCATTGCCACGTTCCTGTTTTTAAAATCAAATCGAAATATTAGCATATGGTATTCGAATTACGCGAAATAAATCCAAAACAATAAATTACTTTATCATCCGTATAACGATCAGCTAACATTCCCATACCGGACACCGACGAACATGATGAACCAACACCTTGAAGTGCTCTTGCCACAAATAAAACCCAGTATGAACGACCGAATGCAAAAACTAGAATAGAAATGCACATTTAATATTGATCAAATGCGATTGACGGCGAAAACAAATATACATACTGATGGTTGAAATAAACATAATGATGAAGCCGCAGAACATTGGAATGCTGTAGCCGATGCGATGAGTAAGAATACCGACAATTGGATTCACAAGCAGTTGAACAAAAGCTTTTGAAGCAAACATAATACCGATTTCGACAGTCTCTCCGACCAATTCTTTGTGACGTTTATCCAATTCAGCGTAGAAACTAGCATTTTCTGAAAATGATTAAGTATGTTCAACATTTATGTTCGATAAATTTTCCAATGAAAATTCAATTTTTATTGTGAAAAATGATTTTGTGTGCAGATGTGCAATGATCTCGTTAATGCGATTAAATGGATGTGCCATCTTACCAGCAGACAGCGTTGTAACTTCGGTACCATCTGTAGGACGATCGCATGGAGCTGGTGTGGTGAGCGGTATTCGTGGCAGACTATCCAATGTTGCGTTCGGATGTCGTATATCGTACAAAAATTCCGGTATGATTGGTACTGTGATGATTCAAAGACGATATCGTGAATATCCAACGAGAAAAAAAAAACAACGAACAAAAATAAAATAGTTAGAATATTTCGAACATGCTCAAGTGTACGAGCGGCAAGCGTACAAGTCAATATACGATGAATTTACGTTGTATTTATGATTTTAATATGATTAGTAATTTTATTTTGAGCCTAAATTTGTCCCCGACAATGGATGTCAATATATTGTCTCAAAAGTAGCTCGCATGTAGCTTTAAACATTCTTCGTCTCTGTGCCATGTTACGTAGGTTGCTCCATAATTTTTTTTAAAATGGTACTTATAGTGTTGCCCGATGTAAACCATTGTCATATTCGTAAAGTTTGATGTTTTGGTATGTATTCGTGCCCTGAACCTTTTGTCGTACGAACGCTATTTGTATTGTTTACAGTGACTGGTAAACTGCGACTCAACAAAAAAATGAATTTTACACGTGAAGATTTTCGTAAAATGATTTACTACGGTTTTCGAAGTAAATTATCTCAACAACAGTGTTTCGATCGACTTCATTTGGCCTTTGGCAATGAAGCACCAACCCTTCAGACAATTTATAACTGGTACCGAGAATTCCGTTGCGGTCGTAGTTCGCTCAAAGACGAGTTTCATACAGGTCGTCCAAAATCGGCTGTTGTGCCACAAAACATCGATGCTGTCAGAAAACTGATTATGGAAGATCGTCATGTGACCTACCGTGAGATTGAGGCATCTTTGGGCATTTCATCCCACAGCATACATACAATTTTGCATGAACATTTAGCCGTAAAAAAGATTTGCTCTCGTTGGATCCCACATAAATTGACCGATGAACAAAAAATGGCTCGTGTGAGTTGGTGTAAAGAAATGCTCAAGAAATTCAATCGTGGTGCTTCAAAAGACGTTAATAAAATCGTCACTGGTGACGAATCGTGGATATATGCCTATGAGCCCGAAACGAAACAGCAGTCGACTGTATGGGTCTTCCAAAATGAAGATAACCCAACGAAAGTTGTTCGAGCAAGAAGCACTTCGAAGCGAATGGTCGCCTGTTTTTTCGGGAGAAGTGGTCATGTGGCAACCGTTCCACTAGAGGATCGTAAGACCGTCAATTCTGATTGGTATACCACCATTTGTTTGCCCGAAGTGTTTGGTGAAATAAGAAAAAACAACCACCGTCGCAAAATAATTCTTCATCACGATAATGCGAGCTCTCACACATCTTTTCAAACTACTCGATTTTTGACCGGTCAAAACATCGAACTGATGGGTCATCCACCGTACAGTCCTGACCTGGCACCCAATGACTTTTTTTTGTTCCCAAGCGTGAAGAAAAAACTACGTGGTCAACGATTTTCGACACCAGAAGAAGCAGTTGAAGCGTTCAAAACACACGTTTTGGAGATATCAGTTTCGGAGTGGCACGAATGCTATGACAAATGGTTTCATCGAATGCAAAAGTGTATCGATCATCTCGGGGAATATTTTGAAAAACAATAAAACCATTTTCGACAAAAAACAACTGTGTTATATATGTTTTTAAAAAAAATTATGGAGCAACCCTCGTATCATGTTGACATTGTTCACGTTGATACTGATATTGATAGTCAAGTGTATGTATTACACGTTTGGCAAAGATTCAAAATTGAATTTCCCTTCCGAATGTTGGTTATATGTTGCTTGTTGAAAGTAAACTTTAACTGCTTGCCAGCCGGTTTCATTAAATAACAATTATGATGGAAAAATTAACTGCAAAATTTGATTGATTTTCATTGATTTATCAGCAAAATGAAAATCAAAAATCAACACCAACAAATTGTCTGGACAATTCCATGGATGAAAATAATAGATCGAAGAACGAAAAGACATCAAGTTGGAAATTTCGAAAATCATTTCGAAAGCCAAACCAAATGGGCAACGCTTTCCGACCGATTTTATTCAATGGTGTGTTGCGTTGGCTTCGGTTCAAACGAATAAAACACAATAATAAAATTCATACGTTTCCTATGTTATACACAGATAATAACATTTGCACATTATTCCGATATAAATCTCTCTCTCTCTCTCGCTCTCTATTCTGATACTGAGATTTATGCAACAAATCAAATTGCTTAACAAAAGTGGCGAGCGCTACTGTAAATGGTTTTTGTAGTGGCCATTGGTGTTGTATATTTTCACTACTAAATGTAATTTATTCATATATTCTCAAGCAACAACAAACAAAAAGAATAAATCCACAATGCCGTAGACGATGCTTGGCCATTATGTTTATCGCGTAACGATTAAATAAGTAGCCATCCCATTCTGCGGTAGTGTTCATGTTTCATTCATATAATTCATTGATTTTAGGGTGCTTTGCTCTCTACTAGATTGCATTTCATGTCAGAATGGAAATCAAAAAGATAAATCGAGTTCGGTTTACACCATTTCCCTTGTTTATATTTGTTTCGGTGTCGTGGTCATCCATGATTCTTTCTCTTCTTCTTTTAATTCTAACGACGTGATAGACTCTCCCTCTATTTTGTCTCTTTTCAAATGGAATGTTGAATATTTTCTTCATCACTTCATCGTTTATCGTTAAATTAAATGCATGGTGAAGTATTTGCTTTGCATTTGATAAACTAAAGTTGATAGTAAAATGGTCTTGTGAGTCGCCGCTAAATGTGCTTAATTAATGAAAATGAATTCGATTGGTTGAAATTGGAAATGAACTTTGCCAAATGGCAAAGTGGCTGTTCCGTTTTCAATGTTCCACTATATTCAATCAACAAGTGTTTGTGAGTGTGTATGCATTTGGTTATGTATTTATCATTTCTGCATTTTGGCCTTAACTTAATACGATGCGAACAGAATCGGTCGCAAAGAAATGATTGTATTTCACAAATTGAATTCAATAAATGAGCAGTTACATAGAAATTTATGTGCTTTTGCAGTTTTCAATCACACATTGAATGCATGGCACGTCCCATCGATTCGAACCGAAATTAATTTTTATCGTAATTTTATGATGTGCTCACAATTCAAATGGTTTGTTCCATTTAATTTCGACTCCATCTCATATACACACACACACACGACCGAGTACGCACCCGTGCTTTCTTACTGTTGCTTCGGTCGAAGCAACAGTACGAACACTTCGATTTCGATCTATTCAGACCTATTGACATTACGAAAACACCATTAGCTTTAGTAGTGGCACCAACAAAACGATTGTAAATAGCAAAATACTATTTGCACTCAAGTGATCGTGAAGTTCATCCCCTTTCCATTTTTTTCCATTCTTATTTTATTCTTTCAATTCGATGTGTTGTCACACGGTCACATATTCAATGGATTCAATTCAATAGCCCCCGAATAATATTGTCGCCACATCAATGCCTGACGTAGTGCAAAAAGTAGATGTGTATGAAACGGTGGACAAGTTTTAATACACTCTTTTTTTAGCCACATAAACGGGTCCATTTTCTTTCTATCGATTTCAAATAACACATCGGACATTGAACATACATTTTCCGCATCAATACACATGTAAGTGTTTCAAAAGTGAAAACGAAACACAATGTGCGACAGAGAAATAAAATGAAATGGAGCAAAATCAAACGGAGATGTAAAATGTTAGAGAATGTGTGAAAATAAAAAAAAATAAAACTTTTCTTATTGTTCATCACATTTAGCGCGAAGAGTAACTTAGACTTGGTATTTATATTATGTGTATTGTGACACAATCTTTTGCTGCGGCTAACATACTTAACGAATGCATTATAACAAATTAATATTGATTCAATCGACACGAGCGCGCGCACACACACGCATCAAATGAGGAAAAAAACGGTTTTAGTGTGATTCACAACAGGAACACTTGGATTGGAAAAGCCATAAAATGTCAATATCACATAAAATTCAACGAACAATAAAAATAAATACATTGATTTCGTTTTTTTTTTAAATAAATTTACACAGCGACAGTAAAAAAACAAGTCGAAATGACTTACAAATTTGTCATACAACACATTTATATACTACTTACAAATCAAAATCGTTCTCACAAGTGGTCATTTCTTTCGATCACGATTCTAATCATTTCAATTACGTGTTCAACACTAAATATTTTATATGGAATTCATCGCAATTAATTTTTTCTCTCTCTAACTTGTTCGCAATAGTTTTATTGTAACTCAATTGATTTTAGCTTGAACGCCACTTGACTACCATTTCAATCATTGCATTCAATCAGCGCATGCAATTGCTAACAACTTATTATTTCTTTTTTTTTTTCATGGATTTTTGGTAGTGACTTAAAATCAATCGGATGATTTTTTTTCGCTGAGTTCATTTTCAGACCAGCTTTGTCACATTACATTCAATATTGATAAATTTCAAATCGGAATGAAAATTTTACTGTTTTCCAATTCTAGGGGGTTGATTTGTACGGCACGCGACAACTTCCAACTCGATAAACATCAAAAAGTTGAAAGATTCGTGCACTGATCTACATCGATAGAATTATTTCAAGTGGTTTTGTGCATTGAAAAAAAAAATTACGGTTGTCATAGTTATTCTAATATGGATTATTGGCAAAAAATCATTTAATCCTCTTTAAAAGTAAATCTGCAAAGTCGCAGCATTGTGTCGCATTATTTGAAAATTATTTTAAAATTCCAACGAATAATTAATAATTGGAGGGGAAGAATCAACATCAGCACCAGTAAACGAAACAAATCTACCCATATTGCTGTTGCGGAAGTGTCGTTCCGTTGTTATTGCTGGTAATCTTGGTGGCTAAATTTGTTCCTCAGTAATAAGGTACCGGCTGTTGCTCTAATAGCAGGTGTTATATCATTGAAGCGAAATTAATTTTTCATGCGATTATCAAAATGAATTGTTGATAAGATGATTATTATTTGAGATTATTCTTCTTCATTGAATCATTGATGTGATACAGAGTAAAATCTGCCTATAATAACTCAGCCATCGAAGACAATTTCCCAAACCATTTAATTTTTTAAAAAAAGTGACAAAATGAATCCAGCAACAATTTTATTTCAAGTGCAAATTAATGTACGAATTCAATATCAATATTATACATTGTTTTTACGAAAAGTTTTATTATGCATTTCATTAAATTTGTCCTTTTCACAATCAATACACTTTTTTCAGCGTCATAAAGTCAAGACATACTCACACAAAAAGTACCAATAACTAACTATGACGAGGCGACCAAAGTTTCAACAAATAATTTCTATTTTGCATGCGTTCGCTAAAGCCCTCACACGAACTAAATACAAAATTTAACGCTTTGGTGCACATTTGCATTTTAGTGAAATAGTCAAATGCAAAATGAACGAAAGTCGTTCATGACTCACGACAAAAGAAATGTCTTCGATTCATTGCAGAATAAATGTATACATATTGTGCTCTATATGGGGTTTCCTTCAATAGAAATTCGCTTCCGTTTCCATTTCCAAGTTTCAAGTGGCACTTTCCGTTCATGTGCCAGCACCAATGTCACAATAGCGAGTAAGTGAGTTTGTGAGCCTTTTTTCCTATGCCATTCGATCTTATCATTTCATCATCCTTTTTTGTCACATTTATCTCTCTCTCTGTATGTGTGTGTGTGTGTGTGTTGTTCTCTCTCACTTTGAATGTCTAATAATATTTGCTTAAACTTTGTTCATTCACGCGTTCATGGGTTCATTTCGAAATGTTGGCCGAACTGAGTAAATTAGCTCCGGACTGGCATATATAAATAATCGAAACTGTCTCATTCGTTATACCTAATATTCTCTCTCTGTGTGTGTGTGTATGCCTTTTGACTACAATCAATAACAAGCGATTACATAATAAGTACAATAGAGAATTAAGTTTGCCAAAGAATTAATTGTTGGCAGTCTTTTATATTGTTCTATTTTAATTGCAAAACTCGATTCATCAAAGTGGGTTTTTTTCTTACATTATATCTTACATCTTCTTATATATAGCAATCCACTCACCTACAACGGTCAGTAGCATATTGTCCAATAGCAGGGCAATAGCCACGATGACGAGGACCAGTTGACGAGAGCCCCGCCATCGGATCATCCATGTTTTGGTTGCCTCCCATGAGTATGACGATGACGATGACGATTTCATTTGATCTGGTGACATTTGACCAGGACCACCGGGATCGGTTGATTGCATTTTGCTAGCTGATTCTTACTGAAAATTCAAAAAAAAAATCATCAAATTACTTCAAAAATTCATTGAAAATGCATTTGAAGAAGAGTTTTGATTAATCTTAATACGATAATAAATGGTAGTACAGCATGATAGCTCTATGCAGATACAAACATGGTAATGAATATTAAATGGTTATTAATTCGAACAGGCGAATGCTATTTTATTTCCTTTGAGTTCAATGAATAAATTTGATCAGTTTAAAGTCTGGCATATTCAATCCAATAAATAGCATACATTATACGCCGATGTATGTAGTATAAAATCAATGTACGAAGTTCATTTTTCGACGTTGAATTCAATAAGCGTCCAATACATTACAACCTACAGGCACTATGTTTGAATTTTATTCGAATTCGTCACGAGTCGAACAATAAATTTTCATTGAATCTGATTTAGAGATTCAATCTTATCGCGGAAAATTGCTAACTTGTGTTGCTCTTTACTTTTCGTTATCGTCATATTGTTTTCGCTTCTTTTTTTTGGTACATCAAATACCATTGGTTATCAATCGCTTCCTCAGCGAAAATCAACCACCCTTTTTCGACTGCTCAGTTTTGCTTAATACAATACATTTACATAATTTGCCCAGATGAGTTTCAAGCAAATGTAAATACTTTTGTGACTTTGTCTTTTCATTTTATTGAAACAGCCGAGTTGAAACTTTAAAGAAAATAAAGTTGCACGACGTTAGCAAATAGAAAAAAAAAACAGGTGCTGATGCATTTTGTAAAAGGATTTTTAAAATAATCGTTTATATGGGACACTGAATTGTTGATATGTTTGTCAATGTAGATGTATTTGATTTCTTTTAATTTGAACGATTTGTTAATTGAAATAAACAATTTAGCCATAATCATGAAGATATATTTTATTGCGGTGAAGTTACGAGATACCATGGTATTGGAAAGAGATATAAAAAAAAGCAATGAGTGCGGCGAAATTTAAATGGCACCACAGATAGTAAAAGAAAACGTTTATGAGACGTAGTTAAAGAAAGGGGGAAAGAAATACAAGATAGTGGAAACAAACAACGAAGATACCGGGCATCATTTGAAATGAACATTGATTTACATAAACAAACACATGCATGCACCAAATCGAGGCCGTACAATGGTTTGAAGGGGGCAAAAAACGCAACTCAGCGTTCGGGTTTTTGACACAAAATGAACATCGGTAATTCATTTGATGCAAAATCTATTGAAGTATTTTCGGTGTAATTTTTGGTAAATCTTTTTTTTCTTCTTCCAGTATATTTGGTGGGTGTGTGTGTGTTCGGTTATCATGTCATCGGGGGACATTGGACGAATGATGGAATCACACACAAGAATGTTGGCAACAAATAATTTGAAATATAAGACTTTGTGTCGACCAAAAGGATTACTGGATTGATATGTATGTGTATTAGTTGAGCCCGATGATACAATAAAAGTGAAAGCTTTTACATAATAAAATCTGATTTTATTTTAACAAGGTCGCTACTTGCTCCACACATCGATTGTATGATGCCTTAAATTTTATCGATTTATTCTCTGCCAAAATGTGGATTGAGATTTTTTTTTTGTTTTAATTTGACACACATATTTTTTTTTTCTTCGAGGGATACTGCTCTGAATTTTCAGATGTGAAACCAGAGAAAAAAATTGATGCGACTCGATTTTGGGCTCGAGTATACTTTTTTAAGTAAAAATGTGACACAAAAAATAAAAGAACGCTGGCATCGAAAAAATGTGCAATGTGCTCGATACTTGTTGAAACAAGATCAGTCGCGAAGGCAACCAACGGTTCTGTTCGGTTAAACATCAATAAGTCAAATACTTAGATCTTATTTTGGACATAATCAGATTTGCAATCAATCTGAGATGAGATGTATTATGGCATGGATGTGCAAATGCAATATGAAATACTTATATTGGTACAATATCATATCGCGTTTTCATGTGAATTTTTTGTGACCGCTGTCGAGCCATTTGAACATTGATACACAATGAAAGATTTAACGAAATTGCTCGGAATCATGACAGATTCGGGTAAATGAATGGCAAGTTCGGGAGTAAAACAAATGGGATATTTTCAGTTTCCAGTGGGAATGGATTTCAATTGGCCGTGCTGGTATCTCTTACATTCTAAGCAAAGTACTTTGCAATTGTTGAAGAAAAAAATGAAAGTAATATGAGATTGATTCGTTGTGTGTGTGTGAGAGAGAAATGATGTTACTTCACCGCATCACATAAAGAAAAACAATAGAACACAACAGCGCACTGAAAATATCTATTCCCAATACGAATGATTAATTTCGGCTTTTACATTATTACGATGATTGCGCGCGCAAGAGAGATGTTGAAAAACGCTTTCAAACTAATTGGAGTATGCACATCGATGCCGCATCGCAAGAATTTTATTTCGTTTCGCAAGCGTGTGTCGGTGCACGATTTTCATTAATTTGTCATTATTAATGAGTGCAAAGAAAAATCGTTTGTCTTAAAGTGGTTCACAAATTTTCATTCTATGAATAAAGAAACCACCACAAATAATATTAACAATGAAACACTCTCTACCCAAACAAACACTTCGAAAACATTCACATCGGTTTTTTTCCCTCACTTTTGTAGCGCATAAAAATGTGCACGGCATAAATGAAAGGGTGAGAAAATACACCATTTCAGAACACTTCAAATTGCCTTTAAATGAATGTGAAAAACCTTAAAAAAACGGAAATTAATTTGAGAAAATTAAAGAGTGAAAATGAATAGGAACAGTATTGTACAAATCATTTATGCTATAATCGTAATTGTACTGATATCAACTGGGGAACAAAAATGTAAGTGAAACGCGGCCGTCATTTTTTTATGTTTAAAATTTTTGTTTCGGACAATCGCACGCGATTTTCAAGCAAATTAGGTTGAGTGATTTAAAAGGAGAAAACGTCTACAAAATGATATCAAAGTGGAAGTAAATAAAGGCGCTTGGGATGAAAGCTAATATCATGAATTCGAACACCGGTTTTACTTTCATCGTATTTTGTGGGTGTGCACACCAAGTGTGCACACCAAGTGTGCACATCAATGTACCGCCGAAATCAGATTACTATTTTTGTGTGAAATTGACGTTTTTCTTCGCGAAAATCGAACGAATATATGGGTGATGATTCAATTTATTCTTTCAATTTTGATATTCTACGTGTCGTCGGCTGCCCTTGGTTCATAGTCAAAAAATCTGGGTTAATGAAAATTGAAAAAGAGAGCACCTCGGCCTTGTTGTTTTAACTTTGAAATTTCGGTGACTTTGTACCGAACGAAAAGGTTTCTCAACACGTACACACATCTGCCGTTCGGAAAATTCGTTTTTTTTTCTTCTTGGAACATAGCATAAATCACAAAGACAAATCATAATATTTGAATTGATTCATCATTTTTTTCTCGCAAATATAAAACTTGAGCAATTGAAATGGGAGTAAAACCACTTAGAAAATGAATGAAACTGGTAGGATCAACTTTAAAATATATACTTGAAAATCACAGAAGCACTTATGCTTACAGATTTTCATTTTTTTTTTCCTCTGTCAAACCCAATACTACTTAATAGAAGAAAAAAGAATCAACCAATGGAATTGTATGATGCGAACGCAATAGAAGAATTGTAATAAAGATTCTTCCTTGTATTGATTTTTTATTAAATTTATAATCTGAAAAACAATTTGAAGATATTGTACAGCAATCACTGAATAAATAAGTATACCATGCTATGTAATTGAGATTTAAATTTTCGACCGATTTTTCAAGGTTTTTCTATATTGAAGCTTTTTTTTTTCATAAACGAAACAATGAAACGAATGTATAGCGTTTAATTATAGTGGTTTTTAAAACCAATTTTGTTCAATTTCATCTTAGTCGATAGTTGACAAAAGAGATTTTTCTTCTTAATTTCAACAAACCCAAAAGATTCTGCATTTTATGAAAACTATCTTATTGAAACCAAAGAGATAGGAACACATGTAAGGCTGGAGAAATGAAATTAATTTGGCTTGTTTAGAATGCACAAAAGGAACAAGTGAAATGTGATAATATTCTTTTTTACAAATGTGAATACGTTGAGTAGGATGTAATTGTCGTCTTCATTGACGTTATCATCGTCTCGCTATTCACCACGTACAAATTACTATTTAAATACTTTTCACACCATCCTTATATTTTCATGTCTTATGTATGTCTTGTTCAATTCGACAATGCAATTCATTGTACGTCACAGTGAATCTTCATTTTCTTCGTTCGCTTCTTATGGTTAGTGAAGCAAAGTTCAAGGAAATTAATTTAATTTTTCGCAATTCAATTATGTTTTCATTTTCGTTTAACAAAGTATATAGAAAATGTTATTAGACATATGCGAACACTGTGCACACACTTTTGTTCGAGTAAATCGATATCATCGGAACTGTTCATCGACACTGCAACCAATTGTGCAACAAGTGAATGGCATAATTAACACCTTATTCGAGTCATTTTACACGGCTCAATACAGCATAAAATTGAGAAACTAACAATCAAGAGCATCAATAGCGACTTTCGATGGCATGTATTCTAGAATGAAAGGATTTTGAATGAATGAAATCTTCCATCGTATCCATCGTATTCATCGGTGTGGATCGATGATACAATTTACTAACAATACAGAGAATTTGTTAAACTTTCTTCAGAACCCCGATATCGAATTATTGTAGCACAAGACACATTTTTGTTTGCCATCTCCGTTTCTTACTAACACAACAATCAGATAAATGGCTAAAAGTCACAATTATTACAATCATGATCTAAAAATAATAATAATAAATATATCTGACACAGAGAAAAATAAATGGCAGAAGTTGACACGATATTTATCTGGTAATATTTTTTTTTACTTTTAGAAACACTAGCATAAACATCACGAATCACATGTACTTCTTACGAACTTCTATGAAGTTCAAACATTTGATATGTGATATTTTTGTGTAATTCAAGTGGAGTTGTACATATGACTTGGAGATGAGATATGGTGTATAAATATCACAAGCTTCTGGGGATTGTACTACCGACTTTACCTCGTAAGCATTTAGACATTGATTTATTAACGCAATTTTTTTTATTTGAATTAATTTTCTGTGGACAGTCGAAACAAGTTTTCAACAAAAGTGACAAAATATTTACAGAAAATAAGATGTTTTTTTCTGCTTTTACAACAACATTTGAAACGGTTTGATGGAAAAGCAGCTCTTATTTTATTACAAATAATAGCTGAAAATTGAAAAAAAACTATCATTAGCAAAACAGTTCAAGCTATATTTTGAACGTAACGATTCATTCCATACGTAATAATTGCATGCGCCAGTTTTTCGTATCAGATCACAAGGTTCATAAATAATGAAATCAAATAGATCTAACTGACGTCATCATATCAGCATTTAATCTCATGTTGCTTTGAAAATGTTCAATAGATTTTCAATTACAAAATTAACCGACTTTATTTGTATGGTACGGATGCTGAGAAACGGTGACAATGTATACGAATGATCATTGAATTGGAACTTAAAATGATATTCATTTTATGCTTTATTGTCACATATCCAATTATACACAATGCATTTATCAAGCGCGCAACAATAAATAAACGCTTGAATCTCGTACGATATTTGCAAAATTAATTTAATCAAAATGCAATAAAACGGTATGTACTCTGTATGTGAATGACATAAGTGTGCATTTAAATTATCGTAACTGATCATAATTATTAAAAAAAATATATATTAGCCGCCCATAAAATAGTGGTTAATAAAAAAATGACGAAAAATTACGGCACAAAGTTGATAATGATATTTTTAAATGACGCACTTGAACCAAATTTTGCGCCGAAAATGCTTAGTATGCGAATTGTGCTTTCATATTTTATTTGTGCGTTTACGTGCTCGATTCATAAACTCAAATCATACATGAACTTGACACCTATTATAATTGGCTTGATGTCTGAGCCGTATCTTAACGTGTGACTGGGGGGATTTCGTTTTCATTTTAAAATAAGAATCGTGTGCATTCGATGTAATCATCAAAATTCCAAACGTCACATTTTCACATTCTAGCGAAGAATGATCTATTTCATGTATTTGAAGAACAAGAAGAAAAAAAAAATAATTATAGGAATTAGGAAACAATGAAATACAAACGATCCACTCGTTAAGCTCGGAATTGAATGATTTATTGTTAGTTGGCATTCGCATCTGTGCATAAAAATTCAATTCGCATTAATTGTTTTAAGATTTTCTTTATCAAATCGAACATCTGTTGCAGTTGCACCGGTGAGGGGAGTACGATTCCAATATCAAAACTATTGTGAGAAAAAAAACAACAACACCTTTCGTCGACGATTATCATCGTATGATAATGTTGTGCAATCATGTCGAACTACGCAACTGTGTTTCCAAGCATGCCCAATTTGCGTCTATTTTATGTTCTTTTTGTAATTCGCTTAATTGTTTTTTTCTTCTTCTCTGATTAGGGTTAAAATGTATTCCAATTTTCCTTTCAACAAACGAAAGATGAAAAACAATATGAAAAAAAGTGCATCAAGGCACGATGATTTCCATTCATTAGCACCAGTTAATGTTGGGCTTTTTACGAGATTTAAATAGGCAAACATTTGACTATCGTTATTAAATTTCGTTGTATGGTTGTAAACATGCAACGATTGCTACACTTCATTTTATATTGTTACGAATTCTTCTCACTTGAGATCTAAAATTATAATTACATTGATTTCATAACCACCTGTTCAATTTATAGAACATTTGATTTAAATTCATTTATCTCTCTCTCTCTCTCTCTCTCTCTCTCTCTCTTCTCTCTCTCTGTGTTTTTTTGTTCTTTTTTTATACTTCGTACATTTTTTCACTTAATTTTGTTGTTGATATTTTAATTAAAATTTGAAACAATAGAGAATACCGATCATCTGGAATTTGTGTCGTTATTTCTGAATTTTTTTCTCTCTCTTAATTTTCGGATGAAAACCTTAACCTTTTGATTGATATGGAAAAATGTGTCATATGATGTGCAATGTCGGAATATGATGGCGTTTTATTTTCAACCAAAAGTATGTTTTAGCGTAGATGGCGCTGATTTAAATGGACATTTGTATGTATAGACGGTGGCGCCGCCCTACTCAATTAAACACTGAACTGCAGCGTTTCCAATCGTTGATGATGTGTGTCCTTTTAAAAACCGGAATTTAATTGGGAACAACGATTGGTAAATGTTAAATTCATTTGGATGAAAATTATCATTGAATTTATAATTCTCATCATCGAATGTTCAGCATATAAATCGAAATTGCATTCGTTTTACACGATACAATTCAAACAACACTTTGTTGCGTGTTCAACTCAATTTCGTTGCTTTTTAAAAACGATTATATATTTTATTCCATATTGAATTTGTTTGAAATTATTATGCACTAAGTTGCGATATTCTATGATATTGAACACACAATTTTGATATTGCAAAAACGCCAAAGCCCGTTGATTGAAATATACGGAGTTTTATCTTTAAATTAAGTGTATTCAGTTGTTGTTTTTTTTTTGATAATTATAGTACGTTTGATTTTATTGCCATGGGGTATTAAATAAAATTTGAATACGAATTATTATTTTATTGACATGTGAAATTGATGATGCGTTGAGCGCAAACAATTCCTAGTAGGAAGTCGGAACGATAATGATTTACCTGAAACGAGGAACCATTACAAACATGAGAGTTTCTGCTGTGTCATCAGAATGGAAGGTGTTTTATATTATGACCTGCTTATCTGGGCAACCGAACAATGGCAAATTAAACTTGAACATTTACAAATTAAAACAATTGTTGTTTCTGAAATCTTCGGGGAAATCAAAGAAACAATAAGGCATCATAACACCGTCTTGACTTATTCGATATAAAACAATTGTTAAAATATTTAACATAGAAAAACGCACGTTTTTTATTATCAACACCGAAAATCATTATTGTTTTTGCAACAACATTATTCAGAAGTATGAATGCATTCGAAAGTGAGAGTTTACTGCATGCAACAGGTGAGTGTACGTATTGACACTCAATTTCTTCAAGTTCACTTCATGTTCTCAATTCAAATAAACGAAGAAGATAAATGAAAAAAGGTGGTGGTATCATGATGCAAAATTTGTGAATACAAATTAAAATGCGTTACCTTGAATGTGTTAATTTCATACTGATAAACAGCCGAAATATTTTTTTAATTTGTATAAAAAAAACCACAAAATCTCTGGAGCAAGGGTCAAAAGAAAAATGTCGTGAAAATATCCCAAACGGGCAACATAAAGATCTACTACATCTACTGTTCGAGAAAAATGACGTGAGTTTATAGAAATTACAATATTCGAATGGCATGTGAGATCAATTAATCGCATCTGTTGTAAAATGTCAGTAGCTTACATTGAAAAAAATGCACAAATTAAATGACCAACAACATTATATCCGAATTAATTCGATCGTTTTGTCGCAATCGATTCGACTCGCTATCGATTTGAGCTCGTATGTATATATTCAGATGCGTAAGTTGATAAAACGTCTGTGATGTGTGATCAACCAATCAAATGAAGCATTTGGCCCATTTTCAATGATATCTTTGTGGTGATAATCGATGTCAATGCAATCAGCTGGCTCTGTCACATTATTCAGATGCAATCGATTCATTCTTGTTATTATAGATTTATAGATCTGTTTTCAAGCATAAATGAATCGAAACCGATACACAAGCCGAGATCTTATTCGATCGTACATCTACCGAATCGCATTGCTATTGCGAATGATCGAACTGGAAATGCTAAGAAAACGAAAAAATAATAATAAATAAACGTATAAACCTACCCCACAGATAAAATGAAGAAAAAAATTGAAAAAATCACTTATATTATATAAAATTTGAATGTAATGCAATAATTATTGGAAACAAGTCAAAGTGTTTTTGGTTCACTATTTTATTCAAAGCACTTAACACGAATTCGATATTATGATCATGATTTTTGAAATTAAAATTCGAAAATTGTTCAAAACTGTTTTGGTTTCAACTATTGGTACACACTTTTTCGTTGTAATATTTTCCAATGGGCCGATTCTAAGCAATGTGATTTGTGCACTTTTCTTCAATATCTTTTCGACGTTTTCTAATTGCAATACGTTAAACTTAAAGAAACTTTTTAAACGCGTTTTCTTTTATCAAATCAAATGCGATATTAATTTTATTGCAACCAGCAACGAAAGTCGTAAATTTAATTAGCAAGAAGCAAACGAGCACAAAACAATCGGCTATGGTATATGAAATCAATTCAACGTTTTAACTCATAGTATCGTTCAGCATCCTGCGACAAACGGCTGATAAATGCTATCGCCACGCTGACTTTTATTCATTTTGTAATGTTTGAATTGGTGTGAATATTCAGTGTATCTTGCGCGCACGTTTGCTTATTCGCTTTGTATGTTTTCGCCGTACCTATTGCGGTTCTATTCGCATACACTTCAATTGTTTTGTAGTTTGGATACACGCAAACTGTCCACAATTATACCACGTAAAACATTTACTATACTCATTGACATCGACCACCAACAACTACTAATGCATATACAAACAATTGAAGGGGCTTTTTTCTTGTTTTATTTTATCAACATTGCATTCTAAATATCCGCTATCGATTGGTTCGACAAACTTTTTTTGTTCACTCTCTCAATTTGTATGTGCCTTAGTGTGTGTTTGTGTGTATTGCACTTGTTGCTCAACAAATTTCATGAGTTTGCGTGTGCCCAGTGAATTATGTTGATTGAATCAAAGCGACCGTTTGCGGTTCTATGTGAATAAACTCTTATTTTCAACAAAAATTTGTCTCGGAATTGGTATCTCTTGGTGAGTCGGAATTTGGATATTTGTAAAACAAGATGCTCGTCATTCGCAATTTGTTCTTGTATTCATGTGGCGTCACAAGTACGAACACTTGTAGCTGTTGGATGATGGTCAAATGTAAGTACATTTCTTTCGTTCATTTTCAGTGTCAGTCGGATGGACACCTTAAACTGAGATCTATGTACATAATCACAGAAGAAAATATAAAATCATACCAACACATTTGAACGTCACACAGAAGTGAGGACTATATAATATTCTTGTTTGTTCTGTACAAATGCTCTTCGGCAACAGGCAGTCCTTATTTCCATTGTATTTCAACAGTGTTATACCTCACATTTTACTTACAATTCCATTTAAATGTAGCTTTTTGTTTGCATTCGACTTCAGAATATGTGCAGCGAACTACTTAACGTATCTAAAATCGATTTAAAAAAAAAAGAATGTCTGCATCGAGCATTCGAAAGAAATGTTTGTGCACTGAAACTTGTAGAAGACTGAATAATGAATTCGATGGAAGCGGATGAAAAAAAAAACATTCGAACTCATTTACATGACCAACTAACAATTGATGGCCAAGAACTGTGTACATTTGATCGTAATCGATTGTTGCTTCCAAAACTATGTAAAGAGAAACTATACACATTTACACGTGTAATTGATTCAACGAGTTTGCCCGATTGTAAATGACCAAACAACAACGTTCACACAAATTTTATGTAAAAACAAACAGAGTCCGTATTTTTTTTTACTGCTCTTCATCTCACTGTCACAGAATAAGTATATGTCTGAAACTTTTGCTTTTCATTTACAGCGTCTCGTCTGCCAATGCCCTTCTGTCGAATGATGGAATGAAGAGCAACACGATGAAACAAACCGCACATTTTTCGAGGTAAAGAAATCATTTTAAATTTGTCGAACCGAAACTAGTTTGGATTTTGTTTGACGACTTTCACAAGCGCGGTCATTTTTCGAATAACGCGTGATTCATAGCAGCTGACAAACAAATATGTACGAACTTCTGGTCAAATGAAAAGAAAGATCTACTTTAAAATTGATAAACAGGTTGTTGTTTTTTTTTTCAACTGTATTTTGGCATCGATAAAACACTATTTTCGTGATTTCATACATTGTGCATTACATTGACCGTGTCAATAATTAAAATACCAATTCAGCCTCAATGCTTCATTCAATGCATGCAATAAAATTTTGCATCTTTAATGATTTCAATCGAAAACACAAAAGACGCACACAAAAAAATATGCAATCGCCTAGCAACTATTTTCCGATGCTCAATTCAATGCATATTATTGACTGTTTTTAGCGAAATAGCACGTTTTTTTCTCATCTCTCTTTCTCTCTCGCAAAATTTCACTGGATGAGAAAATGTGCTCATTGTGCAGAGTTTAGTCATACCGTATGTTCACATGTTATTAGTTAATTGTACTATTTGCACATGAAATGATCATATTCAGGGTCAAGATCAGAATTCATTAAAAAAAAATTCTTCAACAATTTGAAATATTATATGTTCGTTGACATTAAGTGGGTTTTTTTCTGTGTAAATCAGATGTAAAATTTCGTTGGTAAAACATGGTTGGTATTTTTTTTGTAGATGCAAATTATTTTTTTGCTTAAAGAAGATTTCTATTCGTATCGAAATAGTTTTATATCAATGACACGAATCGATTGGATTAAGAGTGGCCATAAATTGACGTAAACGAAACGTGATTAAAGCCGCAATTTAAACTATATACAATAAAAGTGTTGAATTTTAATCACACCGTGATCAATTCACATAAATTTTCCGTGGATTTTTCATGCAACGGCTGGTGCGTTTATCGTACATCGTTCGTCTGATAAAAATTGAATACGTACATTTCATGTAAATTCTAATTGTGCGGTCATCGAATTAATCAGATACGCGCCGACACAAGCAATTGAAAGAAAGAGCGAGCCCGTGGCATTATACATGAATTCATTTTTTATTCATTCTATCTTATTTAATAAGTGGTGACTCTTTTTTTTTTCATTTAGAAAATCCAATGTTTCCATTTAATTGTAGCAGATGCTGTCTGATTATTGCTTTTTTTCTATCTAACTATATTACGTGCTAATTTTTTCTAATTAAATGCCATAGAATAAATTATATCAAAGTCTGTTTAATTTGATATGAAAAAGAGCTTTGCGTTATTTTTGATTCGGCTTGGACTTCATGATTTTTGTTGTTGTTCACAATCAAAAAGTAAATCAAGTTGAACGTAAACGCAAATTTACGTCTAATTTGATTTCAATGTAAAAGTTTTTCATCTCTCTCTCTCCGAATCTCTCGTTTGCCCCTATTCCGGTTTATAATCTCGTGAACGCCAATTAATTGTTATTTTTTTGTTTCGCCAACAAAAATATGAAAAGGAAATTGCAAAAATTCTCTGTTATCAATGTTTTAACTTATTAAAAAAAGTATGTTAAAAAATCATGACCATGCGTGTTTCATTCTATTTCAAGGTTTCCTTCAACATTTACAACATTTTATTTTTTCTCGAAGCAATTAGATAAGCCATTTGTTTGGAATAATTAATTTCGGACATTTTCGTTTTACACATAAAGTAAATCTTGAATAAAAACATCTGGTGATTCGTCCCACATTTCACTTTTTTTATTTTGAAAGTTTTGATTCCAATCAATTTTTACCATTTTTGCACGCATTTTCTGTTGTTGATGGAATGAAATCACAATGATTGTCATTATGTGAGAATACGTATGAAGTAATGCGAGTGACCAGTCAATGACCACCATCATTTTTGTACGGGAAGAAATCCACTGGAACAATTATAGAATAATGCCGCTCGCTTTCGAGCACGTGTGCCACTCAAAATATTAGATATCATTGTTTTCAACGCAAATAATAACACACAAGCATATAAATATTTTTACAAGTGGCAGTCACATCTCGGAACATCCGATAAGTGGAATGGTTCTATGGTTTTGTAATGACGGTCAGACAATCTATTCAGTCAAAGATCATGAACTGTCAAAAACATGTTGATCATTCCCAAATTTCTAGCAATATTTTCGATGCAGAACGCTGTTTCGACAAAATGATTGCAAACACAAAGGAATGTTGCATGGGAACGACAAAATGAAAACAAAAATAATGAATTAGAAGTGAATGCATTTCAACGAAAAAGTTATTATACTCAACTTTAAATCTCATTCATTTGTTTCAAAAAAAAAACTTCTAACTTGACACTCAGTTGCCATCGAAGAACGTATGTACTGGAAACATACGTTCGAATTGGGGTAAGTTATTTTTAATACCAAATCACAACTGAAGTAATTTCAAAAAAACATGAAGCGTTTTAACAATCAAAGTCACTGCTATACGTGTTTATTTGCACAGTATTTCTGTAGCAGAAGGGAATATTATCAGGTGAATATTTCCACGTCAAATAACGAACTTCGATGTTTAGACTAAAACAGAACTTTCGTTGTTTACCGAAACCAATAAATGTTACAAAATTTATGTAATTATTGTTGTTGTCTGAAAATTTATCTGATAAATCTATCGCATAAGCGGATAGATCCACCTGACGGTATTCCCTGTGTAATAGTAATGTGAAGAGTAATGGCATGTGATTCGATTGAATTGATTTTTGTTCATGGTAATATTAAGTGAGACGGAGTAATTATTTTTTTATTGTAAATAAAAGTGAAAAAAATCTAATTTGCTTTGTCTTGTGAAAAGGACAACGAGGTTAACCCAACTGTCATATTTCTTCACTCAACAATTCATGTCACATTTTTTTTGAATTTTTTTTTAAATTATAAAATGGAATTAATAATTGAAATAATTTCAAGTTCAGTTCAATCAAACGAAAAATTCAATCAAAATCAAAAGCAGAATGGGGTTCGTTGTTTTGTTCGAAATTTTTCTCTACTTACATTACGAATCGGATTTTCGTCTATTCAGTTTATATGGTTTGTTAAGTTTGAAATATTTCTGGTGTTTTAAAAACTATCGTCGAGTTTCAATATAATGATGACCGCCATGAACTTTCTCTTAATGAAATTTTGCTTAAATTGAGTTTTATGTTTATCACGAAGCGTATCATTTGAATTTGGTTGCGGAGCAAAAATCTTAGCAAAGATTTCACTGCCATTTCACTCTGTAAGTGAGCCAATGAGTGAGCAAATGATTGAGGTACTCTTGAGTAATTGTGATAATTTGTTTATAATTTAATCATGTCACACGGAGTTGTTACAATTAGTATTCCGTTTATTTTCATAATGTTTTTGTATCGTAAAATGGTGCATGTTTTGATGCAAGGCGTTGATGAGTGATGCAAATGGTCGATATGTGTGTATGTGTGTGTGTATGAAACGAGATAGTGCGAGAGGGAGAAAATGCAAACAGTGTACATGGCACCGTCAACGGTTCCGACGGTTTTTCATTCGAATGAGGGATCTAGTATATTTAAGTGTTGAAA